TAATAAGTGAAGCAATTTGGAAAAGCCAGTGGTATTTAGCCTTTTCCATTCGGCTAGCATTTGGTATCAATGAACTGTATGGTGAAAACATTAGAATGGCCTCCAACATCAACACAGCAAACTAAAGAAAAAACAATACTCAGACCTAAAAAATGATACACCATGTTGTAGATACAATAATAGTACATAAACCACTAAAAGGAGCAGCAGACGTTGAGATATTTGAAATTGAAGACCCTCTAGGATCAGGAACAGAGAAACCGGTTTTTGGGTTTATATACTGTGTTACTGTCAGGGGCAGACACTTGGTCAAATATTAGGGGTAGCCTAGTGTTTTAATAAGATGAAATCACATTTTCTCATTGTTGTAGAGCAAAAGACCATTTTCTCCCCCCCCCCAGGTGTCTGCCAATGGTTACAGTTTGTGGCTTTAGCCCCCCCAGAATGTTTCGTCTGGCCTGGGGCTTGTCTAGGATTCATTATTGAATATCATTATGCCCTCTGATAAAAACATGCGTACAACACTCATGCTTCGTAAACATCCTTGATGATTAGAATTATCTTATGATGCTTTTTAATTATCACAGAATTTGCTACAAATTCGCTTTTGCACAAAGCAGAAATTTAATAACTGGGACAGATGTGCATAGTCACACTCCCAGTCCATTCAGTATAAATGATGTTGCTTTTCAATGCACAGATCTGATTTGATAAGTCAGATAATTGCACAAGTCAGACCTTTGCTCAGTCCCTTGTGAAAATAGCACAAAACAAAGATATTGTTACATATTAAGCATTTTTGAGAAAAACCCCTTTATTTTTTATCAAGTATTGATATTGATATGATAACATTTTTAGATAGATGGCATATCTATTTTATCTGATCTTCAGGTCTAATGTCAAATTTCAGGTTTTAACTCTGGGGTGCTTCGTTCTTGTTATCCGTATTTAATGTATATTAGTCAAATTGACATAAAAAAGACTATTTTTGCACTGCAGAGCTCATTTTTGCAATTAAACCTTCCGGTTTTATAAAGACCTCAGTAATATTTTTCTGGGTAGAATAGAATCAAACCAACATTTAGGTCCCAGAATTAAGGTTTATAATGATATTGTGTCTAAATGTTTGATGAAACCAGTATTGTTATCTCCGAATATTATATGAATTTACAAACCCTTCTAGAATTTGCCAGGGTATTTAAAAACTCTGGGTGTTTATTGAAAGAATTGGAGAATTATACTTACACTGAGTGACATCAAAGTTGGGTGCCATGAAAATAAAGCTACAACAAAATATAAAGACATTATGGAAAAAATATAACACAAAAGCAGAATAAGGAAACATGAGTATATAGCAAAGCCAACAAATGTAAACGAGGTTTAGTAAATAGACTTTGCAATGGGTTCTCTCTTTTCTAAATCATACTTTCTTAATCTCTTTAATATCCTTCCTAAATATGTGTATCTGACCAATGACCTAATTTTGAAATGAAAACTGCCTGAAATAAAAAACCAAAGAAACCCCTAACAGCAGTTGTTTGAATCAAGCCAGAGATTCTAGGCCCTGGTCTAGATTTCATGGCAGTTTTCAGCGAGATCTTGGGAGTGTCTGGCATTATTCCTGTTTACAACAATTTTACATATCTCAGGGAAATCCATGATTGAGAGTTGAACTATGCTTAACTACCACTGCCATCAGTGGCTGTCATCCAAATTCTTAAAGGTTTGACAAGTAAGAAGATGATTTAAAAAATAATTGTCAAAAAGGCTAAAAACATTAGCACCCTAAGAGCATCATGGAGATGATCTAAAGCAGGGCCACTGAGATGAGGACAATAGGGAACCTCATAAAGAAAGGAATTCCATTTTAGGAATGGAATAAATCCATTTATAGTATGGTAAATGATAATAATCTGTTTATAGAATGGAAATAGAAATGGCTTTGAAAAAAGCAAACATTTTACAACATCTTGGCTAGAAGCTTTTTCGTCTGACACTCCTCAGAGCATAAAACATCAGAATAAGGGTCCGAAAGATCACGATGAAAAATATATACCCAGTTGTGGATCAAAATAGGCTAATCAGAAAAATTTACTGACTAGCGTATTCCAATTATCTAAGTAACTACAGTGTTAGGTTTATTGTAATTTTTTAAGCGTGGGCTGATAATTTCTCACAGCTGCAGAAAGTTTCTTGTCGAATTGCTAGTTCTCACTTTCCATTTTGAAATCAGAATGTTTGATGAGATATCCTTAACATAACGCACAGTTTTTCAACATTTTGTTTGCCTTGGACACTCCCTTCCCTTCATAAATTCTTCACATTACTTTGAACAAAAAGACTAACATCATCAGATCACGATTACAGTGAAAAGATATCAAAATTTTTTGATATCCTTTCATGATAACCATGATGGTTTATCACGATTAGAGGACATAACACGATTACATTTGATGTACTCACTGTGGATAAAGACGATTACAGACTAATCGTTATCGTGATAATTGTGATAATCGTCTAGTGAGTATCAGGCTTTACTAAAAATTTTTGGGAAACAACAGTATAGGGTCAAGAATTTACTCTGTAAGATCATTCTGTGGACTGAATTATGTTGAAATCAACTGACTTTTAGGGGGTTATACATTTCAATCCCACAACCCACCTAGAAGTTTAGCTAAGTACAAGGGAGGGGGTCGAAATAATTGAAATTTAATCATACAAAATGTATGACTGACCCCATGCTAAATTATAATCTGAAGTCAAAATTTTGTGGAGTGCTTTAGAGCGCTTTTGAAGGAAATAATTGCTGTGCACATATTGAGACAAATCGACAAATAATTTGCACATTTAGAAGCTTGCTGCACGCATCGGACCAAAACTGAACAGTGTGCACACATTGCACACTTTGCTAGCACACTTGCACAAATTTATACTTGCTCTTGCACAAAAACGATCTTGTCGAGAACTGCCACGCTCTGCAGACAGGGTGGATCCATAACTGGTCTAGGCCTACACACCCATAAAATTAAGTACTTAGTGCCTAACATATAACAATAGATTTTGTTTCCTAAGCTTAGATAACAAGATTGAATCGTTGAATATTTATGATGTTAAAATACTCACTGAACCCAGGTTTTGCTAAATACACTGTGTAAATGAAAATCAACACTCCGAAAAAATGCGCCATTATCACCCCTATTGAAGAACAGCTAGTCAGGTAGCCTCGTTTGACTTCTTCTTCTTCCACAGTCTCCATAGACAACACTACTTCATTTGTATTTAGGAAAATATTTCGCAGTTTCAAAGTCAGGGTGGACAGCAAGCTTTCCGAATAAGCCTAATTTTCTTGAAAAAACATAGCCTTTCAGAACTGCAAATTTGATACATTGCCCTTACTTTTCACTGGGGCTTTTCTCACTTTACTTTTGAAAAGAACGAGGCTACAAAGTAATGTCCGAAACAAAAAAACAAAATGGTGATTGTGATAAAAGAATATTCACAAGTTAAATTTGACTAGAAAATTATTTTGATCCCCTCGAAAGGTTAAAACCCATGATTTAAGTTAACGCTTCTTTTGGTTCCCTTTCCACCACCTTATCGTCCAAAAAAACATGGCAGAAGAAGAAGAAAGAAGGCGTGTTTCTACTAAGAATTCTTTGATTACGCTTTTCTCTTGAGAAGAAGATTAAAGGGTTAAGATTCATTATCAGAAGAGAATGCGAGTAAAAAAACGTTTCAAGAAAAAAATAGAGTTCCATCCGGGGCTGTGTTGCTCTAAAAAAGCACGAGGGGTCTTCGCGAAAAAATTTCCCAAGAAACAATGGCAAAAAGTTTTAAAGTGATACTTTTGGCATTAACAAGGGGGCTCAGGGGGCTCTGCACCTCCGCTTCCACCTTCTTGTTCAAGATGTTCAAGAGATACAGCCATACTTGACACGGAATAATGTATTTCTGAGCAACTTAGTATGAGGCAGTTTTGCAGCTTGTTGCTGCTCGAATGTGATTGATTGGGAAATCAAACGGCACAAATTCCAACTCTAAAAACGGAAGGCAGTTCGGTAAGCGTACCGCTTTTTGAAATATATTCTGGACATGCTTGTACGGCATACCGTTCTCCGTTTTCCGTCCAAACCGTGAAGAGGAAATCCACCATTAGAAAGGTTGTTTTTCAATCAGTCAGCAATAAGGGAATTAAAACACGTCTGATCTTTGATATGCTCAACTCAACAGATAAAGTGTTTTTTTTAAAAAGCAGACGTAACTGACGACGATAATAAGTTAAAACGGATTCGGTTTGCAAGGTATGATAGATTTTGACAAGATCTTAGGTGCGCGAACAGCCCCTACCCCAGGTGCGGGTGCGAAAAAATCATCCGAAAATGCCCGGTGCACTAGCACTCTTACCTTTTCAAAATAATGATTCAATATATCATGTTTTTAAGGTGCGCCCTCAGAACTAACATGTCTGCCCCCAGCCTCTTGGGTGCGCTATTGCCATGCTTTGCATACTGGAAACGGAGCATCATGGAATCATGGTCCTTGGGTGCGCCATCGCCATCTCATGGTTCAATAGAGTTCTTAAGTCTGACGTCATAATTGGCAGCAAATTTACTCGAAATTACATTGTTTAGAAGCATCATTTTTCACAGGCAATGGATAACCAGGCCTTTACAACTAAAGACAAACAGGGACTATTGAAATATTCATTTCTTTGCACTTAAGAAATGCCATCCCAAGGCACAAAATGCATAAAATATCATGCGTATACCTAAGAAAATTTTTGAAAGTAGACCAGGAAGCATGGCACCTTACAGATAAATAGGCTATCATACAAAATTTAAGAGGAGGAGAAGCCCCTATGGCCCCCTAGCAGTTAGAGCCAGTTGTATAAACTCACAGTTCGGACCACAAACGATACAGTAATACAATTTGAGCAACCTCATTGACATGTTTTTGAAAATTTTGTTAGAAATGACGACCATTTAGAAACAAGTCGCCGATGGGTAAAGGTCAAATCTAATTCTACATCTCATGATATATTTCAATAAAGTGTTAAATAGTGCTAACTACCTCAAGTTAATTGAATACAAAATTGCTTCTATTTGCTTTCCATAGAGACATCTATTTCAATGTCCTTAAAACTCTTCACATTCTCCTTGCAGAAGAAGCATTGTTTATTGTTCATAAGATGCCTAGTGATGCACGGTCGACATGAGGTATGTCCGCAGGGTACAAACTTCACTGCTACGTGCATGGCATAACAAATTGGGCACACAGTTTCGGCGTCCAATGATTCCTGTAAAAAAGTTGATATTCTATTTGTAAAAATTTCTTATTGAAATACGACAAAATTACTAAATGCCTTTTAGGAAGGCTTTGTAATATTACGTATTGAATTCAACATGGGCTTTATCCTTGCTCAAACACATCAAACATTTTCTCCAACATTTATCCGAAGTAATTTTTCGTTTTATTCATCGATGTTTACGAGCAAGTTATCGGTGAAAAGATTCGAAGGGTAAGAATGTTCGCAAGTAGGAAATGAAAAAGGTTTCCTGAGTTGAATTACGTAAAGAATTAGATGGATAGAAAATGACAAAGTAGTCCAAATATCAACAATAAACAGTTAAATTGGTTGTTATATTGGAGAAAGATTCATGGTGACCTTTAATTCCCGGAGCCACCGAAACTGGGTCAATCAGTGAGACGAAGGAAGTTTTTGCTGCTCTTTTGGTTGGATCCGTAAAGCTTCAGGTCATTTTACATCATATGCACATGCGCAGTTAAAATAGATGTTGTCTTTTTTACATTGCATGATGTATCATTTGGTAGGAAATTCGTGGCTCTTATGAGAATAAAGCGGTCTCATAAACGACGAAGAAAATTTAGAGGGTGCCATGGGAAGTGAGAATGAAATTCTGGTTAATATATAATAGGAATCTAGATTCAATAGGAATCTAGATTCAATAGGGATCTAGATTCATCTCCCCCCAACAAGTCAGGAGAAACTTTCTGGGGGAGGGGTAAAACCACAAACTGTAACATACTCCTTCATTTATTGTATTGAACAAACCTGTTTATTGTATTTTACATTCGCATTCTCTTCTTTTAAATATTCATACAGCCTCTCCATTTCATCTGCTTCTGACTCTGAAACCTCTTTGACTGTAAAAGGAAAAATTCGTAAAGAAGCCTTTAAATTTATTTTACAATTAATATATAACAAAATAAAAAGGAGATATCTCAGGTTATTTAAAAGGACTCTGCGGTGGCGACTATTGTTCTCGTAACATACTTATCCACAATACATGCCAAACTGAACATGTCCTCGGTAGTATAGCGGAGAGTATCCCCGCCTGTCACGCGGGAGACCGGGGTTCAATTCCCCGCCGGGGAGTGGCACATTTTTTCAGGCACTAGTCAGAATTTTCCTTTTGGAGCTTTTACTGGTTTACGTGTATTTATTGTAGTTTATTCTCGGCGTATTGCGGTGTTTCTTATTTGCTAATTATTTTATTAAGATGGCTTTGAAAAAGGCAAACATTTTACGACATACTAAAAGCATTTTCGTCTGACACTCCTCAGAGCATAAAACGTCAGAAAAAGGTTCCAAAAGAACATGATGAAAAATATAAATTATTATTTTAAGGGTTAGGTATCGTCGTAGATCTGACCGGGCAAGTTCTCCTAGGAAATCATATGTGAAGATTTTTAATCTTTGGCGTCAAAACCAGATATATGGAAAATCACAAATTAAATTTTACTTTGAGAACTGAAATTTCATTTGATTACTGAGTTTTATTTTGCGTCTTGAAATTTCTTTATTTTCTGAACACACAGTACACGTCTTTCTTTCGTTTTTCGCCACTAATATCTCGAGCTGTTTGCTCTAATAAAAAATTGTACCACTATAAAAATCCTATATGCCATCGGGCCTATTTGACAGAGCGGTAACGGAACCTTTCATTAAATTATACAGAATCTCGTACTCTAGTTTATATATTTCTAATTTATACTAATTTTGGGTGGTAGCTGGAACACACAAATTTGAGGGATTTCTTTATGCCCTTCATTTTATTTTTCTAATTTTTACAAGTGATTTCGTTATTGCAATTGTCGAAGATTTTAGATTTCAATTTGCGTGTTTGCAACTGAATTTGGAATAGGTGAGAATGATGAAAAGGATGGAGTAATAGAAATAAAGTGCCAAACTTACATTTGCGGAAAGAAAACACCACAGGTGGTTGTTTAGTGGCCTTGCCAGCAGCGGAGACTGCAGAGTTTGGATCGCCTGATAAAAATGCGATTGGTTCAAGTTGGAAACCTGGCTCTCCAAGTAAAGCGTGGGTTGCTCGGCTTTTACTGTAAAAAAAAGAAACAAAGGATGCCACTAAATACACTCTTTTTCAAACAGGCAAGTGGCATTCATGGATGCAAGGTCACACGGGTCTCATACATATATATGTAGTGTCTCAACAGGATCTGTTTAGGATTGTAGTTTATTTGGTCTATGACCCTGGGCACAGCTTTTGAAAGAAACACACGCCTTTAAGCCTGAAAATAAAGGAGAACATCTATCCACATTCTCCATTTTTTAAGCTGAGGTACATTGACATTAAGCTGAAGGAAAGGGGGTGCAAAACCTCCACGTTCAGGGCTGTGGTGCCCAAAATTGAAATGAACTTAACATTCATGAAAGGCTGGGGTATTCATTGCAAAAATAAATAAAAAAATACCTCTGCGGGTCGTCTGCTCTCCAAAGCATGGTGACCAAGATGCCAGCGATGGCTGCAAGAACTGCGTAGCGATCTTGTCTTTCGATGTCTTGAGAGGGAGTAAAAACAAGAAGGTAGCAATGAAAAGTATGTCATGTCAATTTATGTCAAAAATGATTTCTATGAAAAAATTGTACAATTTTTTCTTTAATATGTTAAGGTTGACTTCTCTGAATTCAAGGGGAACTTTTGTAAATATAAATTTACAGGGTCTTAAGTTCTTTCAAATTAAGTTAAAATAGGAGAGTGCTTAGTTTTGTAAATGTCTGGATCTAAAATAAAAGCTTAGTACAAATTGCAATATGAACTTATCCTTAAGCTTAAAAGTATGATGAAAGTAAACTATTTTTAGGGAAATAAAATTTATACTTTTTGATTCACTAGTGATTGCGAGAAAAAGTATTAAAAAACAATTAAGCAATACGATCTTTATTTTAATTTTTTACAGTCTGCCATTTATGCAAATATAAGTAGGCATAAAAAGCGAAATATTCTACTTATGAAAGTAGAAGAAGACGAGAGGCCAACTCACCAGTGGCATGAAGCCTTGAAAGAGTTTCAAAAAGCCTATAGCTAGCTGTCACTCTGTTTAGTATCTGCACGACAGCCTAAAATTAAAAAAAAATCATTTCAATGTCTTATCAAAATCTATTTTTCAAAACCTTAAACACAATAAGCGCAACCAGATTAAAGTTCAAAAAATCAAGTTTGACGACAAAATTACTTGACTGGGGAAGACTTTCAAAAAACAAAAAAATAATTGCAACGATAGGAGTATCCAGTTGGCTTACGATCCCGTGCAATACTCACTCTCGAAATATGTAAACATATTCTGAAATACTAGAAATCAGTGGCAGTAACTGAGCTTTTTAAGTGGTGGGGCAAGCGCAATGAGTTTTCCATGTTTCTTGTCTAATCGGCCTATTTCTATTTTTTTCCACTACAAAATATATCCGAATCTGGATGTAAATTTTCTGCGCCATGTTGTGTTGGGGGTAACCCCTCCCATCCCTAAAGATTTTCCACATGTGCTGGAAATTAGTATTGTATGATTTGGCATTGTATGAAAACCAGTTTTGAATTTGTCTTGTTACTGGACATTTTGCATTAAATACATCTTAAGTGATGCATTACAATTCAGTACACAATGATATGAAATACGCCGTTGCTTGGCCATTTCGCATAAAACATCAGCAAAATTATGGGAAGAAAATTCGTGAATAGTTTAACAGTCAATTATTTCCGACAGATTCAGGGGAGCTGCTAGGAGTAGTCACCCTACCTGAAAAAGTCTAACAAGAGTTAGCTCCGCAGATGGCCTCGTGTAGTCAGTGAAAACCTCTGGCACGACGCTGCAAACCATTTCGAGAACCTGCAAGCAAAACGAAACAGTAGGGTGATATAGTGAACAATATGGGCTGTCATTGGGCCTAGAAATGCACAGCTAGTGTGTTATAGCGATTGTGATAGAATGTAAAGATGATATTATGAATTGAAGGTTACACATTAGAATAAATTTAAAACTTATTTTTGAATATAAGGATGAATTTTTAACACATAAGTGATGTCTTATGAGCAAGCGGGCATTGATTTTCAAAAACATTTTAATGAAATAAAAAGCTAGTTTCTTGGAATGAGGAACGCCTGTTTCATTTTGCACCAAATTGATTTCTTGAGTCGAAATTCGAAATTAATTCATTGTATCTGTCGAGTACAGCATATTCCCACCATGATTAAAGTAACCAAAGAAGGTTATCATAATCAAGAATATGACAATAATTAAAATTGCACAGGATTCCTTACCCGTAAAAGTCCAACTGTCAAATCAAAACAGATACCACAAGTTCGCAGCTGTCTCGTATCTGGGAGAGCCGCGTCAAGTCTGGCTGTAGCTTGCTGGATCTTCAATATACAAAGCATTTTCATGACCATTTAGCATGAGATAAAAGCAATATTATTATTGTTAGCTGTAGTTTGTCCTTAAAATATCTTGAAACAATATTTTCCAGAATAATGCAAGTAATAAAATTTGAAGCCACCTAAATAAAGGGTGGACAAGCAACCATCAAATTTTGACCATCAAAAATCGAGTTATCCTCATGTATAATACATCTCATCTTAGTTAACAGTGCTAAAAGTTGACTTAAAGGTTTAATTGAGCTAGAAATGAATTTAAAAGCAGAGTCGTAACAGAGAACCTGTGACAAGATATCAAAGAGCGACATTGCCAGCAGTAAAGACAACAGAAAAAAGTTTATTCAACGATAAGCTAGGTCGTTTATTTGTGTACAGTAAAATGCCATGTCTTAGGAGGGCATCGTTGAATTTTTGCATCGTTGCTGGTTTGTATTGTTTTTGTTCTCACAAAAAATGCTCAGGCGTCGCAAGTTAAATGTGTAGTGATTCAATTTAGGCCATTTTATACAATCTATCATTGTCTTTTCTGAATACCATCGTAATGCTTACCTCGCTTGAGGGGCATTTTAGTCAATCATCGATCGATGTTCCGATGAACACTAAAAATGAACAAGAGAAAAATAAGAAACACGACTCACCTCCTGCAGAATCCCTACAAATTCTGAAAATGCCCAATTGAGCTGGTTAAGGACACCATTGAGAAAATCGTTTGACAGCTGTTGATCGCCAAGACATAGAGATCTCATCATTCCTTGAAACTCTTTTGAAGGACAAGGTTCTGAAAAACAAAGTATATGTAGATGGCTTTTGCAAACGTGAATGTGTTGGCTATGTCAATGTTTAAGGATGTGTTACAAGGACATTAAGCTTGGCGTAAAGTCGAAGAATAAATATTGAAATGATATACGCTATCCAAAGTTGGTAAGGACTTGTTTTCAGTGAGCTCCCACAATGAATGATACATTCCAATTAATAATTTTAGATCTAATAAGCTTATACGATATCACAAAAGCACAGCCTTGCAAAAGCACACACAAATTGCGCAAAGATTTATAACATGAATTAAAAATAAAACAGAGAAAAAAATTCATTTAGAAGAACTCAATACGATGATTAGTCAATTGTGACTTACATAAAAACATTGAAAGTCTGAAAAGCATATTGTACAAACACGTAATTACAAATTGACTCATGCGTATTCCGTGATACAAATGCGGTATTAGATTGAGAGAGATTATTGCGTCAGCTGCAACTGACATTCTACTTACTCTGGGTAAATGCTCGTATTGTGCCACCTAAAAGAAATAAAGAAATTAATTGCATTCATAGCAGTATTAATTACAAACTTCAACTGCAAAAAGACAAAAGTATAGTAAAATTGTAAGACTAGACGTGAAAGCGTTTGAGTGGTCACGGCACCAAACATTCAACTACGGCAAAACATTTGGGAACAACGTTCACTAACCTTGATCTGAAATCCCAAATGGAATAAGATCAGGAGAGGTAGCATGCCTGAAACCAAATCCATCTCCCTACACGACAAAAAAATATCACAGCAAAATTGAAAGCTTACTCGTTCAATGGACATGGTTAATATACAAAGCAAGGGGGAAATTATGGCCAGTGGGGGAATCAGCTTGTAGCATTATCATAAAAATAGTAAAATAAACACACAGTAATTAAAACATGCTAACGAAGCACTCACAAATTAAAAGTACCATCCATGAGGAAAATATGTCAGAGTTCGACCATATGCTTACCCTCCAAAATCGAACTAGAATCCACGTCGTGTGAACCCAGGTGCGTTTGTCGTAAGCGGACATCAGGTAACTCATGACTTTCTTCTTCCTAAAGGATAGGAGAACCCCTTGACAGATTTAAGGCCATGCAAGAAGAGAGGAAGAAATCAATTGCATGAACGTACTTTTACATACAACATCAAAAAATATTTGATCTATAAAACTGGCACTAAGAATGTTATTGTCTTTGGACAAATCCTCATACAAATGTAAAAGTTCTGAAAGATTAGATATGCAGTACATCTTCTTAAATTTCAATTTAAGAAAATAGCAAAAACATAACTAGGATAATCACAGCTTAATCAAACAAGAGTGAAATTCTAGTTAATCAAGCAACAATTGTAAGCAGATATTTACGTTTCTTGCTCAGTGTTTTCGATGGCATTTAGTGTTTCTGGATAACAGACAAAAGTCGCAACACCTTGAATGATGGTATCGACAACATCTAGAAAAGTAATGGAGAGACTGCTGTTAAAGAAACGCCCTGTAAGAAAGGATTGTTGTACCAGGGGCTACAAACATATCTTCCAAATCAAAGATCTCCCCCTTTTAACGACACTCACTACTGTTGATGAATTCCTATGGCATTCAGCAGCCTGCTCATCAGTAAATAAATTTATTTGTTTCACTTCTTTTCCCTATTCATATTCTTCAAGCATGGTAGCCCGTTAGTTAGACAAAAACCGATGTACAGAGGACCATGCAATATATACACTTAAAACTAAACTAAAGATATTACCATTTGAAACAATAAGTAAAATTAAGAGAGTTCATGTAAAAAGCACCGCAATTTATGCTTTGGGACATTTCATCAGCCTTTCCTTTAAATTCTTTAGCGTGGGTGCTTCCTTTACTTTATCGTTCAATTCATTCCAGAGACTAGCCTCTCGGAATGAGAACATCTTATGTCCTTAACATTGGAGCTCTATGGTTTTAGTAAGAATTTTACAGTACGTGAGGGTCTCGTTAACTCCAATGAACATACCGCTCATATACGACGTGGCCTCGCCGTAAAGGGATTGAAACCCATCCTGAGTGTTTCAAGATCAAGTAACTTTCTCGCCATAGGCCATCAAAAGTTGCGAATTGGAGACGAGGCTGACTGATCATATCGCTCTCCAGTTATGGGAGCAGGATTTTGTAATTTTTAAAGCTTGTTGTTTATGAGTTGCACTGCAGATTTTCAACAGCAGACAGGCACTCTTTGTATTGATGCCATAAAGAAACCGACTTTGTCTCTACAAATTCTTGGGCTACCTTACCTGGATTTACAATTCTGTCATTGCATAAGGATTCACTCAAAAAGTTTGCCATTTTTTGAAGCGTGCCTTCGTATCCTAAAAAAAAATATTGGTTTGAATTACAGGGATGTCAGATTTGTGATAAAAATCCTTTGATTTAAACCTCCTTTTTCAAAACGTTACCTATCAAAATTACAGTGTGAATTAACAAGAGTTACAAGTGCGTTTATTTCATTCTTCTAAAATATTTAAGTGAATATTCAAACCATTTGGGTAATTGGTAATTGTATTGGGTTTTAATGAAAATGTGCTAATAAAGTGTGAAATATCAACAGAATAAGTTTTTTCCTTAGTATAGATCCATTCTTTATGTCACCCTTGCTTCTCTTTTGCCTTTGTGAGAAAGGAAGTATTAAGACACATGTGCACGTGACCATAGCAGGAGTTTGCCACTAGAGATCGTCAGGCTATGCATTCTTTGGGTCGCATTAACCTTGGGCTCAGGAAACAAAGAAACATATCATGTCCGGTAAACATGACGTCGTGAGATGAAAGACCGATGCTTAATATTTTGCTTTAAAGGGTTTTCAAGCTGTTAAGAGAGCTAATGACTTCCCCAACACAACAATAGCAACCATATAAGCGATTTGAACGTGGTTTATAATACCATCTATATTTCCAAGTGACGTCAGAGGCATAAAGAAGTTCCACAATGCTTGGAAAAGGTAGATCGCCGTCTCGATATAAAATTCTGGCAGAAAACCAAAAAGCTTCCCAGTTCCTTGACAAACTGATATTGTGCGAAGGACACATTTGAGAAGCCAATGTAGATCTTCTTGCTTTTCCTAGAAATAGAACATGGAAAGAGAACTTTTTCAATTAAACTTCAATTCACCTCACAGTTTTCAAAGTCTCTCATTCTTCTGATTCAGTATCGCTTTAAAAATATTTTGCATGGTAAAAAGTTTAAGAAAAATGGAATTGAATTTCAAGTGATGGAAATTCAAAATACCTTTGAAAATATTACAGATTTAACCCATCCCATATGCCTTGCTACTTCCGTCGCCTCTGATGTAAATACTTTTCGTGCACGTTCGAGCTGTTCCAAAACGTCTTTTCTCTGCCAGAATATAAGCAATTAATTCAGAAGGAAAAATAGATGCATTGCGTAGAGAAAACATCAAATGATTTCAAAAGGCTAAGACAATAGAACAGAAGCATAAAAAGTGTGGTATGAAGGTTAAAAATGGGTTACTGAAAAATGACTTTATCGGTGATAAAGTTTGATTAATTGTGATGAATTTATTTCAAAGTTGGCATTTGGATTTCCTAAAGCATAAAACGATTTCAAGAACATACGCATTAATATTCAATATCAGGATGTTATATGTAGAAATTAGCTATAGTTTACTCAATAGCAACACGAAAAATCACAATTGTTAACGTATCAAAAATACTAACATCTTCTGGGCATCTTTTAATTTTCTTCTGTGTTTCAATCAAAGCCTTGGAGTGTTCTCTCATTGTTTCTGTTACTCCATGAACCTGTTAGTGTGATATCAAAAGAAATAACAAATGAATCACCTCACAAACCATGACATTTACCTAAGGTCATAAATAAACCCTTGTTATTAACAATTATTACCTGATAATGTCATCGTGTTCAAGTCTTATTATTTTCTATAGATAATAGCGCACTGTTGCGAGCATTCACAATCAAAACCAAAATTCCATACCTTGCTAAGCTGTCTATGGACAGCAGTGAAATACATAAGAACAATGGTATCCAGCATCTCCACAAGCGTCTTGTCTAGCGCCTCTGTTGCTGGCTGATTTGAAGCCGCATGACCCGAGGTCTGGGCACCAACAAGTGAACTTATAGCGGACGAGAAGCTGCTACTTAGACGAGACATGGCAGAAGTCCCAATAACCGTTTTCAATTCATCTGAAATGTATTATATAAATCAAAAATACTTTGCATTTCAAGAAAAAAACGAATGTCTAAGAAAACTAAAGCTTTCATCCCAGCTGGTTTTGGGATCAATCATTGATACAGAGATTTGTTAAAACATGGATGTATAGGCCAATTTAAGAAAGCAGAATTGTTTACTTACCTCTATGGGTTTTTTTTAGATGGGAGATGATGCCACCAGCTCTGTAAAAAGCGGGATATCAAAGCAAAACAGAGGTAATGCCCTTCAACGCTACATAATTACGAACATGTATAGTTTACTCACTGCATTGATTTCACAAAACGACTAACGTTTCATGACTTTTTTGGTAAGGTGACCCTTGCAAACAGCAGCTGTAAAAGGAGATCGCTCGAAGACGCAAAGATGTATGCTCTGTTCATAAAAGAAGAAGTATTGGCTCTGTTCACAGGGCTATCAGTGAGTCCAGAAGATGCACAGTACATAGGGGAAATGCCTGTTCATTGAGAAAAGTGATCCAGGGCTTGTCCTGTGACAGATGGCCAGTTCCTATCATCAATGCATTTAGCCTCCTGAGCGCTGCTACCGGGTATCCATTTGCTGTTGGGCAGACAGGCGGTGAGCGTCGCCCAAATTATTGGTCAGACATCACATGACGTGTTATGCAAAATGCGGACTTGACGAAAGTTTTCATTTTTTGCTTATAATTCAGCAGGGTTAAAAGAGTACAAACAAAAACTCATCATCAAGACCCTGTCCTTTTGGAGATCTTCACAACATTATCATATAGGTTAGCATTTCAGTAAGAAGATGTTAAATAATAAAATAATTTGCAAAACTAACCGTGCTAACTCAAAGTAGTTCAAGCTGTCATCGTAAAATACATTTGAAGTGACATATGCATCTGCAAAAACCAGCATTCAACAATAAAAAAGATTGAACAGATGAACAGATGAGACACTGTAGCAATAATATCTAGGTTGCATCTCAAAACTTTACTTAAGCTTCAAAGAAAAATAGATCGGTCTTTTCTAGGCGATCTTCCAAAATATGGAAAATTGTAACGATGACAGATGTGTAAGACGTTACCTTCGACCTGGGTAGGGTTCGCTGTCTCCTTAACCCACAAATCCCAGTGATAATAGAATGCCTGGATCAAGCGATGAACAAAACAGGTCATAACAGGGCCAGAACAGGCTTGAACTGGATGTAGCTGAAACAGAAGAAAGAGTGGTTAAAAAGAAAACGCTAAGAGATTATGTTATAAGAAGGCAACAAAAAACAATATGACAACATATTATAAACATATACGACCATTGCAGGTAACCAGTCTACATTAGAGCGCTTAAAGAGCATTAACGGACAAAAAGTGGAGATCGGCATATCTTTGAATAAGTAGCTAGCCCTAATGAAATACCTAGATATTCAATACAGCTTTACATATTTAACTGCATTTGAAATTAGACCACCCGGACTTATAATCTACGGTTCATTTCAACTTCTTATGCGCTGACGTGAGCTAAGTGGAATCCCACAACATGCCTTAAATGTCATATTAGAAATACGTGAAATGAAAGTCATGTTATAAATAGCATATTTTGATTTAATTTGCTTGGAATAAAATTTTGAAAATAAGATTTGATATGTTATTCTTTAGAAATAGATATTGCATGTATTTGCATGGCCAGTTCAAATCTGTCTCTTGACTAACGGTGTTTAAATATTTCAAAGCCACTGAAAAAAATAAACAACCATTGAAATTTGCTCTGAACATTTCTCGAAAAAGTCGGTCTTGAGTGAGACAAATGAGATCTAAAATAAATTGTCTTACCGAATGAGCTGCTAAGTGATGTTCTTGCAAGATCTTTCGAATCTTGTCAATAAGAATCACCCTGAGAGCTCTTGGATCCTAAAATAACAACAAAATGATCAGTAAACACTTCGATGATACCTGCAGAAAATTAAGATCTTATCAGGGCAGTATCCTTAGAGGCAAACGAAAGATCCTTAGAGAGAAGCGAAATGCTAGTGAAAGGGTGCTTTTCTTACAAATACTAAAGACGATAATAATGAATGGAGCAAATAATATCGCACGAAGAAGCTAAACAAAAGTAAAATGTAAAAAAGGCATTGACTGACCCTACGTGATGATGTATCATCAAGCTGCATAAGAATTTTGCACATTTCAACTTGGATATTTTCAAGGACTGAAAAAGAAATGATTTAGGAAACTATAATATATCATTGAAGAGTAGCTTTATCATGGATAAGTTACTGAAATCAACCAATCTATTCTTAATTGAAATCTTCTCGATGATAATTAGAAGAATAAGCGTAATAGTCATAATCCAAAATATACTGTGCCAAGGGAGAAGAAGGAGATTGAGAATAAGATGAAGACAAGGGACACAACAAGATAGAAGGAGAAGAAGAAGAAAAAGAGAAAGACAAGAGACAAAAAGAAAAGGAAGAATACGATGATAAGAGGAAGAATAAGTACAAAAGAGGAAGATAAAGAATAGGAAGATAAAGAGGAAGAGTATAGGGAAGAGAAAAAGAAGACAAAAAAGGAAGAGAAAAAGAGGAAGAAGGAAAAGAAGAATAAGATTAATAAAAAGAGACAAAAAAGGAGACAAGGAAGAAAAAAAGAATGTAATTAAAGAATCATCAAAGAGTATAATAATCAACATTCACATCCGTAAAGAAAAGTGAGATAATAAGCATCAACCAGCTTGCTAATTGTAATTAGCAGATAGTTAGCTTTGACAGGATTACATCCCGAATGGTACAGTAAAGATACTGAATTTCCAATACAAGACTATTAGATTTATGCAAGCTACTAATGCACTAGACTACAGGCTGCACTACATGTATCACAATTTTTATGATCTAAATAATTTGGAAAGCGTCATGATATTTGAAAGATTATTTTACTTACTACTTGCAAGCTAGCAAAAATATAAGAGACTTTTTTATAGAATGTTTTTTATAGTTTTACATACTTGCCACGTTTCCAGGCACTAGATTCAAATCAAATTCAACCGGCATGCATACGTTAAAACATTTTTAAACGCGCAAATGTATCACACTGAAACGAGGCGAGTAGACTTTGAAAAGAACAAACATTGTAAAACACACTGAACCTTGTCATATGATACTCTTTAGAGAATAGAACGTAAGAACATTGATAGAAAACACTATGCTAGGAAATATATATACTCAGTAGGGATCGAAACAAATCAAGCAGCACTGATTGGGCAACCATTACAGTCATGTGTTGGCGTTTCTGATTGCCCTCTTTCGATCCTCAACTGGGTGTATAGATTTCCTAGCGTAGAGTTTTCAATCTATGTTCTTACGTTATATACCCTGAAGAGACGAAAAACTTTAGTATATTTCGAAATGTTTGCTCTTTTCAAAAGCAGTTTTTAAATCCTGTACAACCAAAAGTTTGTTTAATAGTAGGTTGACACAAGCTACTAATGCGCTGGACTACAGGCCGCACAGTATGTGACATAATTCTAACTTGCATGTCCTAAATACCTGTGACTTTGTCTTGAATATCTGTGCATTCTTTATCGTAAGTTGCCTTCCGGTTGTCATATTCGGGGTCATCAGTATTCTGTGAAGGGAAGAATAGTAGGTGATCAGAGTCAAATTAGCAGAATCCATTGACTGTAGCTTTCTATCTTTCTTACTAGATGTAGAAGTTGATTATGGAAACAAAATATTGATATGGATGCAAATATCTGCAGGTAACGCGTGAACAACAAACTGAAAATTCTTATCAGTTTGTTTGAAACTCTAAATTGGCATTGAAACCTTGCAGACCACGCTCTCCTTAATAAATCTGAATTAGGTTGAAGCACTATTTGCGAGATATACACTGAAGACAGAGCAAAATGTAAATAGCATAATTAATTGAAAACTGTCCTTACCTCAAGGCCATCCCACCAAACAACTGCAAATGCATCTTTGATACCACGGTCATCTGGTGGCCTAACGTGCAGCATGTACGGGAATTTATGAAACCTTTTTACCGTTAAAGAAAATCAAGATTGAGAGCTCTAAATAATACGTTTTAGAGGAACTGGGAGCTAATTACGTCACAATATCAATATTTCTTTAAAGAAGGACGAAAAAGGAGCAAGGCACACGATAGTTTGGAAACGTTGATGCTTAACAAAATATAGGAAAGCTTAGCAATGATGATGGCACCTATCTTGAGACTTAAAGATGCTTGACTCGAATCCTTGCTTAGAAAAAACTTTATATTGAATCAAACAATTAAAATATAGAAAACACACAGTACGTGTTGGCAAATAACTAGCAATGGCTTAAAATAATTCAATATTCAAGGAAATTTCAGTTTGTGGATAATGATGAAATGATACTGTGAACTTGAAAGCCATAGTCTGCAAGTTGGTTCGTGTCGCAATAACTCCAATGCCACAACAAGGTAATTTAACTGAAACGAGATTCAATATGAATTCTAAACTCTTCAATAGTTGGTCGAATACTATGTTACCAGACATCTGAAGTTTAACTTACAGTAGTGAGTCCCTAATCAAGATCATTCACTATAAAGCATCTTTTCAATCAGGAAGAAGTTAGGTAGCCAATATTTGAGCTTATCGATTGAAGCGTCTGCTAATTCCAAATGTATAAAGATAGTAACAGAGCAAATACGATTTCATCTAACCAACGGCTCTATTTTAATATAAACTCTGGTTATTCAAGAAAAAGCAAGTTGGTTCGAATTATCAAAAGTTCCGAATATAAGAATTTAACCTTACAAGTAGAGCTATGCAAGGTTAAAATCATTGTTCGAAGAAATAATTTGAGTGTTAAGCATGTCACATGTTCGGATATTCATGTTATGAATTCTACACCAGAATATAAAATTTTATAATTAGATTTTTTCAATACAAACCCGACCTGTTTCTGATAACTCGATTCAACTGGACCAAACCAATATCCCTTTACAAGAGACCAAATCAGCGACTCGAATATTGCTTGAATCTCAAAATCCTAGAAAAAGTTGCTCTCGATTTAATGCATTCAATAGGGCTATTAAAAAGAGCTGTTAAAAACGTAAACATAAACACAAATAAAATGGTGGATTTTGATCCGGAAGAACTTAATCCATAAGAACGGCAGCTACCAACAATTCAATAATATCTGTGAGAAAATGAAGAGCAGGGAAGGAGGCAACGTCTTCAATCAAGAGTTCCTAATGGAGATTGCAATTTATCAGTTACCTCAAGACATGCCCACATGTATTCAAGCAAATTCTTCACTCCCTCTTGGATATCAAAAGGTTTATCGAGGTTACAAGATTTGAGAAGCGCTGGGATCAAATGACTGTCAACGATATAGGGATCCATCTGGAAGGAAAAAGTGACGGTATAAACATTAGTGCACAATGTTATTCACAGATAATATCATTTTAGTAGTATCAAAATATCGATTAGTCGTTACAGTATAAATGACATAGGTATTAAAAAATATTATCAAGTCAACGTTTCAATACATTACCATGAGTGGAGCAAGTTGCTCAAAGATGTGAGCTGCAGTGAGAAACGAGGCTGTCTCCGATTTACTGGAAAGTTCCGGTGTATCTGGGACTCTGTATGGCTGTACCAAAACAAAAACAAAAAACAAAAATAAGATACAATGATGCCACCTATCAGTTCTTGAAACACTTGAAATCGTCTTGCAATTGTGACTTCATTCCCAAGATACAACCTTATCTTCATCTCCTAACTCAAAACAATGTTATTAAAAAGTTAATCACCCTTAGATACCTTGAATTATATAAAAAATGATAAAACTGGCAAAGATCATCAAAAATGGAAACAAAAAAATTACAAAAATGCACCGTTTAACAGTAGAGCAAAGCAATATTGTATGAATAGAAAGGGTTTATGAACAAAACATTGAAAAGGAAGATTTTGTTTTAAAACATCTGGCAACGATCGCAGCCTGGAAAGTCATTGGGAGGAACAAAAAGGGAAAGTAATTCTAAAAGATAACTTCTTCGGAACCTTTTTTCCTTTGTCGGATAAAACTCGCATTTTTCACATCTATCGGAAAACGGATTCCAGTTCTGCTGTCATCGCACAATTTTTACCAGAACAGCAATCATTTTTGCGCCGTACTTGAATAAACATTGCAATTTCTGAACTCTAATAGCCTACAGTCGAATCCGGCATGTCCCCCGTGTCAAAGGATTAGATATGTTTGCCTCCTCTACAAAACAAAAGCCACGACGCCCCTGATCGAATCATACAAACATTAATATTTCTGTTTTCTCGTGCATATCAACATTAACAGGAAAGTTATAAAGTTATGTTGAAAATATCCTTCGATGTCCTTACCGTTGGCAAAAGTCTGTCTAGGCATTTGAACAAAGTATCTGCTTTATTGTTTTCGCAGACTGGCGGATCTTGTATCGGTTTGAAACCATCAACTGGATACCTATGAAACAAGTCAAGCTGATAGCAGAATATTAAACTAATGGGTATGGTAGGTCAAAAAGGCCAAAAGGCTTCAATCTATTCTCACAAAAGTATAAATGTGTTGGAATACTTAAAAGCTATTACTCAAAATTGTAGCAGAAAACGTCTTAATAGTTGCTCTTTGAATAACACTAGCCTCCAATCATGAAACTTTAATTTCACTGGCAAATTTTAAAAGATCTTTTTGTTAAATAAGGAAGATATTGCTATACAGAACTCTGCCAATGCAATTAGGCTAGTCTGGTATTTAAAACACGAAGGACGTTGTTCGGATACCTGAAGGGTGTGCCTCCGAAATTTAGCTGTACCACCTCCGCAAAGGACAAACTGATTGCAGGAAAGTAGGCATATCCCTTGCCACGACGGATGTCTCTGAAAGCCACGCCAAGTGAATGGCCGTTCCTAAGAATCAAAGACAGGATAAAATTATCCAGCAAACACAATTAATGACACTTGGATTAAGAGATGCAAAAGATTTTTGCAATAATAGTAGACATACAAATACGTAGACATACAAATACCTTGAATAGGAGATACATCCTTCATCCATATCGATGCAAACACCAATTATATCCCCAGCCATCCATTCCTGCAAATTATATCTAGCTGTCAAAACAGTAGCAACTAAGAGCATTTTCCTGAAATGCTACAGTCAAAGACTAGATGTCATCTTCAATATAATTAGTTGACAGAAAACAGAATCAGTTAGTTAGTACTGGAGAGCAGATAAATACCAGCATTAAGAAGCGATTTTTACAGTGAACACCGTATTATAAAACTCTCACGAGGAAAAGGATTTTCATTCAAGCGCAAGCTTTGTATCAAAGAGAATATGGAGTTACCACTGTATGAAAAAACTATTCTAAAAGCGATGCACCTTAAAACAAGCAATCAGTTGAGTAAACTTAAATACATGACTGTTTGACTCTACCTCTCCATATTTTCCAGTTGCAACATTCCATTTTCGAACTCTGTGGCCATCATAAGCATATGAATCTGGAGTATCCCCAACACCCTCCTAATAAAAAAATTTATGAAAATGATATGTTTTTAGTATAAAGATTGTTTGGCAAAGTTCCAATATGTTAAATTTAAATAAATAAAAAAATCTCGATTCTCGTCATCATTTTCAAACATTCATCATTCTCTTTTGTTACTTTCATGATATCAACAATTAAAGGAATACCTCATTGGTAAATTTGCACTTCATGGTTGCCCAGCCAAGTTGCATTATGCCTTTTGAGCCAAGAAGAACTTCATACATCCATTGACCTACATAAAAAACATGAAAAGCATTGTAAGACTCCAGATTATCACATATCTAAGATGAACAGGAAGCAATCAAACTTTCTAATTTGACAAATCTATCAAAACAATCAAACTTTGAGCTAAAGCACAGACAATTGAGCAGCTAATCCACTCTTGCTATTTCATGATACATATTGTGTTTGCACAAACAAAAACCCAACAGTCAAATTTCTTTTTATACATAACAAAATTAATTTCTTTCAATACAAACGATAAAAAGCTAACTTTTGTTAAATGAAATTATCATCATGAAAATAAAAAGAAATATTTACCTCTACAAACACAGACATTTGCCCGTATGCTGCTGAAATTACTCTGGCTTTCAATCTGGCGAAAAAGATCAGTTCAAGATTATTGTAACCTGAATGTATTTTAGCTTATTTCAAGGTCAGAAACTCTAAGGTCAGAAATAAATGGATCCAACTTTCAATCATTTCAGGACTTTTGAAGACTCCTTATCATTATTTCAGCCCTATTGTTTCATTGAAGAAAACATTGATCAACTTTAAACTCGAAATTTGAAATATCATTTGCAGTCACATTTAACATTACTTTATTTTCAAACAATTATTTTTGACAAAGGTATTTCAACTTATTTTCATAGGACGTTTTCAATTAATATTATCTTGAATCCTCTAAAATTCAAACTGTTGTTGAACAATTACCCAAAGTCTGACTACACTACAGATTACTGTTTCTACTTTTGTTATCATACTTTGCCTAACTATAAACAGAGCAATGACTTCAATTTTGCTAAAGATACTTACATTATATTTTAAATGGAGATTAACAATATCTGCATAAATATAAGGGAGACTAGAAGCATGGAGAAACAAGTTTAAAATAGCCAAATTTGTGATCCATCTTTACAACTCTAGCTAAAAGCGTGAATGCAATTTTGATATATAGTTAAAACAAATTTTCATATCAAAGTCAATTTATTTCTCATGAAAACCAAACAACCATAATAGCTTTATACCTTTATGTATTCTTTGATAAATTACAAACCTCAATTCTTTCTTTCTCAATTCTCATATTACCACATTGGCTGGTGGGATCAACAACAACAACTTCACTTCCAATACGTCCATCTTGCAAAGCCTTTTGTTCTGGATCTAAAACTAAATATAGCCAAATATAAAACATTAAACTGATGTTAATATGACAAAATTATGACTAAAAATCCTTGTATTTAAAAAAGGTTTAGTAAATAATTTATATCTAATTTATACTGAAAAGGAAATGTTCCATTATCCTTCAAGCCCTGTTCTGAGAGATTATAAAGAAGCCTTTGAAAACATCAAAAAAACACATGTAGATAACAAGATTGCAGAAAAAAGTTTGATTACAGTCTCCCTGAAACTTTAAAAGTTTTCATTAAACAAATCACTTCTTAAAAGTCATCATAATTGATTATTGTGATAAAGATGACTTTCTCTTATATCTTTTTGCATATACCATAACTGTATTTAATGACACTCGTAACCATGTTAAAATACATAAATGTGTATTAACAAAGTCCCTGGTCACACTATACTTTACCAGGTTTGCTATGTATGAGGCTCACTGATCAATTACTACTCTGCAAAGAATCCTCGTGATTTAATACATTACTAGGCATATTAAGGGGTTCTTTTATAAGCAATGATACATACTTTGTCTTTCTTGAAGTTCATGGAGAGCAAGCATCTGCTTTAAATTTTCTTGCAAATTTGAAAAATTTATTTCAGATCTGCCAAGTAAAAAGAAAAGGTTATTTGCTAGATATAAAAAACAGCTGGTTTCTTGAAGGGAATGTCTCATGTTTTGTCAAATATATGCATGTGATAAAATTAATAATAAGTACCACAACAAAGATTAAAAAAAATGTTTAAAGCATTCGAAAACTTCTTGTTACATCATGATAATCTGATAAATAGACAAATCCGGTATTAGACAATTCCTATTGTACCATTAAATAGACAAGTCCATTATATTAAATTAAACGTTTTGACTCTAGCTAGAGTCATCTTTAGAATATAATTACAGGCAAAAAACAACTTTAAATACAGAAAGAATAAACAAAGAGGATTGTAAATCATGCTTTAAATCATGCTTTAGAGCAGACACAAGGAATAACAAACAACCTGAAGAGATTAACAAGAAATGAAGGCACACCAAAGAAAACAATGCGGGAAAAGAAAGTCAGAACAAAATAATAGGAATAGATGTTTGTCGGGAATTCGGCTGTCACACTCCAGGTTAGAAAACATGTTTTTGTCAATGTTTCACTGTGACCATTGGCACATTATCAGCTCTGAATGGTGAGCAAAAACATTTGAGCTGTGAGCAACAATGCCCATATAAACATTACTTTAGTATAATATACAGGACTGCATTGATATTTTGGTCACAAGAGATCCAAGGTGCAAGCACTAGAAGTCCAGCGTAGCATATGCAAATTTTCCAGGCTGAGTCACACTGTACCAGCCATGTGTACCTCTGTGTGTTTAATGTGATGATTAGGAATATTCGAACTGACACTATAACCAATTGAAAAAATTAACAGAAATCTCACAATCCTACATTAGGGTTTAGATCAGGTTGTACCAAAGAGAAATTTGCAATAATACCCACATAATTAGCCCAGCTGGCACTGAGTTATCAATATTTGTTTGCAGAGAAGTTTGCATTTCTAGCCTGTGCAATAGCGCTTTTCATGATTGGAGGTTTAAGTCACCCCTCCTTATCATTGATTTAAGTCTAGTGACAAAGAACTACAGCCATACTTAAGCCATACAAAAACATTTCTATAACAACCAGTTTTAGAAAGTTTTAGAAAATTCCCTTTGCTGCATTCCCCTCCCTTTTACAAACCCTTCTACACTGATGATGAGAGCCAGGTGGCAATCACTACTTTGCCACTTGACAATAAAATGCCTGTCTAAAGTGACACTAATCCTGAGCTATCTAGAGCTGGAATAAAACATACAGTTTTGCTGCTGAAACAAAGGGAAATTCCATTTGAATTCACCATAAAGGCAGAAACTCGGATTATATATCACAATGATACAAGTGAATAAAAAAAAAATCAAGAAACTCTGAGAGGCCAAGGTACAATACTGACTATTGCATTCAGGTGTGATAATTTCATTAGCATTAACCAGAAATCAGGTCATACTACAGCATTTTTTCTACCCCACAAGCAGAAGAAAGAAAATCTTACCTGGAAGATGCCAAGGGAATATCACTTTCTGCAGTTGGAAAAATCCTGGCCAAGAAATTCTCAGTCGACATGTTTACAGAAAATTCTACAGAGAAATAAGTAAATTCAATTTGATACCTTAAAAAATTACTAGGAGGTCTCTAATTACTTTTGATAAATATCAACCACTTGCTGAATTATTCCCTTCACAAAATCTAAAAAGATGAATTGTAAGTTTAGAAATAGAACAAGAATCCCTTTTGGAAAGGAGGGTGTAAAAATGAAACTTATAAAAGGATTCCTAATTATGCTATTGTGGACAGACAGGAATCATCTAAGAAAATACTGAACTGAACCACTTGAATAGTCTTTAGTACATTTTCTTTAAAGGTTAGTAATTGACCCACTTTTCTAATTTTCATTCACATTGCCATAACTGTCGCAGAGTTTAGGTCAAAACTGTAGTCTTATTTTGTTGATTCATAAAGCACAAGTTAATAAAGCTCTTCTTGTGCCTAAATGTTATATATAGAAATCATTTTTGAAGACCTGGTTACTGGATTTCGTATTTAATTTAAAGCTTTTTAGTGTTCATTTCTTCTGTAAATTTGGGAGGGGTTCTCTCTCGGTTAGTTAGCCTACTATATAAGAGAGCACCTGTCAGAGCTCCAAAAAATATTTTCCTTTCTGAGAACCTGGGAAACAAGAAAAAAAATTTCCTGCGAGGTGAAAGCAATGTGTACAATAGCTCTACCAATAGTACACACAAATTTTCCACCAGGTCTTTAAATTTATTGCGTTGGGAGAAAGTTTCCAATAAAGTCACACTACCTGTTACAGTCAAATTAAGTCTAGGCCCAAATATGCAAAACTATTTATTTTAGCTCTGCTTACAGTCACACTTTGTTTGCAATTAAGAAATTTTGAAGCAGCATTTTGTTTGACTGTAACCGGAGTCTACTGTACATGTCAATTCCTATCAGCCATCTTTTTGGGCCTTTCATTTCATATGATGGGTACACATGTCAACATGATCGTTTACATTAATAAATGGTGACATCGCAATATTCAAACGACAAATATGATGTGAAAGAACATAAGGATGTAATTTGATACCAATCAAAAACTTTGCCACATCTCCCAAGAACTCAATCAAGACTCAAGACTTTGCCAAATCTGCCAAAACCTCAATTGTATTTCTAGCAGGAAAAAAGCTTAAAGGATGCAAATAATTTTCATATCTTTTGATCTTTAGAAATCCAAATGCATAGTCTGATATCAGGCCACCAAAACAGCACTTTTCAAAGCACAGAAATTGCCTAATTCAGGTTATCTGTTAACAAGGTCCTGGACACAAGGTACTGATCATTGTTTCCCAAGTTATACAATTTTTTGGTGATATTTGACGAATAAGTGATTGTTTTTATTTATAAAGGTTTCAAAAATATGAAACTTCTTTATTTGATGCATTGTTGTTATTGCAGAAACTGCTGTTTTTTATCAAGTTTTGCTGAAAATTTTCTGCCAAGCCAAAAAACTTCATGGGAATCTTGTTCGAAGATTTAGGCCACAAATTATATTCTTGTTAATTTGCTCAATAATTTTGGCTGAATACCTTGAAACTTGTCTTCTTCAAGTGATGAGATTTCAATCCATGAGATCACGCCGGTTTATGCTTTTTTCTTCCGTAAAACTTCACGATCGTAAACAATTTAGAACTTCTATCACAAACAATGTCCTACAGAAGCTCCATCAATCTCCTGTCTCCCATTCAAACCGAGGCTATCCAAACTGTGCCACTCTCGAGCAAGCCCCCCACCTTGCCCAATGAGCTCCCTTGCTAAAAGTTGAAACAAGTCTATTCTCTGCAAATCCCGCTCTCTTCAATGCACCCTCCAGAACCCTAACATTTGGAAATAACAAATCACAATATTATTTACACTAAAACAAATGGGGTCAACCCTTTTTTTCTCAGGGGAAAGAGGACAATATTATACGTGAAACAAATATATTTTGCCGGGGTTTGAGGGGCTGTTGCCCCATAGTTAGTAAGGTACTGTGTTATCGCTTGTTAAAAGCTCTTGAAGAGACCAGCAACAGTGCTAATTGCACATTTTGTAATAGGGTTATTTTTGTCAAAACGAATACATCCACCCTATCGTTACCGTCGATATAAACTAGTCCTTCAATGAGAATTGAGACAAAGAGACAAATAAATAATGTTTCAAACGTCCATCTTCCGATCATGTGATCTTTCCGCGAAAGGTTATAAACTTCACAATGTTTCTCTAACAGGCACAGTCTTTCACAAGCACTGTCCGTTCAAACTATACTATAGTAATGCACAATCAATAAATCATCACGCGCGACTCCATAAATCCAAATACGTATTCTATAAATCTATACTTCATGTCGACAAGATCTTTCACAAGCATCTTGCCACATTTATAAAGCGTCGAGAACCTAAATATACAAAATATCAAACTTAACCTAATCGCTCTTAACCGAATTCCATTTCCAACTTCAACTCCAACTCCAACGAACTCAAAAACTAACTCTATATGTAACACGCCCAAAATATAACTAAACAAGAACTTATTATAATGCTACATAGCTACGTAAATTTACATAATAATAGTGAATACAAAATATATTAGTCCCAAGATTAATTACATAAACTGAATACTGACACTAAAAATCCCAAAAGAAATAGTTAATGAATCTAAAGGTGAAATTTGAAAACAAAAGGAATTATAAACAATCGAATGTGCGAACGGTGATGAAATTTACTAAGGTTACAGGATGCAAAACAAACGAAATCCAAACTAGCACTATTGCAATTTTGTTGACGTAGACCAGATGCCTAATTCAAGTTGGAAAACAATCCAGCCATACCTACCCCACCCTTAGACATTCCAGGCCAACACTCAGCAATCCTCATGCTCAAAAATTATCATTGGCGTGGGAACCGGAGGACCCAGAGGGCACGTGTCCTCCCCCCCCCACTTTTGAACATTTCAGATAAAATGCCCTTTTGCAGGTTACCGAGTTGCTCATGAAAAAACTAAGCAGGGGGTGAATTTTATATACCCTGGGTATCAGAGCCGCAAAATTTCGAGCGCGAAAATAGAAAACCAAGCGAAGAAGTCGAGGAGCGTCTAGCTGAGAAGAAGGAAAAGTCTACGTCACGTGGTGATGTTCTCTTCTTCTCAGGTAGACGCTCCCCTTCTTCCCCACCCCTAAGTTCTGTTTCTGCCTCGAATTTATTTGGCTCTGGTAGAACTTTTGGGGGCATGATTCAAAAGTTTTCCACGAGATCTGCTTTCAGAAATGTCAAAATTACAAATTTCCCTAGGGCCTAAATTAAACACTTGCAAGAAAATGTCTGCAAGAAATATTCTAAAATGTATTTCAAGCTAATCTAAACAACATGGAAAAAATGTTCTTCTCGTTCTTCTTGTAAAAGGCCTCCGTTCTTCTCGTTCATCTACCGATAAACGATTTATCGAACAACCACGATTCTTTTGCACCTACTAAAGATTTACCAACTCATGCAGAATTGGAGGGTATAACACCCTTACACACCCCGCTATCTATGTCCCTGCTTCCTTAACATCCTTTTTCATCATTTCTGGAATCATTGTAAGGGTGCCCTCAACAGCTGCCCCCAATTTTATAATGCGTCCTTCGTCCTTAAAATTTACTAATGCAGTGAAATCACCATGTATGAGCATCTGCCAAAAATATACACCTCAAAACAACTCCAAATGACTTTCTGCAGTGACGTCAGTATCGTAGGAAGGATGTAATTTTTTGAGGGGCACAACAATTTGACAAAAGGAAAAGTTAATTGGCAATAAGGGGCTTTTATGATTTTTGGAGGGGCATTATCCGTTCCAAGAACAAAAGTTGATCCCTGTCAAGTCATCGTCTTTTCACTAGTAACCGATAAAAAGGGCAACTTGGTCAGTAATTTGATTTATGGAAGTTTCACTGCAAATTCACGTCCCAGAGAATCATAAAAGACAGATTTTAAGTTGAGAGTGGAATCGTAACACCTTTGAAAATACCATTTATTTCTGTCAACGTTGGCAAAATAATTTCCCACCTTTTGACCTACAAATTCGATATATGTTTCCGAACGGTTTCTTTGTGAAAAATAAAGGACATCCCACAGAAATGTGAATCACAGTTTTATTAACCTTTCCAGTTTCTCTTTGAAAAACGTTAAATAATTTTCATCGTTATATACTCACAATAAATGTTCTAACAATTACACAGTGCATTTCACTCCTGTTCGTCGTTTCAAAATATTTTCATTTTGTGATACTAGATATACTTCTTTGAAAAAAAGTCACTCAAAGAGTTGAGCTAACTCTGATTTAAATTAAAAAAAGGCATGATATTTATCAAATTCGTATGACAGAAAAGAATGGAAGTTGCATTAACACCTAGAAACAAAAATTTAGACGTCAAAACCCACGTGGAACAGAATAACAAAAAGTACTTCGCTTAGTGACAAATTCTCAATCCTTAGTTAAGGAAACGAAACAACATGAATCCTTGCATAACAACTATCGACTGATTGCTCGAAGAGTGACCTCCAAATTAATTGGAAGCTCAACAAAAAGTTTTGGAGACGAGTAAGAACATTTAACAAGAATGCGATTAATTTCTGTTGAGACAAACAATGCTATATGTACAATATCACCGTCGTAGATGATTTTATTGGCCTAAATGCCAAGTTATCAATAAAACAATTAATAAAGATATTTCCGTCTGGAATAAGGGGAATTCTCTGTGTGGATTAAAAGTACTGGAGGGAACCGTATGATATAGACCCTACTGAAACATATTTGCAGATGTCGAATATCAAAGTATTCCTAGATATCCTTTGGGCTTGTATTTCAGATGCAACTTGGGGGAATAAAATTCATTTGAGAAAGAGTCCTGCCGTTCATTGTCTAGGGAGTGAATTTTGGAAGCTAGCTCGACCCACTTAAATAGCTGGCAAAACTGAACACATCTTTCAGCACCTAAATCAAAACATCAATATTTTCTTAAAAGATTTAAAAAGATAAGTTCAAAAAATGATTTCAACTCTTCGGCAACGATAAATTAGCATAAAGGTACTATTTGTAGGACTACATAATTTAACTTACACCAAAAATCTAAAGAAGAGAAAAATTTCAGAATGTACACATTGGAACTTCATTTATTCAAAAAGCTAATGAAAATTGCGGTTCAATTCTTGGCAAAAGATCATTTAAACTTGCCGGAGGGTACGGCTGCAACTCTTGTGAAAATTCGCCAAAATAATATGATTTTGCAAGTAACAATTGTTCTAAGCAGTTCTTTGAAAATTCAATAACAAAGGAGAAGTACGTGAAATAATATGAAGTAACTCATTGCGAGATAATGGAACAATTGTTTCTTGCAAGTATTTGTCAGTGAAATTCAGGACAGAGTGCTTACGACTTGTCGCCCGCAATAAAAATGAGCAAACTCTTGTATGATATATTAACAATCATCTTCAACCCTTAAAAAAGCTAATTACCCCGGATAACTACGGTGTCGATGGTTCAAGAACAGACCTCTGCTGCAAATGTTGCGAGGTCACTTGCAAAGTTTGCGAGCTCACGATTTGCGCCGGAAGGTTACGATTAGGCGAAACTACCAGTTTTGGTAAAATTTGTTGCTGGTACGACAAACTTTCCGCTTGCATTGCTGAGTTCAGTGGAGATATCATGGATTGTTGTTGCAGTTGCTGGATCTGCATTTGCTTCAGTTGAGCAATTGGTTGTGATGTTGAACTGTATTGTGGGGTGTTGGATAGTAGCTGCGTAGAGGTTGTGACAAGGTTTGTCTGTTGCGAAGGCGACCTTACAGGGTTCTGCACTGCCTGACTTGGGCTGGGGGCTTTCCGTGAGTCAAAAGGTTTTTGAAATGGACTTGATCTTTGATTGTTTGTATCTAAAAGAGAAGGAAAAAAGATCAATCCAAATGCAGATTGTGATTTGAAAAAAATATTCTAACAAATTTACCTTCTGGTTTAATGAACAAGACAAGAATTTGAACAAGAGCTTGATTCAAAATTTCACTTTATCTCTTTCGTTACGTTCAGCTAAAAATACTACTCAGTTTATGGGTCATGTTGCTAAGTATGAAAATTTGAAGTAAAAAGATTTTCACGTTGACCAAAAATCCCTTGTTCACATTGCGACAACAACTTTCAGCTATTTCCACTAATGGCAATCATTCACTAACAAACTTTGATTTTAATTATCATATCTTCTTATTGACTAGCTTATTACCATTAAAATAGGTACAAAAGAGCCACCAATTTCTACCAATGTTTACCAACAAAAAGGACATACAAGATAGATGAAGGGGTCAACTCCTGAGCTGATCTGACTGCATTGTACATCTCAAATTCAGAACTATCATTTTGGTCAAAGCTATTTTACAGCCAATAAGAGTAAGATGGTCTATAAATCATTAAGGTAAACATGGGGTAAAAAGGAGAATCCTTTTTCCAGGAAAATCAAACCCATATGAAGGAAAATATGTTAAGATGATCAAGAAATAGCAATTTCCCATTACGCACTCGTGATTCACTGATCAAGTCACATGACACTGGAAGAATATGAGGGGAAAGACAAACATTTGCGTCTGATGATTGATAATGGTGATAAATATTGATTATGATTGATGACGATTGATGGTGACGATTAATGGTGACTGATAATGGCGATTGGTGATTGTGATTGGTGATGAGATGGTGATTGGTGATGTTGAATTATGGAACTTATATAGAAACAGGAGACAAGCTTACCTTTGTGAAAATTCTGCAGCTGCTGCGAAGGCTGCCGTACAACCAACTGCGATACTCTTGAAGGCCCGGAGACCGCAAGTCGCTTGGTGGCCGACGTCGAGGAGTTTGCTGCACGTATGCTTGCGTTGATGTTAGCGGATGCGATACTTTGCCCAGGACTATATGCGATACTAAAAGTTTCAGGAGACGAGACAGTTCCATTGGCCAACTGAGAAACAGGCTGCTGACCCTAAAAGGGATTTAAATTGAGTTATCAGATTTTGCTCATTTCGAAAACTAAGACGTAAAATGCTAAAGTTGACTTTTCTTTTAACTATACCTTATCGGCGTTTTAAGCAAGCATGCTTGTAGTTTAATCGTGTTTTTCAAGCTGCAAATTTCTGTCTGATTTATACTCTGTAATACCCATCTATATAATCATCTCCTTCAATTTCTAACTAAAAGTAGTATTCATCAAACATTTAAAAGTTTACAAGGAGAACAAACGTTGCCTAAATCTCTATCTTATTTTCTCCGCATTCTTTCCAACGACAAAGTAGCCAAAACTGTGTAACATGACGTATTAAGGATATTTTGACCAAGATATATTTAGGATTTCAAAGCAAAAATAGAAACACTCACCTGAGTCGCGAGGAAGACCCCCGGCGAAACACTCTGTTGGTTCCCTACACCGGGGGCAGGTAAAATCTCCTTTAGGTTTCCTTGGTAAGCAGCTAGGTTTTGAACTTGGGTAACATTTGGTAGCGATACCATCATTCCCTGCGTTACAGCCACATTCGGGGCCACCATGTGATTGACAACCTGCCCTTGATCTACAACGACATTCTGCGATCCGGCAAGGTTTATACTTAAATTCTGTGGCAAACCTTGGTTTATTCCCATTGTCTGACATAATGATAAACTTGAGTTCAACCCGATGTTTGTATTCAGATTCGCAGTTATATTACCTCCTGTTATGGTCAAGTTAGAAATTCCACTTTGTGCGGAATCAGTGCAAAGCAATGCTCCTGATAGGAAATTACCGTCCAATGATTCAACATCAAAGCCTTGTAAAGCCTGTCCTAATTCATTGACGCATTTTGCAAGGTCGACAGCAGTTGGATCCTTTAAATTAATACTATCATTCACGATGTTATCTGATAAACTTCCATCTTTGCTAATAAATTCATTTTTAAGTGCGTCTGCAGAGTGCCTTCGTTTTCGTGACGACGAATAATGTTCACTCAAAAACGAGTCAGAAACCTGTCGTTTAAGATTTGCTTGAGAATTTTCTTTAGAGACTTTCGTCTTCACACGCGGAACTGGTCCAAATCTACTTGGTTCTGTGGTTGATGACGAATTCAAAGTAAATGAGTTTGAAGTGTCCATTGTACTGACACCCTCATCAAGGACTTGGGTGGAGCAAATGCCTTGGAAAAAGATTAAAATCATATCAGAACACCTTTAAATCAGAATCGAGCAAATAGAATAACAAGAAACAATTTCACTAGAAGCAACAATTCAGGGAATAAGAACAGCTTGTGTATGTGAAAAGAGTTGTCTTCAAGAAAAGTCTCATATGTGTACGATTTACAGCTTGAATATAGGAAAATTTCTAATACAAACAAGACATATTCTGAGAACAAAAAGATTCTAAATCATAAGAAGATTTAGGAAATACAAAGCTCTGCTGGTGATGTTTCGCGATTATTCAAGATTTCAATCCAAAACATCTTACCATCAGCCGCTGAAAAACGCTTATAACTTAGCTGCTGAGAATTCACCCTAGAAGCACAAAAAAAAGAGATGAGAAATCAAATCTTTTCTATTTTGGGAATATATTGTACTTAAACATCTTATAGGAAAAGAACATGAAGGACTTTTAAAACATGAAATGGAAAATTTTGCTTAAGTTGTAATCCTTGTAACTTTACGAAGATAAATTTTCAAAAAGGCTTTTACCAAATTCAGCTCTATGTTGCTTACCAATTTTCAAACCGAAAAATAGGTGCATACAATGAAAAGTAAAATAACAGTGAACTTTTTAAAACAAGAAGCTCTACAAATTCTTAATGAAAAACGAATAATTTGCAGCAAATTTTATCGTCTAAAACCCCAAATATAACAATGAAGAAAAACTTTATGTAATGAATTAAGTGCATTTCTAAGACAAATAATAACTAAAGGATGCAAAAGAATAAACTCTCACGTGTTCGAGTTCGCTTTTATGAGTTGATCCACCATAGTTTGGGCTGCAAGCCGAAAACTGTGGAATTTTTTGTTAAAAGAGTAGCATCCACTTCCAATGCGCCGGGCAGAGAAATTGTTTACCTAGTAACGTAAAAAGCATTAAAATTGGCATAAATAGCATAAGTCAATACTGAATAATCAGCATAAATCAATACTGAATAATCAGCATAAATCAATACTGAATAATCAGCATAAATCAATACTGCATAAAAATGACTCTTCAGCAATTGAATATTTTTTTTTGCGAAAGTCTGTTTGCAATTGTTATCCTGACTCGAAAATTGACAAGAAATGAGGCATAAAGGAGGTATAGAGGAGAAAAGAATTTTCAATTTACTAAAATGATTATACATGCTTTTGAAATATACCCTGTATAAAAAATGTTAAGCTATTGCAAATATATCCTGGCTTGAGGTTTTTACATTCAAAATCAATCTAGCCATGTAAAAGGTTGAAAACATCAGTAGCGTTATAAGGGAAGAGCATTATTCGCTGCTAAGGTCTCGCAAACTCTATCATTAAATCTTCTTAATAGTCTAAAAAATATGGAAATCCTCAATTTACTTACTGCTAAAGGTTTTGGGTGATATGAAATTGTTTGTATTGACGAAGAATGGTCTTCGCAGATATAATCCACGTAGGTAGGTTGTATTTGCGTAAATGGTGAAGTGTGATCGTCACCCAAGGAATGTTTCTTAGCTATAGAAGAAAAAGAATTGTGAAAAGAACAAAAAAGCGACGCAGAGGGTATTAAACGATGGTAGAAGATTAAGCTTCGATAAATGCTGGTTTAATAATCTTGAATCTGGTTTCATAATCTTGAATCTGGTTTCATAATCTTGAGTCTGGTTTCATAATCTTGAATCTGGTTTCATAATCTTGAGTCTGGTTTCATAATCTTGAGTCTGGTTTTCTAATCTTGATCTGGTTTAAAAATCTTGAATCTTGTTAAAAAACCTTGAGCATGGTTTATATAATCTCGAGTCTGGTTTAATAATCTTGAATATAATCTTGTTACAGATACTCGTTGTTGCTGTTGCACTATTGAAAACCAAAACTTGCGTAGAAAAGACAAATTTAAGAGACACGGACAATTTTGATTAAAACTGTGGCAAGATGTGGTAACACTTACTAGAGAAAAGTCATTTACAATGGGAGCTTATAAGCAGGAGATTGCATCTAAAGCAAATGATGGTATATTTATCATAAGCCTTACGAGCACCTCTACGTATAAAAAGTCAGTGATAACAAAATCTCAATCGAAACCGGAAAAACAAGGACAAAATAAGCATCTTTCGGTGTCTTTGAGACTTTAATTTTAGGAAAAAAAACAGGAGCGGACACTTGGTCAAATATTGGGGGCAAGCCTATTGTTTTGATGAGATGATGTTAAATTTCCCCTTTTTGTTTTAGAGCAATAGACCATTGTTTTCTAAAATATTGGGGAGCGACCGCCGCTTCTTCGCTCAACAGGTGTCTGCCACTGAAAATCCTTATTTACCCTTATTCTAAAACCCCGTAGTTAGTTAATTGATTCAAACTCATAAAAAAAGATACAAGCGAAACATGAAAGAGACAGAAAAATGAAAGAGAAAAAATTCATCACAAACCTTCAGACCGGAAAGAATCTTTTGATGACGGTGATCTACAGTAGAGAAGAAAACGATATAAGTTTTTAATCAAAATTAGGATCTGGGTAATAGATAAAAACAAGAGTAAGGGAATATTTAGCAAATAAAAATTATTCAAGAAGCTTTTGATTACTTATATAAATAGATATAATTCTGTAGAATGTGACAATTTTCAGACGAACATGCACAACTCTCAATGAGAAAGTAGTATATTTGTATGTAATAAAATCTAGCAGAAATCTAGAGACAATTCCTTAATTTACAAAAAGAGCTGCTTTGAAATCTTTAAAAATTCTTGATAGATATTAATTAATAATCTGCATGCTTTGGTGTCAAGAACAGAGCAGTTCTAAGTTGCAACTCCAAGTTGCGCGCTTGATGACGTCATCAGGCAACCATCCAGTATTAAGGAACAATTGCCTGATGATCGCATTAAGCGTGAATCGCGGTGCTGAAAATTCGAATCGTCTGCTCTTTACATCAAAGCGTGTACAGATCTGCCTATACCGCATTGAACACTTCAAGACAAAAATTTATCAGACAGGTATACAGTAATATATTTGTCAATGTGAGGATTCTATTAGGGTTTCTGTCTTCCTAGTAAGAGGAAGGTCAGTTCCATAAACACTGCTGTTAGTGAAAGCTGCTTATTACCTTGGGTCCGTTGCACTTGAAAGTCGTCGCTCTGACTTCAACGTGAAGTTGGGAGGATTCGACCGGGTTGGCGAAGGCGTTGCAGTCGGCGTGTTGGTGCCTGATGACGATCCACTCTCCTTGTTGCTCTGTACGCGCAGCTTGTAATCAGCCAACAGGGCATCAAAGACTTTGGACCGCCCCGATACTTCTCTTCTAGATGCTAACGAATGTGTCTGGAATAAGGGAGAACAGTTCTCAGAATCGTTCAAAGTTAACAAAAACATCAAATCAATACTGATTGATTCATAGCAATACCAGCTAGCGTTTATGAGAAAAAAATTACAAGCTTAAACATAAATGCACCAAGCACTGTTTGTGAACAAACACAGGAACAGTGGCGGACACTTTGGGCGGCGAGAGGGGGAGGGGGGCGACCGCCCCCCCCCCAATACTGAAGAGGACAATGGTCTTTTGTTCTAAAACAATGGGAAATGTGACGTCATCTTGTTAAAACAATAGGCTTGCCCACCCAATATTTGATCAAGTGTCCGCCCCTGCACAGGAACAGCTTTAGAGAAGACAATTCGGCAAATAAAGTTACTGAAGTCAGCAGAACAAGAAGATAGCAGACGATAAACTATCGATTTGAGATAATTGGTAGATAGAATAACAGAAAGGATAGGGTATATAAAGAGAAAGCAGACGGCGTAACGGACAACATAACCGGGAGCGGATATGCAGAAAAAATAAACCGGCATAGAAGGAAAGTCGCCATTATGTGGAAGAAGCGCGGGGCAAAATCAAAAGAAAATACTGTCAGAAAGTTGATACTTTCTGCTTTCCAAGACCAACATCCTTACATTACACAATACCATTGAAAAAGTCCAGCTTGGGGAAAACAAGTAGAAACAGGCCATTTGTGCATTTATACAGATTTTTGAGTTACACAAGACTTAACGGCTCCGACAGCTTGGACATACACCTTAAAAACGCTCTACTCTTGAAGCTTCTCAAAAAATGTAGGGTTGATTGTTGAAAGATTTAAGACGTTCTGGGAAACACGCGGAAAGCATACCTTGCACGTGAGTGACCTGGTGCAGTTCCTGGTCTGTTCTTCGATCCAAACACCACAGTGTCTCTCTGGATCATATTCTTTATCTAAAAGGAAAACACGGCATGCGTTTATATAAAGAAACTCAAATGAATCCGCCCATGAGATTCTTTAAATCACTAAGCCCTCCTTAATGGAATATATTCTTTAAATATAGAGGGAGGGAGAGAGAAAGGTAGCTTTGATGAAATCCTGCTAGCAATTCAGTGCTGGACAATGCATAGACAAAGCATTTTAAAAGTAAATGGAGTTCATAGATAATAAATGGCCATTTCTGTGACCTGCAAATATGCACTTTCCCCGGTTTTTACGTCTACAAAGCCGGCAAGGAACATTTATTCACTTCTCTTTTTTTTATTCATAGAAATTAATAACAATGCAATTTTAATTGACCATACTACCCTAATTACTGTACTACACTACGGGGACGATGCCATGAAGAGCGAAAGGCAATGACTACCCCATGGCCGATACATAAAAACGTTAAACATTAAACAAAGATAGAAGGAAATATAAGTAAAACTAGGTAAACTAATTACGAATACAGAGTAAACAGACAAAAAGTAGATGCTAATGTATAGGAGTGTGCAGCAATGGAATATTTAAAAGCGTTCTGAAGCATGAATGAATTTGAGCGTTGCCTGAAGTAGCTTCTTATTTGTGTCAAAGGTTAAACGCTCATCACCATACAAAATGAATTTGAGTAAAACTTCATTTGAAAGAGACAAAACACCACGAGAGAGCGATATTGCATTCACACTACTGAGAAGATCAGATCTAGGCCGGCAATACGAATGACAGAGCAGCAGGAAATGTTCCGTGTCCTCTACCCCATCATTTGCGGGACTCAAAGGGTTGAATGCATCTCTAAAGTTATGTCTATATTTATGATAATTTAGTTTGCTCAGTCCTACCCGTAACTGAGTAAGAATAGCTAGACCTTTAGGATCATGAATATCGTATACTAGTTTAGGAGTGGGTCGGATAAGTTTCGATAACATTGTTTTAAAAATATTTAGTGAGGGTGATAACCTATTCTCTGGGTGCGTTCCATTCAGAGAGACAGTCGGGATAAAAGCTGTTCTTGAATCTTCAGCCCAACTACATCTGCATAACGAAGATGCATCTGCATCTGGATTATTCCAGTCAATGAAATGAGCAATCAACACAAGGCATCCCCTTTTCTATTTATATCATATACGTATCGCTTCAGATTGCCGAAATGGGCACTTATCTTTTGATAAACATGAGCAAAAAGCATTATTGACACCCTTAACTTTCCTCACCTTTATTAATAATCTGTTTCTTGTGTTGTCCCTTCCAGGTTGACGTCTGCTTTTCAGAACCGGCCTTCGCTTTGTTTCCAATCACGTTCTTTAAATTTATCTTCGGTATTTTGCCTTTAGCGGTGTGGTTGAAATTCGGTATCGTCAATGGGACCTCTTCGATTTTCACATTGATGTCAGTTGGGTCCACCTCTTCGATGCGGATGAAGCTGTTGTCCCCAGGGGATTTTAACAGTTTTGATTTTCCGAATGTGTGTGACGGTGATAGAATTTCCTTTGTCACTGAACATATTCTGGTCGGTGATCGCTTTATAGATGACAAAACCTTAGGATGCTTTCTCTCTGCAAGAAAAAAGGTTATGAAATTTATCGATAATGATAGCGACACAGTAAAGTTTAAACATAGCTAATTAATACAGAATTTGATTCTTGCTCTGCCACTATTCATTATTTATCATTCACAAGGTAATTTTTTCAAATTTATGCAACAATTTCTAGCCCGCTCAAGTGTTGTGATATTTTTCAGCGCTTCTGGCTAGTTTTTCAGAACTTGTTTTCATAAAACAAATGTATCATGGAGTATGTGCAGATATGAAAACCATCACCAGACTAACTTTATCTGACGCTAGATCCTAATTCGAAAAGGTTACTGCTATGCAAAGAATAAGGCGAGGACTGATGCATGGATGAATCAGTGGCATATAAATAATCCCCATGGACTTACCGTAGTGGGTAATCAGCGACGATACCTGCAAGATGCACTTGCATTCTTTGCAAACAGCTAGAACCAAACCATCTTTAGCAGGGCAAACGCCAAACAGCCGCATATCTGAAAACCCAATAAAATGTGACATTTGACAATGTTGAAGCTTGATTTTCACCTTAGGAAGGGCTAAAATTATTTTACAACGAATATTCATCAGTATTACTTATTTTCAGTCAAGTGACATAAAATATAAGAAAAAAATGATGTAGGTTTTTCTAATGCATTTCTGGCCATGACTGTCTGAGACAAGATGAGAAAAAGTAAAGGATGTATATACTTAATATCAGACAATAATTGTGAATGTTTCAACTTTTCTGAATGATTCACTACAACTTGGCTTTCATCATCTGATAAAGTTTTCCATTCACCGGCCATGCAGACATCTATTAATATCGCATAAAGACAAAATGCGAAATTTTGGTTTTCTAATATCTGGCAGCTGGCAATCTTGAGTATTATCATTCCCGAATCACATTTTATGTTTCTTATCAATCAAACGTTTATGGAACTAAAATAATGTGTTGTTATAAACTTTGATGATTATAGGATAATAAATTGTTGCATGATTACAAAATAACAATTATTTAGGCAGCAATAAAAATGCGTGCAGTTATAGTTTTTGCAGTTTATACATACCTTCTTTATGCAATCTTGCTGCCTCAGTGTTTATTCCTTTCGGATGTACTAACCCTGCAACAAAGTGACTTTTTTAGCTGATTGGTACACCAAAGTATTCTACATTCAACAAAATGCAAAAGAAGTAAGAAAAAAATTAAAATCAGCAAAACTGTAATAAACATACAAGGAATAAAAAATGAAAACTTCTTTTAAAAAGTAGAACTAAAGGCTAGCTCCAGCATCAGATTGAATCAAACTGAGAAGTGGTCATTTATAGGACAAAAAGGACTTGTATTGGTCTAGTATTTAAAATGAAGAATCCAGTCGCAAAAAATGTATTTATTCAAGTGCTTAAAACTATCGATAAATGACTTATTAAGGATTAACTGGATAGCTTGGCACTTGACTGAAGTGAAGAATAGAATTTCATTTATAATCTTAAGCACAACTAAATGTTGTCAATTAAAATCATACAAATATATGCAAATATAATCTGAGTAGCAGGTAAAATCCAAGAACTAGATAGCTTTGTTTCAAAGAAGAGTATCCCTTGGTGATATGAAAAATGTGATAAAGCAAGATAACGATCACAAAACTTCATATGTCCCAGTTTCAAAGGATGAATAAACATTATTTAGTATATAAAAGTTTTTCCAGGCGAAATAAAAATAAAAACAAATAGCTGAATTAAATTAATTAAAATATAAGAGAAAGTATTGGTGAAAATTAGCAACTTTGTTTTCAAGAGTATCCACTGCAATTGAGCAGAGCTTAAGTTTGAGAGCAGGACAACCTTCTTACAACTATTTGACAATTTTTTCAGAAATGAGGGAATAAACAAAACTAATTATTTAAGCTGAAAAACTAAATTCCTATAGACATTCTCTAGTGGATAAGCTGCAGTGATGCAGATAGTATCCAATGCAACTTCAAACCAGATTATAAAGTGTCAAATGCAGACAATATCAAATATCACCTTTTAAAATCATTAGTTGGTTAATGTGAACAAGGGTAATTTGTGACTATAATCAGGAATAACCCTGAGGCAGTAGAGACCAAACATGTACTATTGTAAAAATATTATTTGCTGCAGAATGTGTTTAAGAAATATCTTAAAGCTTGCCCGCATGCTTTTCCCCTACAGGTGCCTTATGATAATTCCTTATTGTCATGTTGTCAAGCCTTACAGAAAAATAGACCAATAAAAACAAATGTAGCATAGATGCATACTGAATATAGCATAGAAATCTTTATGACAATAGCAACATTGGTTGGATCATCTTACAAGGCAAAGAGCTGAATAATAACTTAACAATAGATTCTCAACAGCCATCAAACAACAATAAACAAAAGCCCATTTAATGGGAGCATGTATTTTGAAAGAGTATGTACTCTTCAGGAATATAGACAAAGAAATAAAAACACAAGACTGGCAGTAATAGAATATATTGTGGCTTATATATACAACCAGGAGGAAATACAGCCCTGATTTTTTGATAAGTATAGTTGACAGGCTTAGAAGAGAATATGGCAAAAGCTATCTGCTTTGGCACCAGAAGGACATAAAAAGGCAGAAAGGAAGAGAGTTCTGGCATTCTTTTTTTCCATTCTTCCAATTTTCTGCAGTAGAGGGCCCCATAGAGACTAAGTTTTATAAATTCATGCACAGTATTTTACTACTTCACAATATCTCACCCAATAAACATGATTTCACAAGCACAAACATATTTTAATGGAATTGTTCATCATTGTCAAGGATTGCAACTTCATGTTTACACAGCAAGATATTGTGAATAATGTCCCTTGCAAATAAAGGGAGCCCCTAAGGATGACTAATAATGTCTTACTCCAAGTAATGGTCTTGGTCTTACAATTTTTATAGATTAATTAGGAACTATAGATAAATCATGATGCAAGAAAATGTATTTTTGATGCAAAAAGCATATCAAATAGTTTAATGTAAAGTTTTATAAACCGAAATTTATGCTATAAAACACTGATATGTACAAAAACCATGAATAAAACAAAGTTATATGGAAAACGTCTGGCAAAACATTTTCACAATTTATTTTATTCAAATTTTGAGCAAAGCTTGCAAATCTTTCTCTATATCATTGTTGTCTGGTAAAATCTTCTGGTTTATTTTATATTCCCACATCAAGCATACACATGCTCTTCATGTCAATGTAAATATTAGTTAATAAAAGTTAATAAATTATTCAAGTTAAAAAAATACTTATGAGCTTGGAAAACAAAATACAAAAACTGGAATCGATACTGAAACTTAGCAACACTTTCACCACAACTTCCCAATTATTTAACAAATTAGTCAGCTATATTACTATCAGAGATTTAGCCAAAGTTTACATACTGATATTTTTATCATTTACTGCAAATAGAAGGAATGAGCTACATGAATTTGAAGTTACAACAGGGGTATATTTCTTTACATTCCTAGCAAACATTCTTTTATTGGAAAAAGGGTTCAGAGCAAGCCTGTATTCTTTAAACAAGAAGCTCCATGAGAAGAAGCAAGCAAGAAAGAGGAAGATAACTGTTTTCTCAGTTTGGATGTAAAAGACTAGAACAATTTAGATTTTAGTGGTATTGCCTGAAATATTTAAACTAAAAGGGTGGGATGAGCAGCTACTAATTTTTGAAACACAGACGTTTTTAATCATTCAAGGAACATCATTGAGGCCTTTTCTTTTGATCTATGTTAACTTGGAACAAAATGTCATTTTATGAGACAGCAGTTCCAGGATAAAGAAAAGAAATGCAAATACAGTTGAAAGGAGTTGAAATAAGACAGCAGTAAACATATGGGTGAAAGCAATTATCAATTAGTAGTCACAAAGCTCAAGCAAAGGCACACCTTGCCACTACAATATTATGATGGGGTGCAAACACAACAATATCTTCAAGAATTCAAAAATCTATTGGCATTCTTTATAGCAAGCTTTCTTGGAAACCAATACCAATAAAAATGGTGGACTACCTGCACTCATTGCCTTCAATAGTAGACAGACAAAATTCTTAACCTTAGCTTCAAGAGCATGTTCCAACTGACTAAAATTTGCTTATCCTTGGGTTTCCATATTTGTGCTTATCGTAACTTTGTTAACAGATATTTGAGTTCGAAGGAAACAATAATATATGAAGTTGAAGGATAGGGAAAATGACTTTATTAGCAATTCAAGCCCACATCTACTTGATGGGCTTCATCTTTTGCCAGTAACATGTTTATGCAAGGGAGGTTGATAAGCATACAAATGACTTTGAAATGGTCCTAATGAGGGTTACCATCTAGATGAAACAATGAGGCTTGCCAGATTAAAAATTGCAAAACACGCTTTGCAATATGGTTTGAAATCTATAAGATATGGAGGTGCAAAATCTGGGAACAAGGTTTTGCATGTTATTAAACAAACTTTAACAATAATGAATTTCCAGCATCAACTAAAGGTCCATTTCTTCAGTACCAATTACCAGTCCTGGAACTATCCAGCTCTAGCTCCAGCTCAATCCAGCTCTAGCAGCCATACTTAAAATACAGTATGGTTTAATTAATGCAATCTTCATTTATCATCAATAAATCTACAATTATTGTTCTTAATCAAAATGGTGCTCTCTCCTTTATTAGTTTCATTATTGCAGAGTTTCTCCTCTCAAAAAAACTCCTTGCATAGAAATTGCCACAACACTTTACTAGCTATAAAGGTGATGTTTAAGTGACTATATTTGCAAAGTCTTCAAAAAGAAGGGCAACCATTTCCTGTGATATACCATCTAGTCTCTCCGCTCTTAAAGTTTGGCAAGTCCCTGTACAATTGCTTAGTATTTTTTTGTCCTCAATTAAGGGCTCCTGAAGTAAACAGAATCAGAGACAGGACTGTAAAGGTAACAAAACAGCAAGAATTAATGAGAAGAGGTGAAAATGCAACAATATTGTATAATGTGATTGAAAACATGATTTTTAAGGCTTATCTTGATTAGCAAAGATATAACTTTATCAAATGTGTCATTTGAATAAAGCAAATAATTTGAATTGATATTGAATTTACTTTGGCACTTGGGAGAAAATGTTGAATCTTTTCAAGCAACATTGTTTTTGTTACAAACAAGAGTATTTGATGCAGTCAAAAAGCCAACAAAACTTTCTAACTTACCAAGGCATATCAGTGCAATAAATCTAAAACATATATCTACCAAATGGAAATGATCAAATATACATATTCCTGCCATTTCCCTTGATAATTCATATCTGAATAGAAAAGTTTCATTTTTCATCACACATTAAAAAACACAGTTATACTATTCATGTGAACCAAATTTATATCATAGGTTAACAATGCAAATAGCAAATATTGAAGAACTCAGTACTTGTGTATGCTGGCCTATGCCAGAAATGGTCATGTGTTGCCATATCTTTAGGGTCTGTGATATGACAGTATGACTAGCACAGAACTGCACCTCACAAGAACAACAGTTCACAGGATTAAGGTAGAATACATGGAGGCAAACATTGCAGTCTTTTCATTGGAACTTTAGATAAAATATGAAATGCGTATGGTCCTGTGCAAGTTATTATTGCACATGATGTTCTTGGGGAAAATATTTTATGTTATGTTAGAACTTAATATCTCACAAGTGGATCATTTATAACAGCCTGTTTCAGTTATCATCACTGGTGATAGCCTTTTAGGGTACTTTTACAGTTTGGAACATTTAACCTGTATATCATGATTCATGATCTCTAAGGCCGAAGGTAGCCTAATAGTATATGTCAAAACAGTGATTTAACTTGAAAAGAGCAATATTGGCCAAACTATATTTAAACCATAGAGGAGGACTAGGAAGGTACCAGAATTAGGAACCTTGCATGGAGAGTAAATTAAAAGATTATAACTGCCTGTTCACCTGCCAAGTCCTAAATTTCCAAATAGGAATGATTTAAACATATACATATCTTCAAAACCATAACTATGTATGTGTTATATTGTCAGGGAAAGTATGGGGTGACAACTTGTGTAGAAAACTTTTGAGTTTTGAGGCAGATGCATTTAGCTATCTGTGTTTCTTGTTTCAGTGGCTGTTTTCATCTATTTCTTGCATGTTAACATATATCATATTTTAGAGGTAAATTTGATATTAAATTGAAGGGGGCAGTTGCCCCAAAACCCCCATAATTTCAGAAAGCAGGTGAAAGTAGGGCAGTGTATAGAAGATTAAGCGGTAGAGGCTCTTGAGCAAAGGATTGCTAATAGCTGAAAAAAAGCTATTAAGATTCTAATTATAGCTATTAATGATTAAATAAAATTTAATCATGTTTAATATGTGACAGGGTATGCTTTTTAGGTGCCCCCTGGGATTCAAAGTATATGTTGCATACTGACTAATTTTATATTACAGAAGCCATTTTTTTTCTGAACATGCTTTGTGGCACTTGCAGCAAAAAAGTGTGGTTTAACAATAAGAAAGATCAATTAATGCTAATCCTTTAACAATGGTTTCCATTGCTTTTAGATAACATATACTATCAAAACTCGCAAAACACTACAGTTATAATGGCAGTTGACATAATAATTGCATGCTGAATCAAAGTTTCCATGCCCATAAGGTGGGGGGTGTGCCACCTTCATTTTGTTGAAAAGTAACAAAAATCATAACAACAGGTGTTGAAAAACTTCCATCAAAAATATTTTCGCTTCATAAATAAAACAGTTTGTCATAAGATGAGCAATTACTAAATTCGAATATCAATTTTCATTGGTCTGTGATGTTCAATGAAGGTATCACTTTCTTGAGGTTTGTCGGACAAGTGACTGAAAATACGAAAATTACATTGATACAGAACTGAAAACAAAGAAAAACGGACAGGTCATTTAAGTTTCGGACTCATCTGGATACGCAAGAACAGCTAATCTTTTAAAGTTACTGATTCGCATGACTTTGCTAAAACCTGAGCAATCATGAAATTTTAACATTTCCGAAATCCATTAATTTGGATATAATCCGTTATGCATCAATAAACAGCAGGGCCTAACTGATAACATGCTAGCAACAAACAAATGTATACCTTCGGTGTCTTCAAACGCTGTATTTTCGGCGAATAGACTCCATGGCGTTCCTGCATTTAATCCGATTTTCCCGACTCTTTCAGCCATTTTTTCCTCTTTCCGAGTGACAGGACAAGTCTCTACATTTTCACGATGTCTTCTGACGTCACTGGGCCTAGTACAATCAATACATGGTGTTACGGAATTTTTCGTGCACAGGAAAAAACCGGTGATCCACCAGCAGTAAGAAAAATCTGATATATCTTTTCTACATGATTACAATTCGGCCTATTGGTTTCATTTCTTCTTCTGCGATTTAGCAGTTTTCCGTACGATATTACAGTGTGTTGATGGCCTAGGCTTCTTCTAACAGATGCACTCCATTGGGTGAGAACCCGCGCGGCTCCTCCCCAGTCGCATCCTTCCCCGCCATCGATCATGGACGACAAAGCAAGTGTGATTTTACTAACATAATGAAATCAAAGAATAAAGCTTGAATCAATATCGAATTAGTTAGAAAGAAATGTATTTTCAAAAGCAGTCATTAGCAAAAGAACTTTTATTCGACTAGATTTGAATCACCCTTACCTCCCCCACTCCTTCTGCACCCTTTCCGCAACTCTTGTATTGCAATTAGACTTTTGATCTTCATAAGTTAGACAACAAAAGGTCCCTTATTAGTGTCATGCTCAAGAAATGATGCCATTACAGGGAATACACATAAAATTGCAGAGCATCAATTCTAAAGACGTAAGAAGATATTGTATACTCTTAAATCATATAAATAGCATATCAACTCTCTGCTTACCAAAAGTGTTGAATGCATTCTAAGGCCTGTTGTGAGGAAGGAGGAAAGTCGGCATTAAGGTTGATCTTCAATTTCACAGAAGAACAACCTTATGAAAGCAGAGAGTTTTCACGTTGCGAGCAAAAGCAGCTGGTGCATTGAAAAACATAGCTTGAAAAGTTGGCACTTTTGCGCAATGCATTTGAAAGCATTGAAATGACTCAACGTTATCTAAGGTAAGGAACCCCTCAAATTTGGTTGAATTATAGTAATTACAAAATTTCTCAATAGTGTGTACATCTGCATTGCCATTTTTCCACCACTGACACCGCCCCAGCTTTTTCAATTTAGTCCAAATGTATTTTTTCAAACTAACAGTTATTTGTTAGTTTATTTCTTTCATGCACGCCCCACCGAGACTCTTTTGTTCTTTATTGAGTGAATCTGGAACCCAGGATAACGCCCCTTCTCCAACCAACGAAAGATTTATTTCCAGTCCTGGGTAAAAAAAGCATTCGACTAGAACTTTGGATTAGCAAGACCGAGGGATCAAAACCAGTGCAAATGATAACAGAATTTGCTTTAGAAACTAGAATTAACCTAGAAGTTATTTCGATATTTTAATTTTCAAATTCCAGGAACTAAAGATGGGCATTAGCCAATTGTTGTTACTGAAAGTATCAGAATGAAGACCTGGCTTGAGAGAAAATTTGCAGGAATCCATGCATTAACCAAAGCCTGAAAACATATATTCAGCAAACCGTTTTTTCAGAAACCAGTGAAAAACTTAAAAAATTGATGAGAACCATGTGGTCGGTGTCAAAAGCATTGCCAATCGTGTAATTTCTTAAATAAAACTTGATTCAAGACCTACACTATGGAGTCCAGACCTCTCTATTTACCGGCTTTTTCATCTGTATTACTGTTATTCACTTTATAATTAGTATCAAATGAATGGAAGCCAGCATTGTACAGTTATCTTCGATATGAATAATTAAGCTGATTTCTTATGGCATTTTGGTTATGATTTATGGTTTATGACAAAATTGAGTTTCAGTCGGTTCGATTTAGCAGTTGTCTTTAAAAACTCGAGGTTCAAGACATTGTATTGATGATGTTCTAACTAGCCCAACCCCTAGAGCAGAAGAGTTGTCAGGGGAGTTTAACAGGGCAATGAAAGCTCAAGAAGAAGACGATTCAGTGCTACAAATCAAATAAATAATCTCAATAATAAAAAATCCTTTACTACATCTACTTTAACAAAATATAGAATCTTCTACCAAATACAATAGCGTGAACTTTCTTTGTACAGCTAACTCCAGCCAATAGCAGAAAGCTGGACGAATAGAAGCAAATAGAAAGTAGAACTTATTAACAAGAGTCACAGCAGAAGCAGCGATTCTGTCAGACATGTCCATCTTTTGGTTTCAAGGATAAGGTATAGATTACATGACAGCTTTTATAAGTGGTTATCGATGATCAGTGGCTCATCTTGAGTGATTTAAAAGGTTGTCCTATGTCAATTGGGAGTTTTGAATTGTTTTGCGATTTCTAGGTCTCAAAAGTTTCCAAGGAAACTGGGGTATTTGGTACTTTGGGCATAGATATATAGATGACAGATGTTTATCCTAAATGCCAAACGCGGCTGCAAAGAGAGTAATGCAGCATCACAAAGCAATGCTGTCAAACTGAAAAACCACTAGAGAAAATACTACTTTTACGATGGCGTAACTGCCTGGGCTATAACTATAGCACGGTGCCTAGGCCAGAAGCCCAATGATGGCCTTATGCTGAATTAGTGATGAAAAAAAGAATATTCAAAAGGCGCAAGAAAACTATCGCTGATCGAGCCTAAATCAGGTCTTCTGACGTGGCAAGATGGATGTGGATTAAACGATGCGGGTTTAAAATCGGGGGTAATAAAAATATCTGGAAATGGAATTACGAGGACTGATCTGGGGAAATGAAAAAGTAAAGTCGCGGTTCGATTTTTGATTGTATGAATCATTAATCATTGTAACAGAAGCCTTTAAAAACGGTTTTCAATATATTTTAGAACATCAAAATTCACTTCTTATGTTGTGTGTTTCAAAAGGCTGAAATCAAATCGTGCAATATCCTTTGTCATTTCAGTTAAGTATTTATTTCAAATCCGCAAAAGGACTGCCTCTAGAGTATTTCTCCTTGCAAATAGGAGTCACCTACGCAACTTGGGTCCTTTTCAACGAAGAAAGCTAAAAGGGTTCAAAAGGCATCGTGTATGTGACCAGGGCATCTTGCTACCACCCATGCATCGAGCGCTCTAGGTTCTAAAGTTTATTTACAGCCTTCAGACTACATTATGACTAAGCGACACGGAATAACATATTGCAAAATTAGAAAAAAAACCTAAAAAAATGAAAACAAATTTAAATACGAAAAACGTCGTAATTTTAGCAATTAAATAAAATAATCGACTTGAAATAAACAAATGCAGCATCTATTTAAGACTGTATTCTTGCTGAATATCTACTGAAAAATGTCAAAAATACAAATGCTTGAACAAAAGCTTGGAAACCCTTTTGAAAAAGTATGAATTTGAGCATTACACGGCACCAAAAAATCTGAGCATTACACGCAACTGGATCGAATTAGGCCATTATAGAGCTTCCAAGCTCAAAGTACGCTACTTAACTGGAGCAGGAGGAGTGTGTTGCCCCTACGAATTGTTGGAGCTAAATACAATGCATCTTTTTGTAAACTGAACGGGAAATTTTATCATAAAGCACTCAGGAAAATCTTCTGTTAAATTCATGTTATTACAAGCTCAGCAATAAAATTTCCATTGGTAGGAAAAAGCGTCCTTGTCCGAAAGGCATATCTATACTAAGCAACTAGGCTTGTAGAAAATTTTGCTCCTAATTTAACAAGATGCCGAGCTGTGGATTAATCTGCACCAGCACTTGTGGAAAACTCTACCATCCAACTTGAAGTTACTTTTATTGCAACGAACATCTGTTTTTTAGACAAAAAGGTTTCAAGCTGTCAATGTGAAATAAATTTCCATAAAAGTAAGAAATAGGCAACTCAAGTCAATGCAGGTGCCATGAAAATTCATACCCTCGCAATGAATTGATTTTGCTTGATTACCTGACAACAGAAAATGCTTGCTTTACACAATTTCGGAAAATACTGGTAGACAAGGGTGCTGACAAGATTTTGAATTCAACTTATGGTCTTGACGAAATTAGGACTGATTCAACTTTGATCAACCTAATACAAGCACAAATCTCTAAAACGGTCCATTTCATTATAAATGCTGTTTCTGAGTATCAGATATTAATATTTATATGCTAACTACTATTATCAAAACGACACAAGAGTATAAAAATGTATAAAATGCATAAACTATTATCAAACAATTACCACCTCAATATTAGACTAACGAATAAAAAAATATGGCTCAATAAACAAATCTTTCTTTTACAAAGATTTCGGTCTTTCCATGTTGGCTAAAACATTCTAAACAATTCTAAAACCTTTTTATAAACTCTGTAGCTAGGATTGAATGAAGCTGACAGCCTCTTAGTTAAATTTCAATCATCAAGACAACGCTAACTCGGTTGGCATTTGCATCTTTCCATTCAACTAACATTTAATTCTTCCAATACTTTTTCTCTTTCATAAAAGACATCTTATTAAATCTTTATGATGATGACGATATTAACAGGATTTGAGTTAAAAAAGATGATCGTTTCAGAAACGTTTTTAGATGTCTGTCAGCCACTTTGTCGACAGATAACTCGGCATGCACTTGAACTCTGTAACACATCTTATCCAAATTTTCACTCAGTCTTCCAATTTCTTCTTTAATTTTTATCTTTCATAAAAAATGCTTACCCAGTCTTCTCTCTGACGATTCAATATCCATGTGTTGATGAGATTATCTTTTTGAAGCAAACAAAAGCACATAAGTTTCTATAAAACATTGTTCCGAAAAGTACTATCAATGTATTCCGTTTTGAGCAAGCAGTTCTATACAATGGGTCACGAAATTGGATTAACCTTGATTCCTATTCTTCTGTAGTTGAATGATCTTTATGCTACAAACTTTGCTGGCTCGACATACCTTTCTGGAACTAGTGGTGCCTGTTCTGGTATGAGTCCCATATCCTCATACACCTCATCGCGAATCGGCAGTGACGTATCTACATTGTCATCATCATCAATATTCTCGTACTCTTTAGCTGCTCCTGTAGGGCAGAGCGGAGATGACTCTGAGAAGGAGCCCTGGCTCATATCAGCGTATTCCTCTGGAGTTAGATCCGCCATCGCAGAGGGCTGGTCAGCTTTTGGACGGCTCTGTCCTGGCACATCATACTTGTTCATTGCTGCCCTTCTTCGAGGTACGGTCAACTACAAAACATAATTTTGGTAACTGATTCGTGTGTGAGCAGAGTAAGAGATTGAGTAAGAGGCAGGTTTATTAGGGTGGCAGGGAAATATTTTGAAAAAAAGAGCTTTGATAATTAATCATCAAAATCACTCACTTCCATGGATACAGCTCTGGTGAATGTTATTTATGCCAAGTATATTATGTACGGAATAATTTTCGGTGGAAAAGCTTCGGTCGTATTTTTGAGAATTCGGTCAAAATTTTGGTAAGAATTTTAAAAATTTCAGACGAAAGAAAACATTTCGGTGAGTATTGAAATGAGACACTTTCTGTAAGTTATTCCCTGTAAGATCGACTGAAGAAGGGGTCAAACGAAAATTTAGATAAGACTTTACCCTTCAAATCACAAGTAACATCCTTATACAAAAGAGCTAAAAAAAGTTACATGCTCTATCCCGTATCGTCAAGTAAAACTAAAACAAGTTATGGAGGTCTTCATCCTTTCCCAGTTCAACTACTGTCCTCTTATATGGATGTTCTGTGAGAGACGCTTTAATAATAAAATAAATCACCTCCATGAGATTGCATTGCAAATCGCCTATAAAGATGACAATTCTGATTTTACAACACTTCCAGAAAAGAACAATGCTGTAAAAATTCACACAAAGAATTTACAGCTTCTGATGACTGGGATATATAAGACACATAATAACCTTAACCCAACATTTATGGAAGATATATTTATTGCTAAGCGCCCCCAGTACAGCCTAAGGAACGGAAGCCAAATGCATCTTCCAAAGTCAGAACTACCACCTTTGGAATAGAAACCATTTCATATCTAGGGGGAAACTATGGCATAAGTTGTCCACAGAAATAAAAGAGTCATCAAATCTTGCCCAGTTTAAAACTCGGATAGAAAGATGGAAAGGAGAAGAACGTTGTTGCAAACTATGTAGATGCTACGTAGGTCAGGTTGGATTCCTTGACTAGAAAATAAAGAAAATAGTCGTCTTGGTGTGGAAATATTAAAACATCTTTTAACTATAAACGCATTGTAAAATTTAAAAAAGTTTTTTCCAATCTTCAATTTCATTTCTTTCACTAATTAACTAATTGTTTTATATATGTAATCATTAATTATTCATTCTTAATTGCTTTTTATTCTAAACTTTTATAAAATACGCCTAAATTAGATTGTACATAAATTGTACATAGAAAGCTTTATTATAATCACCTACTGTAAATAAATTTATTATAATTATGATTATAATTATAATTATTATTATTATTATTACTATTATTATTATTATTATTATTATCATTATTACAATTATTATTATTTTCTCATTACTACGATTGTAATAGTTTTATTTTGTAAACACAGGCTAGCCAGTCACAAATTACCTTGTAATAGTGAGATTTGTAATTGTAGTTTCAACTGGAATTCAAAATGAAAAGTTTCCATGATTATTATTATCATGCTTCGGAAATATTGGATGGGCTGATAGTAATGGCCCTATCAAGTGACGAAAGGAAGAAGCTAAAAAGAGCGGGAAGTCAGATCAAGTTTGTCAATTTTTTGTTCCAGAGAAGACGGGTCATAAGAATCCAAGGAGAGGGGGGGGGGCACTTTGAAGGTTAAGCGTTCAAAATTTTACAAGCTCTGGAAAGGCAAGATGTGTACTGAAAAAAAGTCATTATATCTTAATAGGAGAATTTGATAGGGGTTTTGGTGTTTTTGACACGTCTCGGGGTGCAAGGGAAAATGTCTGTAATGATCTTAGAGCAATATCTATTGAAGTATCTGTAAAATATATAAAGGTCGCCAATGCAACGCTTAACTGGACGAAGTTGAACAGACTTAATAAGGTCGGATTTGTTGATGAGGCGAATTATTTTAGATTGAATTTTGTCTAGAAGACGCATAAGGTTTAGAGCCGCCTTCCTAGAAAGGGCAGTACTCCAAAGGAGGGAAATTTTTAACATGAAAATAGTTGAGGTGGTATGAAGCATCCACGTACCTTTGAGAGGAACTCAAGCTTTTGACATGTACGTTTTGCAAAAGAAGTATGCTAGATTTTCAGTTAAGGTTGGATGATACAGAAAGGCCTAGCAGCGAAAAGATGTAGAAACAACCAAGTCAGTGCCATTCATGAAAATAGGGGGGGGGAGTTGTGATTACGCTTACGTAAAATAAAAACCTGGGTGGTTTAACTTTTGATTAAAGCTAAAAAGATTGCTTTGACCTTATTCCTTAATATTTGTCAGGTGTCATATGAAATTGAGAAATGTTTCTGAAAGTTTTCAAAACATATATGTGTTGATAATAAAAGGAGGATACAAGTTTCATCAGCATAAGTAGGGATGGTAGGACATAAAAAGGAGGGATGATAGAGCCAGTGGAGCAACAGCATTTAACCATGATACTAGCTGTTTGTTTACATCAATTTACACCCATGCATACAGAAAAAAGTGGTTAGGGCAATACGGAAGGTACTGAGTACACAAATGAATAAGATGCTGCGTAGGGAAGAAATTCCGACGCTGTCAATGGCGGCGCCAGCCACTAGGCTCTGGGGGGGGGGCAACAGGAAAATTTTAAGGCCACCAGAAAATGCCCTTGTACCATAATAGAACGCCAATTTTATCTGAAGGGAATGCCCATGACTAAAATTTGGTTACGTACAGGCAGCTTGAAAAACAAAGAAATGCATCACAAAAAGTACATTGCCAAAATATTACCCCTCCCCCAATATTATCTTATCGAATATAGACGAAATACAAAATCGATCTTGCCGAAAACTGGGGGAGGGGGGACGTGTCTCCCCAGTCCCCCCTGTGGCACCGCTACCGGCCGCTGCGATAATTGTTTAGATAAAAAGTAACCACAGTACAGATGCAACCGATTTTGAAAAGAGAGGCTAGTCTCGTTATAGCTCAAGCAGTTTAAATGACACCATGAAGCAACCATGACATATAAACTGTCAAACAATCATGACATATTAACTCGCCATAGTGAAGATCGAACGCAACTTCAATGCGAAAGGCAACAGGAAAAGGAGGTGATGATGAAAAAATGCTGATTGGGGTTAATAACCAAAGCTGGTATTCAAAACAAAAAAGGCTTACTCTTTACAAAAGGAGAAAATGGTCTGACTTTGAGGACAAAGGGCTTTCAAATGAATATCAGTTCAGGGCATTTTTGTGACCATGATGCATCCTGCTTGATAATATCAAAGGCATAAATCATTTACTTTAATTACAAATTAAGGATTTCCTCCCAACAGATTTAATCAGACTTTGATCGAAGCTATTATCAATCATATATGTAATATTTTGTTGCTTTTGTTGCAAGGTAAGGCAAAGAAAATTAGTTTTCTTGAGAATACTTGTTCACAATAGTAAGTTAAATTTCTGTAGAAAGTCGATAAAGAGCATCCTCATTATTCAAAATTTTGGCATGTTTTTTCTTACTGGCCGAATCATTCACGTTAAAAAGGTACCTGTTCGTTGTTATCTTTCTTTTCAGGGAGCTCCACTTTGGCGTCTGCGGTGGCATAATCGTAGGTAAGAGCGGAGGCGCCCTTCAAGCCAACCAGATCTATATTATCGATACTCTCGTACAAGTTGCAATCATCAAAGCCTTTCTTGACAACTAGAACATAAAATAACAGCAAACTAACAAATAGTCTCCAATTAATCTACTATACTGAAACTCATATAAAATCTGTAACTTGACGGAATTGCATAGCATTCTCGAATGAAAAATCAAGTGACGGTTTGAGGAAACCATTTAAAATTAAATTTTAAATTTTAGTTTAATAGTTAGTATTATTCATGTCAAATATGTTTTCATTTAATTTATTTTTAAGTTTAGAAGAGAAATTTGAGATTATAGCTTCTGATTTAGGGCAGCAGCAAAACATTATAAGCAATCGGGTGATTTTGAAACTTTGAAACCACCCACCCTCTCCTCTACAATAAGAAAAACAAAAAAATGAGTTCTGAATAAACACACCATAATGTCAGAAATTCAAGGGAAAATGTAAGTTTGTGGTTTGAATTTTAGAGCAACTGCAGGGTGTTATAGATCGGTTTCGAAACTTAGAGGCAACTACCCCTCTCTTCGCAACAATGAATGAAACTAAAAATGAATTGGAGAACAAACACACCATCGTCATCGGCTTGGCAAGTAGGTCTTGGAGGAATGATTTTTGCTTCCTCGTAGTGTGGTCCTGTACAAAAAGAGCAAAGGTAGAATCGTATTTTATAGTAGAATAAAGTTTACTATAAAAATCCACTAGGAGAGAGTGACCTGTTCAAGAAATTTTGGAGGGTATTTGAAATGATGAGATTGGTTCAACAAATGTTTTTCAAAAGTGGAAGTAATCGAAAAAGTAATTGGGGAAGAGCAGCTAAACTATAGAACATCGAACCCGAAAAGTTACAAGGGTAGAGTATGTAATGTAGCAGAAATGTGACGTAATTATATGTAAGGACATATATACACAGCGAGACATGGGAGCGTGAGGAAGAGAGATTTGTAGAGCACAGGAGCAATTGTATTACAGTGATTGTAGATTACTATCGTTTTTTTCATTGTAATATCTGATAATTGTTAGAAACAGTATAGTGAAATACAAACAGGCTTTGTTCTTAAACATTTTTATTAATTCACTGCTTTCGTCTATTGTGAATTTCACTTTTATTCAGTGTAATGCTCAACTAAGTGAAGTCTATTTGCAAAAAAGACTATTTCAAAATGGTTCTTTTGAAATCTTAAAAAAAACCCTAAAATAGGTGCTGATGATTTCGAATAGGAAAACCACTTAATGTGGACAATTTATTACAAAGAAGGGTCTGATATTTTCTTTGCGAAGACGAGGGCTTTTTGGATGAAGGGACAAAGATACTTGATGCTTCCGTCTCGAGCGGTTTTGCATGTTCGCAGTTTTCTTAAACAGTTGCGTAAAAACGCAGCCACATTTCAACTAACTGAATCTACAGCTAACAAAGATCTTTACCCTGGGTTCCGTTGTGATATAAAACATTTGTCATCATCGAAATGTTTCTTCCACTTGCTCTGCAAAAGAAATCAAAATTTCAAAATGGTAACTTAAGATACACATTATATTTGGCCGTAAAAGTGAATGAAAGATGCATGGACATAATGTTCTCTAAGGATATGACATCAATTAAACTGAAAGCTGATTCACTTTCCAGATCACAGAAAATGGCACAAATTTCGAATGCCTACATAGAGCATGTATTGGCAAATTATATTGACAATGTGGTTAAAACCATATTGGTAACAGAATAAAAAGGCTTTTAAACAGTACTAATTAAATAGCTCTTTGATGTGGTTACAGCTTTAGGTTTTAAGGTCACCATTAAAATTACCGCAAAAAGCAAAAATATCTAAAAACACTCAATGATAATTTCAAATTAAGTGTTGGGGAGGAAGCTTTTTGTCGGTATTAAGGCGTATGTAAACCTATTGAACACACGTACTTCTTCTTGCATCTCTTTCTGACGAGGACTGAAAGCGAGGCAGCAAGAATGATAAAAAGAACAGCGACTGCAATGATCAAGCCAGTGACTAGCCAGTTTACATTGTGTTTTGATCCAGTGTCACTTTGTTTGCCTTTGGATGACCCCTGAAACAAACATTACTTTGAAATCATGCAGAAGTCGCATGCTAAAAAAAGAAAACGTAGGTTAAAGGCTGATCTTTTAACTGAGAACAGAAGTGTCAATAAAGTTTCAAAATATCCTCCTACTTGTCAAAATTTTCACCTACATTTAACCAGAGCCTCCAAAACAGGCGAGGAAACCCTTACCACTTCAACAAATTAACACTTCAACATATTTTGTAGATATTTGAAGCGAGCTTGTACTTTCTTGGCAGATAATCTTGGGCATTAAAGAATTTGTATGAAGTGCTCGTAATTCCTATCCTAAATTTAGTATTTTTAAACTGAGTCCCACATGATCTCTCTACTCTCTTTTGGTATCCTAGTGCTGGGCCCTCGCGATAGACGAAGGGAGAAGTGTGGATGGCACGACAAGGGTATTTTTAGCGACTTGCTGGGATGATCAGTAAAACCCTAGACAATCCCCGCCTCTCTGAGAACTTAGTTCTAAGGCCAGACCTACAGAAAACCCCCCTTGTTATCAAAGGGGCTTGGAAAGGAGGAAAAAAGAGGGAAAGAGAAGGGACCCAATACCCCACCTTTCTGAAAAGTTGGGAAATTAGCATTAAAGCATTTAGGCTCCATTAAAAAAGATCAAAGACTTTCAAAAGGTGAAGATACCCGCTGGCCTTCTCTGGTTTCTGTACTTGGTGTCCTCGGTTTTCTAGTTGAGGCTTGTGCAACTGGAATAGGAGGTGAGTCAGGAACAAGAGGTGAGCCAGAAGAATGAGAGTCAGGAACAGCAGTTGATTTCGTATCAGGAAGGGAAGCGGGAGGTTGGATAACTGACTTGGTTGTTGTTACAATAGACTGTGTTCCTGTTGTCGACGTTAAACTTGTGGTTCGGAGTTTTGTTGTCCTTTTTAATACTGTAGTTGTTATTTTCGTTGACGAAGGAGACTTTTTGGAAGGACACGTCTTCGGAGATTCCACAGTGTTTTCATTGGCGTCATCTGATGAAAATCAGTATAAAAAAGTTAACTTCAAAAAAATAAATGAAATAATCAGTCGATACGATCGTCTGTTTTTACAGTTATCCAAAGAACACCTAAATCACGAGGTTTGCCAGCGAGTGATCTATCCACAAATAATACTCTTTTTGTGATAAATATTGTCCCATAGAACAAGAATTACCCTCGCTGTGCAGGACATAGTATTTAAACGTGGCTTCGACAAAAGTGAAACTGAAACATGAAGCTTTTTATCTAGCACACTTTAGAGTATGAAACGTCAGAATATAGATCATTAAGCCAAAGACACTGATTGGGCAACCTTTATGATTCGCCATGTCATGTGATCACGTTTTTGATTCGCCTATTCCGACCCACAGCTGGGTATATATTTATATATTCATATATCTCCAAGCCTTGACTTATCGATCTATGTACTGATGACATTTTACTACATGAAAAGTGTCAGACAAAATTTTCAGAATGTTTACTTTTAAATTCTGCATTTTACACTGGGACCCGGGAAGGCATTTAAAGGCCTTGTGCAACAGTCACGGTAACTGGCCATAGCATAACAGAAATTGCAACACCGACCGTTATAAGAACCACCAACTTTAAAGAGTAAACAATGCGATGCGACTCTTCTTGCTTTGCATGTAATATCCATACTCAGTAACTTCCCCTGCAGCTTGCGCCAGATTGTGTTGGGGTCATGCTTCCACTCCCACTATAACAAAATGATAAAAGTTCAGATCTTGATTTTGCCAATATCACTCAATTTGTCACTAAAATTCAAGTGCACGTGAAAACTACTTCATTTGCAAAGCATAAGGACATCTTCCACATTTGTACTTTTGCTTTGCGTTAATGATACGATATCTTATCTTCTTGCATTTGCTCTTTCCTATTCATCAAAATACCACAGCTAAATTTTTTTTGCATGGGAGTAACTACTGGGAATTTAATCTATACGGGACTTTAATCTGTATGACACAAATTGAATGGAAATTTTCATCTAGATGCGGCCTAAAAAATGACTTGAGAAGATGAATGGCATGTTTCATTGGCTTTTTGGTATAACCGATTGTTAACCAAAAACCGTTCAAAAAGTTTAAGACAACAAGTTTTTAAGCTAGCTCCTGTCTACATCATTCCAATGACATTTTGTTTTAATGTAAAGAGATTCAAAATACTTTATTTACCCAACAGTTTTGCCCACTTTTGTTTTGCTAGTGTCTTGCCATATGACTAAATCATGAGGTGTTTTGACAGGGGCAACTTTTACTAGGGGCATCGTGGGTAATGCCTTTTAGGGTTTGAGTTGAAATTATGATGTAATCAAGGGCATACGCAGATTTTTCCAAGAAAAACATGGCCACCAGTATGTGTCTTTTGCAGCATTACCTTTATTTCAATAAGTTGTTCAGAGAAAAGCTACTATGGCGTAGGCTAAGAAAAGCCAGCATCCGTAATCGAGCTTTGGATAACCTAGAGAAACGAACTGGATGATTTTCAGTGCAAGAGAAGTCTCCTTAGCAACAGTGTTTCAGCAAACATGCTGGTTACTTCATCATAACTGAGTGTCAAATGAGTCAAGCTCAACATTTACCTAACCTCTCTCGGCCCATTGTTGATCATAGAGTGTTTTTTACACACTTGAGCTTTGAAAAGGTACGCTCGCATTTATTAATGCCAATTGACAAGCTTGCCATTTCTTGCCATTTGTAAAATAATAGACCATGAGTTTCTGTCCTCAGAAAACCTTTTCTGTTTATATCTTCCTACTTATACTGATTAGCTCCTTCGAACTTTTTTGCTTTTCTATTAACTACAAAAATTTTTCTGCCAAAACAGATACAAAGTTTCTGACAAATTGCCAAATAATCAATGATTGGAGGCACCCCAGCCAAGATGCCCCTTACAAATATTAGGTGACTTTTTTTTCTGGTCAATATTCCCATTTTATCTGCCTCAGGTAAGTCTCTTTCCATAGAGGGTGACCATGCAAACAAATTATGATTAGTGTAGATCAACAAGACTTTGCAATGAAAAAGCAGCTTAATCCAACACCTTCTCTTTGATTTTTGAATTGCAAAAAACGTTGCAATTCCAAAGTCCTCTAATCTAAACAAAGCATTTTCAGGACAAAACTGTTCTCAAGGATGTTTGCCTTAACTTAAAAATGATACAAAAATCTTAGGGATGTGTATATACAATGTTATCTTGTACAGTCATCTTTTCGACCTTTGAACAGAGGTAGAATTAAGGAAAGGTGGCAATAGGCTAAACTTTTACAAGTAAATTAAATGGCTTCAAAATCGACATGAAAACAAGGATAACTTCAAATGCATTCACACTCACCACAAATACATGCTGTGTCTCCCCATCTTCTGTCACTCTCTTTTTCAAGGAAATCACCTCTGAGCAATAATTATCAATCAATTTGATCTTTCTCCCTTGTCTGTTGTAATAATATATAGTTGTGGCTTTGCAGAGTCCTTCCACTAGAACCTCTGCCAATGATGGGAATTTAGGCTGAAGTATGATTTTTCCCGATTCTATGTCAGTGTAACTTGTCAATGTAGGAATGTATGATGACCCAGACCCTTGGAGATTAAAAAAGCAACTTGCTCCTAGAAAAGGAAAATTCATTTGAAAAAGAAGTAATGAGAACACTGTTATGAGAAGCAAATAGTTGTTGGAAAACAGAGAATTAAACCATGAAAATATTAGCAGCTTTCGTTGAAATTAAAAACAGCAAGTGAAGGATAAGGGGGTAGATACTTTCTTTCCCCGAAAAGGCAAGATCTTTTTAATTTTTCAATATCAGCTAGCATTCTGAAGTGGAAACATTGGAAACATTCTGAAGTGAATCATTTGCAAATGATTTAAATATCATTGGGTTCAGCACATGTTTAATAAACTTATTCTTCAAAAAATAAATCTGTGACTTTTTTAATAAAAATTTACAGCATCTCAGCTTGAAGATGTTAAATGCTAAAACGGTTTTGGTAACAAAAATAAGTGCTCTGTCCTTTTTATCATCAAAGATGCATTGTCAGAGCTGCTGAGAGGGCAAGGGGAGTGGGTAAGGGAGGATTGCCCCAGGGCCTCTTCAATAAATGGATTCAATTTTAGAATTGAATCAATGAATTAAAAATAGAAATATGGGATCCCTATCTTCTGCTTTGATCCAAGGCCTCTGAAACTTTTCATTGTCCTCAAAATCTTTTTGCTAGTCTAACCCTTTTGAAAATTTTCTTTGATAGATAGGGAAAAATTATTAGCAAAACTCAATTTTAATAACTTTAATCGTTCTTGGTTTTGATTGTGATGCTAACCATTATGATAACATTACTTTGATTAGAGCAAAAAGTATAATTTGTATCATTGTATACCGAAATTGTGAAAAAAATTCTGAAGAATGTTAGCCAGGCGCTGAACGTGGGGCACAGGGAGCAAATGTGCATGGGTGCCAAAATATATCAAACCACTTTGATTTTGAGCTGCTTGGCTTGTAATAGTGAGACTTTTAGAGAGTAAACATGTGCATATGATACTTTGGTCTGCATGAATCTCAAAATGTGAACTTGGCATTAGAGATGGCCACATACAAAAAGGGTAAACTGATGAATGGCAACTGGCAAGACCAGCTCAATGGATTCAATTATCTTAAACATTGCAAGAAAGTTTGGTTCCAAATTAACCAACAGCAACAAGGCTGCTCATGAATAAGAACCTTAATTTCCCATTTAAATAATACAGGGGTGGTGCCAGCCACTAGGCTCAAAAGGAGGGGCAAACAAAAATTTTCAGGTAAAACCCCTTTTAACTGTTGGAAAACACCCTTTTACCAACAAGTGATGCCAATTTTACCAATAGGGAATTCCAATGGCCAATTTTTTTGTTACTTAAAGGCTTACTTAAACTTTTTGTTACATAGTATTACATCAAAAAGGATACTTTGCCAAAAAATGACCCAATCCCCAATGTTTTCTCATAGAATTCTGGACAAAATATAAAATTGATCCTGCTGAGCACTGGGGAGGACAGGTGGCTACCTACTAAAGTGATGACATCTTTGCTGGTACACAAGTCATCAAACGTTTGTTTTGGGTTGTAGCAGACAAGATGCATCTGACTTAATGTTTTCGGTGGCCCAGATAATATTTATAGTATAATATAAAATATAAAAGCCCCTTTAGGGTTTAATTAGAGTTTGCAAGATGAGTTAACATTGTTAAAACAATTGAGCCTACTAAAATATTTAAATTTGACATCATTTTGCATTTTATCAAATGAACTGAAAATGAAAAATGACCCAACCTGGAAAAAAAATGAAAACTTCTATAGAGTATAGTGTCGCATAGTACAATTTGGAAACATTCCAGTTCTCACTTGGACACTTTTTGTGTACAATGTGTCGTATAGCTTTTGGGTGGGATTTGTATGAAAAAGCAAATAAAACAAAAAGTTTCAAATTTTCCAAATAATGTTGCTAGTGTGAGGATGGCTCAGTGGCGTGCGAGGATGGCTCAGTGGTGTGCGAGAGTGCGAGGATGGCTCAGTGGTGTGCGAGGATGGCTCAGTGGTGTGCGAGGATGGCTCAGTTGTTTTAGGAAGGGTTGTGGAGTACGATCCAAGGATCTGTGGTTCTAGTCACTGACATGATCAAACTTCCAGTGTGTGGTCACATTGAGGAGATGGACCGGGACACTGCTTGATGGTTATATGAGTCCTTAAACCTTTTTTCCGAAGTTACAAATACTACATGGCTAGAAATATGAATTGGACTGTTCGATTATCAATAAAGCCACAACGACAGCACAGAACCCCAGATAATGAGAGATTGGCGGCCACTCACCCCAACATCTGTTGTTAGACAAAATGATTTAGGTACATAATTTTTGTTATGAACATGTTATTTGCACTCTCTCTCTCCCTCTCCGCAATCTTTCAAGTTCTGGGGGTTATAGAGCCTGCAGTGTAAAAAGAGCAAGCAACGGGGACTGATGACACGATTTACCTATGTCATTGTCACTCGGTTAATGAAATTAGAAACGGCAAAGATTGTAATCATTCTTAAAATAAAAATTCTTGGCAATTTCGAGACAGCAGTAAGTAGTTGAAATGAACATACGAAAATTAAACATGAAAGGTAGTTCACCTTCAGTTCTCAACAAAGTTGGAATTCTCAAACAGCCTTTTCCCACCGAATAGAAATTTGGAACATGTCCACGGCATTCACAAACACAACAACGTGTGCTACTAAAAAGGCGACCAGAGCACTTTGCACCTCTAACGGAGCAGCCACTCGATGAGCAAAATCCTAAAAAATTCCTAGAAGGGTTTGCAAATTTATCAGCTGAAGGGTAAGGTAAAGTTGTTTTCCTTGTCACTCTCCTCTCGATGGTAAACACGGTTTCCGTTGGCAATACTGCTGTCAAAACAAGCGAAACTGTTAAAATAGCACCGAAAGTACCAAATATTTCCATTTTATCCACCAGACTTCGTTGTTAATCAGAACGTCACTGTGAATATTTATCGATAGTGTATGGCATCAAGCGAAAATATCGAGCTTGCGATTTTTGACAAAACAACCATTTCACCAAACTGTGAGACAGAATCAGCAGCAATTTCCAAGCGTTGACTGACAATCCACGGCAAACATGTGATTACGTTATTATCATAAAACAACAGCGAATATCAGCAACAAAAAGATTGTGGAATACTTCCAAGAATATAAGTTTACTTCCAATAATACCAGCCTTGTTTTGTTACCTGATTACGTTTCCTTTTGTTCCGCTTCTTCTCCAAATGAGAAAATTTATCAACCTCGCTTGCGAACGAGGAAGGGGTCATCCTACGCAGTTTCCGGCTCTTTTACCCCACTGATCTAAAAAAACCACCCTCTTTGCTCTTAGGGCCAATTATCTAAAAAAGCAGTGCATCCACTCCTGCATTCAAGAAAGTATTTTACGGGTTTTAAAAAATTTGTTTCATTATATTTCGATTGTTTTATTTACTCGTCATGGCCGATATCTCTGTAACACAAAATACTGACGTCGAATTTGTGTACCACATTATTGAATCTGAAATAACTTCGCTCAAATTTTCATCATGGTACCTCTTTACTGATGGATTACTTTGGTAAAACTGTAAACTTTGGAAACGTAGGATCGCGCGAACCCTCGATCTCGTAAAAATATAAATTGTTTTTAGCTTTGCCGGAAAGACAACAAACCGCAAAAAACTTTTTGTGAGTTGTCGACTCATTTCCGTACAATAGAATACCAAAGTGATGACGTCACAAACATCTATTTTTAGAATTTTTGAATTTGGATCCGATAACCTGAAAGAGCATCATAAAATACCTCTAAATGTGCAAAATCAGTTACAGGTATTACGAACTGCCTGAAATATGGTCAAATGTGTACTGGCTCTTTCCCCATCAAACCTCTTTCCACATCTACTTTGGGCTCTGTCCATAACTTTCTGAAAAGAGCCAAAATGACCATGATTCGTTGCAAACTTCAAATCCTTCATTAAAAAGATCTCTACCGATTTTATACATATTTGACTGATTTTGCATATTTGGAAGAATTTTATAGTTATATTTATGTCATGTGGTTAAAATTCAAAAATTCTAAAAAATGGGGTTTAGTGACGTTACACTTTAGAACTCTTTACCCATTGTGTTGTCAGCAGATATCCGGCATCAAGACTTGGCCAGACTTTTGTAGGGCTGTTTCTAGAGAAAAACTACTGGGAGCCGTAAATAGGGGTCTAGGGATAAATTTCCCGGAATGTTTTCTGAAGACCACGTTTAGCTTCTTAATCATTTGAATTACTCTATACTCGCATTAATTTCCGCCGCGTAATGGAGCCTGTACCATTTTCTTTAGTAAGGTATGTACCAAAATCTTGTAAATCTTCCAGGATTACTTGGGGTATGACCCCAGCCCCCATAGCCACTACGGTCTTTGTTTCAGCCATTCTTACATACTCTTGTAGTATTGGCGGCTGGGAGCTGGGAGTCATAACCGAGGGAGAAGAAAGGGGATTACGTATAATAAATTATAGCTTTATTGGTTTATTTTTAAGGGAATCTCGGGTGTATCACGTTATCCTGAGCAATATCCGTCACAGGGGTGCCAACTATTAGAACATTTTATTTTGATGCTTTTTTTATTTGGTTTTATGATGATTCGTCGATTTTAACGATTATTTGCAAGTTAACATTAAAGTGAAATGAAATCGAAAGAAAAACAAGCGAGTCAAAAAGGCATGGCCTAAATTTTTGTACTTTTCTGTCAACTTGACGATTGGGGCCGCTACTGCCTAGTTTGTGCGAACCGAGAAAAAGTTACAAAGATTTTCAGGTAAAAAAATAGTACAGTAGATTCCACAGAAGATGTACGAAATTTTCAGGGTATGATTTGTCCCTCCCTGTGAACTACAAAGGGTCTGGAAAAAGGTTTTTGGCATCCTCATTTGGCACCTTGCATGTTGTGGTTTGTGTCTTTGTCAACATAAATGCTGAAAGTTTGAAAAAAATAATCGTTACTAAAGGTGCTCTTATTTAAAACTCCTCATTATACGGCAGTTTTATAGTCAAACATACGTAAATTCACACTCGGGTGTGAAACAGGCATCTGACTGGCTACTGCTTGAACTGGCCAATCATTGTATACAGATCTTTGGGGGGGGTGTAGACCTTTGAGACACAATAGACAACTTTACTGGGGGTTGAGCTCGGTTCTCTCGGCGTCTGTCATGGTTAAGTTCTCCAGCTTCTTGATACTTCAGGAATTTTCAGAATTCCTTGTTTCTTAATTTTCCAACAGAAACTTGTTGAGAAGGGTTTCGTAGCTGCAAACAGAGTAACAGACTCTCGATGTTTCAATGCTTTCAAATGCTCGTGCCGTTTCTGTCAAGAGGTTAGCTTCCGTTCTAATGCTGGAAATGTGTTTATGTCTATGCCCAACAGCCAATATATTGATGCAGTGTCAAGCAAAACCAGATTCATAGGGTTTTTGAATATTCAGTTGCCACTTTATTTTTTCTCCGAGTACTGAAGTTTCTTGGTTTTTCTTATTGTCCCATACCTCGTTTCTTAGAGCGAGTATCTTGTAAACAATAAATGGATTCCATGTCCTTATATGATACAAAATTCTTATCAGTTGCCAATACCAAACGCCATCATCCTTGTGATTATGAGCAGGTTGCTAAATTTGAATTATAAATATTTTCTTGGTTATTTTGGTAGGAAAACAGCCAATTTTGAAATCATAAACATTATCATAAAAAGTGGGTCAAAATACTAACATTTCCTGTTTTTGTCGGATACTAAGGCACGCTTATCTTGTGACAAATCCAAAAATATAATGTTTATTGCTATTGAGAAAGATGTTCTAAAGACTGCGTAAACCAACTCAATAATTGACAAATTAGGATTATACTTATTCGCGTTTCTTAAGATTATACTTACAAGACTACTTACTAAGGCCAGCTAATCTTGTAATAAATCTTAGTATCGTGTACTTGCTATTCAAGGACACTTTGTCTTTAAAAGAGCTGACAAAAAGCAGCACATTAAAGTAACTTTGGCATTATGCAATAACACAAAACTTGTTTCAAGGATGTGCTGTGATGCTTCGTTACCGAAATATTACCCTGAAGACACAAGAATAGCCCGAAGTAGCTATTACGGAGCATGGTCAAGAACAGCTGCCTTCCAAAAACACTGGCATAAGAGAAACGTAAAAACTGCGAAACAGAAGTGGCAGAGGGTTTGTATGCACAAAATCGTTAGAGGTATCTAATGGCAAATATCATTAAAATAAAACACTTGGAAATAAAGTTTGATTTGGCAAAATCACGCATTTGTATGGAGTCCATTCTCAAGATCCACGTCGGTTAACTTGACTCTTAACTCTCCATTTGTCTCTGTAGAACAAACGAGACAAGTATATTAGATATTAGAAATTGGAATGTTGGCATGAAATCACGAAGAGCAGCACTTTACATACAATAGGAAAAATATTCTAAATTATGATCATTTCGGAAGTTGTAAGCTGACGAGTAGCAAAAAACATGGTGCTTTTGGTATTAAAAATGACAATATCAATGCTCAAATATTAGCACTCACCCTCCTGGCGTCCTGAACACACTGTCTGAATTCTTTGACTATATTAGAGCAACGAAGGGGGTGGTGTTTGTTGTTTCGATAGCATTCTAGAACGTCATTTTGTAGTTCCCGACAAAGCACATCTCGTTGCAGGGGTCTGTAAACGGAAGTTACTAAAGTAACATTGAATACAATATAATAGAAACAAAACACAAAGATAAAATGTAGCGTTTCGTCAGAACAACGCTAAGAAACATCTTGTTGCTGAGGATGTCATTTTCTGCATAGAATCAAGTAGGGTGGGTCTTTCTTTAAAGTCTCTAATGCTCCTATTGCAAGACTAAAAATCTCTCTAAAGAAGATGTAGAAGAAGCAGCCCCATTTGTTGACAAATTTTGGGGGGAAGATAATGATGTTGGTATTGAATGAATCTTCACCTTTTTATTACGCTGTTTTCTCTATTTCGTTAAGATAATATAAACCAAAATCAATTATGCTATTTATCATGTCATTGGTCTTTTTCTTAAACGCGAAGAATGAAAACAAGCCCTTCCTTTAAACGCCCCCTCAAAAGGACGTCCCCTGAAAAGGACGCCCCCTCAAAAGAACGCCCCCTCAAAATGATGCCCCCTCAAAAGGATGCCCCCTCAAAAGGACGCCCCCTCAAAAGGACGCCCCCAGATGGAATGAAAAGTTTAGACGTTGTTTTAATAGTAAGGTACGTCTTTGTTTTCAGAAAGTGATGTCATAGATATGTATAGTATCCAGTCTTCTGTAATAGACCGCTAATCACCACTTACAAAAAACCAACTTCCGCATTTACAAAACCAGCTCTGTCTTTTGTGGTACCAAGTGGTTTTTAATATAATTCTATATTTTCCGGTACCATCATATTTGAATATATTAAGATAGACAAAATAAAAAAATTCCTACAGTTAATTTAATTACCACCTTAAAATGAGAACCGTATAGGGGTACTTGGCATAAGCAAAATACCACCAGGAAGGTATTAATAGCTGAATTGATACATCTTAAGAGTTCTGACAACAACAAAATCAAAGAAAACCGAGGATTTATAAGTAATATTACAAATAAACTATAGATCTGCGGCTTCTAAAAATGAAAAGCTGAAGAGCAAGAGAGATTGTGTGTTTGTTTTTTTAGGATCTTTACTTAAAAACATCAGGGCCGGGGACAAAACCACAACATTCTAAGAGGGCCTAATACCCTCTCAAAATTATGAAAACATTTGCTTCCAATGAACAATCCCATATTTTCTATTGTTTTCAAACAATGATGCCCGGTTAATAATCCTTTTCTATTTACAATAATGACGAAGGCTGCAAACTACACTACCATAGGAAGCTGAATACTTGTTACGGTAACAAACGATTTCTACAGAAATAAGAGGTCGGTGTTATAAGATCGAAGTCGAATATTTTCGTATCTGGCGGCACCGAAATGATAGATTTCCTGGGTTATGAAATCCCATTTGCAAACCAGTGTTTATAATATCAATAGATCTTGACAAGGTTTTTAAAGTGCAATGATTCAAAAACTGAAAAAGCTTGAAAAATAACAGACAGGCATAAGCATGATGTAACAAATTAATGCCACCGATGAAAATCAGGTTGAAATCTTTAACATTTGAATCGCTGCATGAAGGACAAGAGGCTCGTAGCTGAGAAAGGGGCTTAGAGAATTTGAATAAGAACATTATCTTGAAGAAAAAATGTCAGAGAAACGAATAAAAAAAGCAATAAAGGCGAAATTTGAACTTAGGTAGTTGAGGAAACGTAGAAGGATGATTTCAATATCTCAGTTTTCTAAGGCTACTTTTTCAAGGGACGTTGCTACTGAACATATTTATTTTGCTTGCATGAACCAGTGACTGGCAAACTCCTTACAAAACATGATTGGAAACAGAGAAAGTGTTACAGGACCGATCACAAAGTAGTATTCGTTGTATTTGTATATGTAGCATTTCAATTGTGTAATAAGTAGTACTTCGTTATATGTCCAATTCCAGGGGGCAGTCATGATATATTGTTCCTCCTGGGTTCCGCCCTTATGACGTAGTTTAGTAATTCGTACGTCGTGTTTTAGGTAATTTGTAATTGTATTTATACTGAATAGAAAAAAGGATAGTTGATATTAATCACGTGATGTGCCAATCATTAAAATTGACGATAGTATGTAAGATTGATGACTTGAATAAATAGACGAAGATTGTTCTATACTCGAAGCTCAACCATTACAGCCAATCACAAAATAATGGAGGAGTAGTGTAGTAGAGATCATTTTTTGTTTTCCTTTCTGTACTTATAGAGAAAAAAGCTTGAACTTACCCAAGCACCTTTTTTATATCCTCGACACCTCTGTTAAATTCGGATTTCATAGACTCATCTCTTGACTCAAGCTGCTTGAAAAGAGAAACTCGCATAAAGCATCACCAATATTTTGACAGTCAAATACTCAGGGAAACATGTATGGAAATACACGATTAAACACGATACCTTAACGATTGTCTATTTAATAACTGTAATTGGCAAAATAGCAGACAATTAGCTTGAGGCAGTTGCTGGGATTGATAGATCAAAAGGAGGATTCAAATACATTACAAGATTCTCAAGTAGAAAGAAGATCAAAATTTTTGTAGAGTTAAGGTTCATCAATCGAGTGTTTTAGAGGATAAATTATTATTATGAATTGTTTTGCCTGAGGAACAATTAAGGTCATTCCGCAGACCAGAAAACTGCAAAAACCACTACAAACACTTTTACAAATTCATATTAAGAGGAAAAGTGGAAGCGCAGACAGCAAGGCAAAGAGAATCAAGAGTGTCCATCCATATTATCTGGTCACTTCGTCAAAATGGCGACTAACACTAAATCAGCAACTGCGCTGGAGCTTCCTTGATCAAGCATTGACCGATATACTCTTTTTTTATAAGAACCAGTAAATTTAACTTCAGGCTGACTGTTCTTGAATTTTCCGATTATTTGAGGCTAGATTTTTCTTAATTTATTCTTAAATTATAAGGGTGTAAGCAGTGCGATTGCTTGCTTCTTCGCTATAGGGAGGTGTTCAGGCTTCAATTGCCAACAAAGTGGGCGAGACAACCTTCATTTGCCGCCATTTTTGAATATATACCAAAACAGCACCCAAATTGCATTTAACAGAATCTCAGTCAGCCTCAGCTTGTTCTTAATTTGTTTTTAAATTTTGACCAATTTTGGGGCTCGTGTATAAAATTGTTCTATGATAACGAAAACAAATCAGGATAGTGTGATGGAATAAATGTTCCTTCATTAGATGTTGCACAAATATATAATTTTTTTTAAATTTCAAAAATTTAAGTGGGAATTGAAAGAAACAAAACTGCTGGAATTGGGTTGGGAGAAAAATTTATTCAGCCACAGCAAAATCCTATCTAGCCACACCTTTCATTCCTAGAAATGAGCTGGGATTATTCGTCCGAAAGTTGATCTGTCAAATAATTTTGTTCGTAAGGTATAGATTTTCGTAAGGTTTCAACTCGAAGGATACTCTGTAGATTTGATGCGTGTTCTATTTCTGTTTCACAAAAAATATCGGAATTTAGAAAATTCTTACTCGAGCTGAACACCAAAATACACAAAGCAACTGTTGGGAATTCATGCAGGAATTTAAAATACTTGTTTGAATATAGGAATTATTTAAATGAAAATATATTTGTCCAGACTTGATTGGCGGTGCAAATAAAAAGAAACCTGAAACATTTTCATTCCTCAGAAACAATGCATCTGCGAATACAAAGCATTAGATGGCGAAATTGAGACACCATACAGAGCTGGCTGACGTCATCAAATTGGCAAGTAGAAGAACAACGTAAAAACAAAATTCTAAAACTATTCTAATTATTCGTAGAAGACGAAATAAACACAGGATTTCCTAATGATTTGTGGGTCGTACTAAAAATGGTTATTTTGATTAATCTTACCAGGAAATTCAAATTGAGAGTAAAGAAAGGATTTAAAAGTACGAATTGAACCACTAACAATGAGCCAGCATGTAACTGTGACGTAACTGCGAAGACGGCTCAATATGTATAGGTTTTTCATTTGCCTACAGACAAAGTTATAGACGCTTTTGATAATCCATTTGCTTTACCACAAAAGCTTAGCTTGATGTCTTGAATATTGCAGCGCGACAATACTGAATAAGAAAGCTTGTTCGAATATCGACAGTACTTTAGTTGACTCAGCTAGAGCCAATGGTCGTTATAACAAAGTTTAGGATGAATTTAGAGAAGTGTGCAAGGTTTTTTCAGAAGAGCTTTCCCAAGAAAAGAAGGAAATATGTATAGAGAACTACTAATTGAGGGGAAAATGAGACAAAAATATAAAAATTTTGATAACTTCAAATTTCCAGTCAGCTGAACATTTTTGCCAAAAACTCATACCAGGGGCACGATGAATTTGAATCAACAAAAAATAGCCTTACTGATTCAGACCAAATGCAGTCACACTGTGTATAACAACGAGATGTGTGTCAATATCAGGTCCGTCGCTAGCTATTGTGCTCAATAGGGGTTTCCAAGCCCCATTTGCCAACAGAGTGAGTGGGCCATGTTTGCCGACAAGTTTGGAAATTTTCCGACTAGGCAAACCTAGATGGAAAAAACATCTCGTTTTTGCAATAGAACTCTTTTCAAGAGGTATTACACCCCACACGCCCCCTGTAGCGACGGGCCTGATCACTCTTTCCGAGCAGCGTACGATGTCTTTTGGAACAGCAGAATTTGTACGTATTTTCAGGGGATTATTCTTAGAAGAAAGTGATTATTTCAATGGTGTACGGGATTTGGTGGAATGCTAACCCCCCCCCCCCCTGGATAGCAATGCTTCTGTTGATACAATATAAAAAGGTGAAGATCGAAAAATGCAGCAAAATGACAGCATTTTACCCTTTTTAAGCACTCTTCTTTTACACTTTGTTCTTCTCGAAGCCTTTCTTGTGTCAGTGATGCCAATTTTGACTGCTCTTCAAACTTTGCAGTAATGTCCATAATCTGTAATTCAATCTACATTTTAGTCAACACTGGCAAAACTACAACAAATCATACAAAATGTTCTAGGGTAAATTTAGGTTCTTCAAGTCTTGCATGTCAGCAGCTTAGGTAATGCTGTATTTTCTAGCATAGTATCTGTGAAGTTTGCATGTTTGCACGTAAGGATTTTCGTGAACTGAACTGTACATTTGATTGGTCTTGTTTGAACCAATCATTGAGTTTGTGAATAAATCATCTATCAAGTCTTTAAACTTTTATAGAACCAACATGGCAAACAGATGGACGTTTAAATTCTAAGGAGTTTCGATATTTTTCAATTTTGCAAACAGAAGAAAAGGGTACGCAAAGAAGTCCCTTCTGGAGTGATAACGCCAATATTTTGGAACAAAAATGAAATGAGCATTTTTGTCTGACATTTTGCGTCAATGTTTTCCATCATTCTTGACAAAAATTCCAATCCATTGTTGGTGAAAAGGAACTTTCTATTATGTAGCACAAATGTGTTTGTGTTTTATCAAATAACGTGTATACTAGATATAAATGTTATAAAACAAGAAATAAAGACGTATTGAGCAAATTATCTCATATAAGGTTGACGCGGCTGTCCCCTGTTCTATTGATAACGAAAATTTTCATAAATCTACGTACACAAACTCTCATAAAAAGACTATAGAAAAGCCTTTTATCTATATAATATAGCTTATGGATTCATAATAGAACCCAGTTTAAAGATACAAAACACACCTTCTCCTGGAGCGCATCTCTATCTTTCCTTTCAACACTGAGCCGTTCTTTTGTTAAGTCAACCAAAGCTTGCTTTTCAAGCAGCTTTGCCTGTGCTTCTATTTCTAGTTCATCTATTTTTGTGTTCAATTTTCCAATTTCAATATTCCTAAGATTGACAGAGTCCTCAATATCCTTCAAACGAGACACTTTGTCCTTTTCATTTCTCTCTAGCTTTTCTGTCCTTGATTCAATTTCCCTTGCAGCTATCTTTTCTCCTGCTTCTCTTCCCTAAAAAATAAAACACAAAAACAAACATTCCTTGATAAATTAAAATATAAAAACAAACATTTAACGACTAAGTTAAGTTTAATGAAGATAAACTTAATTTCAAAATTTTCCATCCACCTCATCAGCTTGAAAAAATAGACATTTCCCAGTTGTGCTGACAGTTGTTCCCAATCAACCAAATGTAGTTCAATTAGGTTAAACTCCCGTTATAACTAATTACACAGAAGCTAAAAAGCAGCCTTTTGTAATTATCTATGATAAGATTCAAGAATCAAGACAAATTATTTCAAATCAAATCAGATGGAAATTGTATTTTCAATGAAATAAAAAGCAGTTGAAATAGGTTACCTTTTTGTATGCATCATTCAACAGATGTCTTAGGTTTTCTTCCTTTATAACAACTTCATCTGTAAGTAGACAAATAAATATTATGGATGCTAAAAAAATGAATTTTCTATGTACTTCTAAGAGTCTAAAACGTCAGGTACACTGACTATTTTCTTTTTATTGAGTGCACATCAAGGCTCTTAGACTAGTTACCAAGGGTGTTAACACCTGTTTCTATTCTTTTGTATTTCTCATCAACAATTTGCGATGTCATAATTCAGTTCAAAGCAATATACAAACTACAATGTACTGTATATAGATCTAATATACTTTATTTTACAAATCATACACAACAGCTCAAAAACTTCAGATAGATTGATAAGGTTGAAAGGAAATATCTCTTTGTGACTCGATCTAGATAAAGGTTTGTCTCTATACTGTATTGCCATGCTGATGGAAAGACAGAAATAAAGCATAAAGACATTGGAGAACATCTGATGTTGAAAGGTATCCGATTCTCAAAATCCTCTTTCACTTTTGTGTCAATCACCTCAAGCCAGGGCTCTGCTACCAAATCTGCTGCTAGTAAAAAATCCCATGCATTTTTCTCATAAATAAGTTTGTCAGTATATGTATGTTTAGCACACATTCAGTTTTTATTGCCCTCAACAACTCAGTGACTTTAAGCTTTTACACAGAGCATGCCCAACTGATCTTCAGGGCAGTAGTTTGGGAAGTCAGTAGGAATGGCAGATAAGCTGCTGTAAGTATGGTTTAGGGCAGCCAATGTGGGCCTTCTGTCTAGGATCAGAAGCAGTGGCTTTGAAGATGGACAGAAGATACATCAATGAACGGTTGCATGAGAAAAGTGATGCCAGAAACACCAGAGGTCATACCAGTCTTGAAATCACAAAGCCATGCAGGGCAATGTGCTAATACCAAAAATAATTAGACTGGGATCATGGATATCAAAGTTATGTGTGATAAGTTGGTATCAATTAGTAGTGGCCAACATTGATTATAATAGGAGGTATCCCAGAGAACAGAAACATGTGTTGCCAAACGAAAATAGCTGGAAATTTGGAATGGTTGTATATCAAACTGGTTGATGCATTAATACAAATCAAACAAGTTTTGCTAGACAAGCTAAATATGAAAAGCATACCACCCCTCTCAATGACAAAAAAGAAACCAATTCATTGGCTCTAGGTAAACAATTATCCAAAAAATAAAAAGGAAAATACCTCTTGGCTCATCAACTGGTAGTCCTTTTCCTTTTTTCAATCTTGAAAGTACTTGCTCAGAAACCTGACCAATTGAAAAAAAGAAACATCGTGAAACCAATCATGACTACCATCATAAAACTTAAGCAAATTTTACTTTGCCATTGGTCCCAATACTTTGTCTAAAATGTGCAACCTTACAAACTCCCCAGTATCAACTGATTAAGCTCAGACAGTCAAATGGAAGCAGTTTGTCAAAGGAATTATTCATTTCTTAAACTATTTATGATCATTTTCTGTTCTACATGGCATTCAAAGTATTTTAACCTCTTGGAACATGAGCTCAGATAAGATATTTGTATGTGTGTGGTACATTGTGTGCCTCCAGTGAAGGCTGACACTCAAATAAATGTTTCATTTGAATCTAATGGTGAGTAAAACAATATGAAAAAACAAACATCACTGTAGGCATTGCACAAATTTCACATTTTAAGAGTTTTTTTATGTACTTGATGATAAACAATATCTAAACAACCAGATAATATTCCTTAAATTGCACCACTGTGTATTCATTAAAATGTTTCTGTCCAGAGGGCAATCTCAATATTTTTTGCTGGACTTGCAAAAACATGAGCATTTTTTATAGTTTTTTGCAACATCTAAGATCTTCCAGGTGAGATGATGCCTTTCATTTTACTAAAGATGCTGTACCTCTCCACTTCTCCCTTCTGAGTCTCATCAAGATCACACAAAAAATTGATCCTTTGATGTACTACCTTTACGCTAGCGGCCTATGGGCTAGTTCCTAAAACATTTGCACCATAATAAGCTGACATATGACGGCTTGTAAGCTTTGATAATTGCCTGGCTTATTAGAAAGCTCATTTCAATACATCAAAAGGAATGCTTGCTTTCATAGCTCATACATGATCCATTCTAGCCATTTGCATTTGCAAGGAGGAAGATTATTATATAAAGGAAAAACAGCTTGTTTTTATAACAAATCATTTCAAAACAAAAATTCAAAATGATGCAATCAAATGCACCAATCAAAGATGGCTTGAAAAGAGAGCAGCTACTTGCTATCTTCGTCATTACACATTCATGAAAAAATTCTGTATTTCAGAGTGACCTTTGGACAAGGTTTTTAAACTCAACAGAGAACAGCTTCTGTAACTCAGTTCATGTTTAAATGCAGAACTGTTTTCTCAGAGCTGTAATTCCAGTGCAGTAGAAACCAAGATTTGATACATTTGCTACAAAGGCAGAAATCTATGGATAAGCAGCAAAGTAGACTAGATGTCACACAGAACTCTTCAACAAAAAGAGATTTTGAATGGCTGTATTAAAAACAGAGATCTACTACATTGAGGCATTCAGCAGTTCCACAGTCAGCCATACTTTCTTTAATCACCAGCAATTCAATAGGGCACAATTTATTATTATCAGTTGTATTGTGCTTGAATGATACAAAACTCTCTTTTGTGCCTCATTTAATATTGAACTCAGACAAGAAAATTGAGTTACTCTATTTCAATGAACTAACGATGAACCAGGTCTGATGTTACTGCATGTGCATTTGAAAATTTAATGCATTAGACTCATACATTGAATACATTTGCAAGCTGCCACTGCTTGTCTCTCACAGCTCAAGCATGCAATGAGATACTGCTAAAGAAGTTGAAAAATGAACCGATATCAGATAAAAATTTGTTTTGAAGAAGATAAATATAAAGCACAAATGATGCATCAGTGATCAAGCCAGTCATACAATATTTCACATTTTACAAAATCAGGTGTCATTCAAGCAGTTTTGTATCTTATTGGTGGCACAAGCAATGATAATTTTATTACACAAAACCAAACCAAAGTTTTCTTTTATTCTACCAAAAAGGCATTTTTGAAATTTGTTTGCCTTTCACCAAATATTAGACCCTAAATTAAATCTTTTAAAAAAGCCACCCTAAAACAAGTGGTACATCTTATAGACAGGCAAAAAACAGGCATCAAATAAAGATTCAGCCAAGAACAGCTCACAGTCAACCTCTTTTTAACGAATTAAAACTTCTATGTCTTAATGACTGCTATGAAATAGAATGTGCCAAATTTATGCATGATATTATTAATAGTAAACTAGATAAAATCTTCTGCAATCTCTTCCAGCTAACAAAAAAATAGACATAATATTCTAACTAGACAAGCAACTTCTGACTTATTTTACAGCCTGCGATAAGAACTAATATCAAGCATCAAAGTATTTTAAACAATGGAGTTAAAATCTGGAACAATATACCTTTTGATATAAGGCAATCTCATAATAAACGTATGTTTTCGAAGAACTTAAAGCATGGCTTCTAAACAACAGTGCTCGATCGGTTGAAATTCATATTTGAATATAGTCTTAATTAAAAAATCCTTCTCAAATCCTTTTTAATAAACATCTGTATTTTGGTCTTTTCATTTTTTGATTTTAATTTTAATTTTGAATAATAAACTAGCAAGTATCCTGATTTCCCAAACCTAATCCTGTTACTTTAGTTCCATTTTGCTTAGTTTAATATTCTTAATTTATTGAATCTTATTTTCTTAGCTGTTGTTGTTATGTTACTATTAGCATAATATGTTTCATTTATATCGCAAATTTTTGTTAAATTGTGTAAAGGGCACTTGGCTCGATAGCTCTTCTGAGTTTTTTCCAAGTCTCCTAAGCTTACCCAATTAGTATTAAATCGTATTATCGGTATATTGTAATTAAAAGTTTGAATTATCTATATGAAATGAAATGGAAAGTTAATTTACTAACCTTAAATTAACTAGAACCTAGATATGACCTTCGTGATGTACATACAATTTCAAAACAAAGCACATTTATATTGGGTATTTAACTTTCCTTGGAGTGAATTAAAGATCATTTTAACAGTTGTTCTTTTTTGATACTACGTGTTTTTTCATTTGCTGCTACATTATACCTATTTCATTTGCCAATTTAATCAATCAAGTTTGTCTGCTAAATCATTTATCTATAAAAAATAATATTTTGGTGTAATCCTTTTTCTCCAATCTCCCATTTCATGGGTTGTCTACAAAATCTCAGAAGTGCACAAGCTATTATCCGGGAGTGCAAGAGTTCAATTATAATAAGTACGCACATTTGAGTGTGCACAAAATTTCCCAGTGATTCTTGGGTTTGTCCACGTTTTTTCTTTTGGTATTTATCAAACTTGTATCAATTTTCCCTCACAAGGAAATTAAATGATTGGGACTCCCATCAGTGATGTCTGTTATTCAAATTTTTCAGAAAGAAATTAGAAAGAATAGGGAGTCTGAAAAGGGAGCCTGAAATGGTAAATCGTTTTAAACGATTGTAAGGTAATGAATGCAAGAATTATTCTCAAATGTGTTGCTTGACTTGTTGACCATGCGAAAAATATGACCATCAGTATAAAGCTAATCTAGCAAATTTGGGGTTGTCTCACCCCGATATTATCTTTAACTTTTCAAAAACAGCAAATCGAATGGACGAACCTGCACATGACCTTCGTCAGTTTTCTGCATAGATATTCGCATTGCAGTTGATTCACCGTTACCCATCTCCACCTATACTTGAAAGCACTTTTACAAAAGAAATGATAGTCCTTTCTCTGCCTAGGCCATTTCAATTGCCATGAGTAAAATTGTCAAAACGAGGTTTTTGTCCATATGCAGAAGGCCAACGCTAACCAAACGAAAATGTCCCGAACTTCCCTTGTCATTTTGTTACGATACGAACTTTTCGAATTTCTAATAATTTACAAAATGATTTGACAGTGATCAAAACGTTAGAGCGCCACATTTTTCATTCGTTCTTTATTTTTTTAATGTGGCGCGTTTGGAGAGATTTAAAGTTGTTCAAAATAATGTTTAATAAGGGCATCGAAATTCGTATGTGTAGAAAAAACGTAAAGGTGGATTTCCACTTTAAATATGTAAATTTCGGCTAGGCAGGTTGCTAGATGATTATGCGAATCTCCTTGTCTATCAACTTTTGAGGCATATGAAAAAAAATTTATGATGTCTTGATTATAAAGTCTATGACGAAACATCACTATATCTTAGTAGCTTTCCCATTCAATTCTGCATGGCTATGAATAAAATCACTAAGGTTCAAATATTAGAATTTAGAAAAAAGTGTTTCTAGCGGTACAGTCTTTGACAGAAAGGAGGAATTTTCGTTATTAATTTTAAAATCAGGTGAGGTTAGACTTTCGCGACCAATGCCTTCCTTTTGCTAAAAAGCAGTTTTAAAATGTTTGAATTTAATTAAAAAAGGCTACTGTTGCTGTCTATAATTAATTCAATTTTATTCAAAAAGTGAACTTGAAAAAGCCTTTTGAAAAATGCCACACCCATTCTAGAGGTTGAAGTATTGAAAACATCATTAATAAAATATTCTCTCGTATACGTCCAATTTGGTCTTGATTTTTTCTCTGCTTATAGCAGGAGGAGGTCTCTTTAAACAAACGGCATTTTGTCACTGAAAAGAGTACTTTTCTATCAGAAAAGCTCCTTTTTACAAAGAAGTTACTTGTTTAACTTTAGGTAAAATTGGAGGCCGGGCCTCTTCCTTATGATCTGCCACCGATCAAAGATGTTTTCCGATTTTGTTAGTGCAATATTGTATTGAAAGCACGTTACTCAAGTTTTGATTGCTAGTTGTTGACTGAAATTTGTCTACTCATTGAGAAATCAAGAGAAAGAAATGACAAATTTTCAATCTTCTTCAGTAATTAAAAAATTAATGTGATTAACAAAAATTCGATAAATATTCAAAATCATTCAAGTTCTTTACTGTCAAGTAATATTCAGTTATCATGTGCTGCGTCTAACCTAGAGCGGAAAAGAATAAAAAATGATTAACAACCTTAAGGCGCTAAGTAACTATGAAGTTAAATAAAGCAAAGTAAAGTGACGTAAAATCATGGTGTTACTTTTTTTGAGTACTGCTTGCATCAATGATGCATGCATGACTGAGGTCAAATCTTTACTGAATCAAGATAATTTTGTAGCTGGAATTTCCGCTGCTCAGCGTTACTTAAACCCTAAAAACCTAACTTTATTCATAGCAATTAAGACAAAAATGTATGAATAAATAAATCATCAAATAAATCAACAAATAAGTCAATAATTGCTATTCACATTCTACAATACTATTCCTTTTATACTGCATTACCTTCAATTTTCATATATATTTTTCATTAGCATTTTATAGCTGCTGTGATAAACCTATTCAATTTCAAGTGGAAAGTTTTTCCTTACATTAGTTTTCTTTCTACAGTAATGAAACACGTCACAGAGGCACATGGGTTGGCAGTTCCTCTGAGGTTTTTTCATGTGCCTGTCAGCATAACCGTACGACTTACTTGATATTAATCTATTTTGTTGTGAATTATTCGCACTATGGATATTGCAATTAACTCATATGATGCTGAAAACAAATAAATATTTGAGTTAAGTAAATCATTTGCTCACTGCAACATTAATTCATATTACAATCAGTGTCAATGCCTACCTCATTGGTTAATTTGTGCATTGGTATGTTATGTCAAGGTATTTGTATGTCCCACGGCATGGGTCACCAAATACTTGGTTTGTTGCTGGAACTGCACAGGAACGTCTCCTGTTGCATCGTCTTCTGACAATCATTAATGATCTGTGGAGAAGATTTTTCACATCAATATGTGGCAAAGCTACCTTGGAAGCAGAAAAGTCCTTCTTAGCAAAACTAATAAGATCTCTGGGTTATTAATTACAATGCAAATCCTGTGACTGGAGTCTAGCTCCAGATAAAAATGACTGGTGTAGATAGTTATGAATAAAGACATTCAAACAATATTTGGTCTAAACATTCGCTAGTACCCCTTCGCATAGTTATTTCAGCCAGGAAATCAACAAAAAAGTTTGTGAAGACAGCCATCACATTGAATGTGCACATTTTCTCGCTTAATAATCAATATAAACATATACCAGTTTAATGTTAATAATCAAATATAACCTTTTCAGCACAGACTATGCAAAAAGCAATTCAACAGCTGCATTCACTTTTGCAGCTTCAGCCAAAAAAGATTTAAGTTTTAGGGGACTACTGTGATAAGTTAATCCCCACAGCACTTATCCAAAGCATTAGAAAAGTTAGGCATAGAAATAAATACAGAACATTTAAAAAAAATTCAAAATTTGATCAACATAACCTTACCTACAACTACTGCATTTAGTATTCCAAAAGTTAGAGCGACGACAATAACTACGGTTTGATCTGCCATAATTTGCGTAATAAATTTTCACTTTTTTCCCAAGAGGACAGGTGAGTCTCGCAATTCTTCCTTCGCAAGTGACTGAACGTCTTTTCTCTTCAAAGTTTAAAAAAAAAATTTTTAACACATATTGGAAAAAAACATATTTTTGAAAACGCAAAATTGGTAAAAAATCGACAATCTTCCATTAAATTCAATAATCTATATAGCAAACTCACCTGGTATTGGACGTGGACGTGGACGTGGACGTGGATGTCGGTGTGGGCGTGGACGTGGACGATTAAGGCAACGATAAACAACTCTCAAATATTTGTATGTTCCACGACAGGGATCGCCAAACACTCTGTTACTGGCCGAAAGATTACAATAGCGCCTTCCATTGCATTCTCGGCGAACTTTGAATACGGAGCTATGATTAGCAAGAAGAGAAAAATGAGAAGCAAAATCTAACAATAAATTTATATGTCATAACACATGCGTCAGTTGGTGGTAGATAATGTAAAATAACGATAAAAGCTTTAGAAACCTCTCTTTATGCTTTTCATCGACGGGCGATGAAATCCTTTATTAGAAAGAAATCTTGATTTTAAAGCAAAAAATATCAAGTTATTGATACAAAATTTCATTTTTATAATCCTAAAATCGTTATATAAGATTTACCTCTTAGAGAAACATCTTGTGTTTTTCATGAAACGTGATGGACAGGTTAATGTTCCCATCCTTCCATAGTTGGCGTGGATTATAGAGAGAACCTTTCCATGCCTGCATCCAATGGATCGTTTTTTGTGCTCGCAGATGTTAATTGTTGGAAATCCTTTAGAATAGAAAACGACAGATTGCTCAAGCATTTTACAAAGTTGAAAAATTTGAAAACAGGACAAAGTTACACTTGACAAATAGAGGTATATTGGCTTTAATACTAAATAACAAGTAGATTGCTTTTCTTTGAATATTAATAAATTCTTTAACGAACTCACTTGGTCTTGGACGTGGACGTGGACGTGGACCCGGACGTGGACCCGGACGTTGACGATTAAGGCAACGATAAACAACTCTCAAATATTTGTATGTTCCACGACAGGGATCGCCAAACACTCTGTTACTGGCCGAAAGATTACAATAGCGCCTTCCATTGCATTCTCGGCGAACTTTGAATACGGAGCTATGATTAGCAAGAAGAGAAAAATGAGAAGCAAAATCTAACAATAAATTTATATGTCATAACACATGCGTTAGTTGGTGGTAGATAATGTAAAATAACGATAAAAGCTTTAGAAACCTCTCTTTATGCTTTTCATCGACGGGCGATTAAATCCTTTATTAGAAAGAAATCTTGATTTTAAAGCAAAAAATATCAAGTTATTGATACAAAATTTCATTTTTATAATCCTAAAATCGTTATATAAGATTTACCTCTTAGAGAAACATCTTGTGTTTTTCATGAAACGTGATGGACAGGTTAATGTTCCCATCCTTCCATAGTTGGCGTGGATTATAGAGAGAACCTTTCCATGCCTGCATCCAATGGATCGTTTTTTGTGCTCGCAGATGTTAATTGTTGGAAATCCTTTAGAATAGAAAACGACAGATTGCTCAAGCATTTTACAAAGTTGAAAAATTTGAAAACAGGACAAAGTTACACTTGACAAATAGAGGTATATTGGCTTTAATACTAAATAACAAGTAGATTGCTTTTCTTTGAATATTAATAAATTCTTTAACGAACTCACTTGGTCTTGGACGTGGACCCGGACGTGGACGTGGACCCGGACGTTGACGATTAAGGCAACGATAAACAACTCTCAAATATTTGTATGTTCCACGACAGGGATCGCCAAACACTCTGTTACTGGCCGAAAGATTACAATAGCGCCTTCCATTGCATTCTCGGCGAACTTTGAATACGGAGCTATGATTAGCAAGAAGAGAAAAATGAGAAGCAAAATCTAACAATAAATTTATATGTCATAACACATGCGTTAGTTGGTGGTAGATAATGTAAAATAACGATAAAAGCTTTAGAAACCTCTTTTTATGCTTTTCATCGACGGGCGATGAAATCCTTTATTAGAAGGAAATTTGGGTTTTAAAGCAAAAAATATCAAGTTATTGATACAAAATTTCATTTTTATAATCCTAAAATCGTTATATAAGATTTACCTCTTAGAGAAACATCTTGTGTTTTTCATGAAACGTGATGGACAGGTTAATGTTCCCATCCTTCCATAGTTGGCGTGGATTATAGAGAGAACCTTTCCATGCCTGCATCCAATGGATCGTTTTTTGTGCTCGCAGATGTTAATTGTTGGAAATCCTTTAGAATAGAAAACGACAGATTGCTCAAGCATTTTACAAAGTTGAAAAATTTGAAAACAGGACAAAGTTACACTTGACAAATAGAGGTATATTGGCTTTAATACTAAATAACAAGTAGATTGCTTTTCTTTGAATATTAATAAATTCTTTAACGAACTCACTTGGTCTTGGACGTGGACGTGGACGTGGACCCGGACGTGGACGTGGACCCGGACGTTGACGATTAAGGCAACGATAAACAACTCTCAAATATTTGTATGTTCCACGACAGGGATCGCCAAACACTCTGTTACTGGCCGAAAGATTACAATAGCGCCTTCCATTGCATTCTCGGCGAACTTTGAATACGGAGCTATGATTAGCAAGAAGACAAAAATGAGAAGCAAAATCTAACAATAAATTTATATGTCAAAACACATGCGTTAGTTGGTGGTAGATAATGTAAAATAACGATAAAAGCTTTAGAAACCTCTCTTTATGCTTTTCATCGACGGGCGATAAATCCTTTATTAGAAAGAAATTCTTGATTTTAAAGCAAAAAATATCAAGTTATTGATACACAAATTCATATTTTTATTAATCCTAAAATCGTGTATAACTAAGGTATAAACAGAGTTACCTCTTAGAGAAACATCTTGTGTTTTTCATGAAACGTGATGGACAGATTAATGTTCCCATCCTTCCATAGTTGGCGTGGATTATAGAGAGAACCTTTCCATGCCTGCATCCAATGGATCGTTTTTTGTGCTCGCAGATGTTAATGGTTGGAAATCCTTTAGAATAGAAAACGACAGACTGCTCAAGCATTTTACAAAGTTGAAAAATTTGAAAACAGGACAAAGTTACACTTGACAAATAGAGGTATATTGGCTTTAATACTAAATAACAAGTAGATTGCTTTTCTTTGAATATTAATAAATTCTTTAACGAACTCACTTGGTCTTGGACGTGGACGTGGACGTGGACCCGGACGTGGACCCGGACGTTGACGATTAAGGCAACGATAAACAACTCTCAAATATTTGTATGTTCCACGACAGGGATCGCCAAACACTCTGTTACTGGCCGAAAGATTACAATAGCGCCTTCCATTGCATTCTCGGCGAACTTTGAATACGGAGCTATGATTAGCAAGAAGACAAAAATGAGAAGCAAAATCTAACAATAAATTTATATGTCATAACACATGCGTTAGTTGGTGGTAGATAATGTAAAATAACGATAAAACCTTTAGAAACCTCTTTTTATGCTTTTCATCGACGGGCGATGAAATCCTTTATTAGAAAGAAATCTTGATTTTAAAGAAAAAAATATCAAGTTATTGATACAAAATTTCATTTTTATAATCCTAAAATCGTTATATAAGATTTACCTCTTAGAGAAACATCTTGTGTTTTTCATGAAACGTGATGGACAGGTTAATGTTCCCATCCTTCCATAGTTGGCGTGGATTATAGAGAGAACCTTTCCATTCCTGCATCCAATGGATCGTTTTTTGTGCTCGCAGATGTTAATTGTTGGAAATCCTTTAGAATAGAAAACGACAGATTGCTCAAGCATTTTACAAAGTTGAAAAATTTGAAAACAGGACAAAGTTACACTTGACAAATAGAGGTATATTGGCTTTAATACTAAATAACAAGTAGATTGCTTTTCTTTGAATACTAATAAATTATTTAACGAACTCACTTGGTCTTGGACGTGGACCCGGACGTGGACGTGGACCCGGACGTTGACGATTAAGGCAACGATAAACAACTCTCAAATATTTGTATGTTCCACGACAGGGATCGCCAAACACTCTGTTACTGGCCGAAAGATTACAATAGCGCCTTCCATTGCATTCTCGGCGAACTTTGAATACGGAGCTATGATTAGCAAGAAGAGAAAAATGAGAAGCAAAATCTAACAATAAATTTATATGTCATAACACATGCGTTAGTTGGTGGTAGATAATGTAAAATAACGATAAAAGCTTTAGAAACCTCTCTTTATGCTTTTCATCGACGGGCGATGGAATCCTTTATTAGAAAGAAATTTTGATTTTAAAGCAAAAAATATCAAGTTATTGATACAAAATTTCATTTTTATAATCCTAAAATCGTTATATAAGATTTACCTCTTAGAGAAACATCTTGTGTTTTTCATGAAACGTGATGGACAGGTTAATGTTCCCATCCTTCCATAGTTGGCGTGGATTATAGAGAGAACCTTTCCATGCCTGCATCCAATGGATCGTTTTTTGTGCTCGCAGATGTTAATTGTTGGAAATCCTTTAGAATAGAAAACGACAGATTGCTCAAGCATTTTACAAAGTTGAAAAATTTGAAAACAGGACAAAGTTACACTTGACAAATAGAGGTATATTGGCTTTAATACTAAATAACAAGTAAATTGCTTTTCTTTGAATATTAATAAATTCTTTAACGAACTCACTTGGTCTTGGACGTGGACCCGGACGTGGACGTGGACCCGGACGTTGACGATTAAGGCAACGATAAACAACTCTCAAATATTTGTATGTTCCACGACAGGGATCGCCAAACACTCTGTTACTGGCCGAAAGATTACAATAGCGCCTTCCATTGCATTCTCGGCGAACTTTGAATACGGAGCTATGATTAGCAAGAAGACAAAAATGAGAAGCAAAATCTAACAATAAATTTATATGTCATAACACATGCGTCAGTTGATGGTAGATAATGTAAAATAACGATAAAAGCTTTAGAAACCTCTCTTTATGCTTTTCATCGACGGGCGATGAAATCCTTTATTAGAAAGAAATCTTGATTTTAAAGCAAAAAATATCAAGTTATTGATACAAAATTTCATTTTTATAATCCTAAAATCGTTATATAAGATTTACCTCTTAGAGAAACATCTTGTGTTTTTCATGAAACGTGATGGACAGGTTAATGTTCCCATCCTTCCATAGTTGGCGTGGATTATAGAGAGAACCTTTCCATGCCTGCATCCAATGGATCGTTTTTTGTGTTCGCAGATATTAATTGTTGGAAATCCTTTAGAATAGAAAACGACAGATTGCTCAAGCATTTTACAAAGTTGAAAAATTTGAAAACAGGACAAAGTTACACTTGACAAATAGAGGTATATTGGCTTTAATACTAAATAACAAGTAGATTGCTTTTCTTTGAATATTAATAAATTCTTTAACGAACTCACTTGGTCTTGGACGTGGACGTGGCACGTCGGACCCGGACTTTGGACCGGACGTGACGTTTGAATTGGACGTGGACACTTAAGGCAACGATATACAACTCTCAAATATTTGTATGTTCCAGGACAAGGGTCGCCAAACACTCTGTTACTGGCCCAAAGATTGCAAGAACGTCTTCCATTGCACTTTTGATAAATTTTTCTGTTGAGGTTTCTAAGGAAGAGAAAGAAAGTTTCAAAACAAAATTAGATAATAATTGCAAATGTCATAGCATGATGCATTGCTTGTTTATTTATGGAATCACATGTTACTAAATATTTATTGAGAAAAAGAGATCAAAATATGAGCAAAACCATTCAAACGTACTAGATTACTTTGAAGCCTTCCATTTTTAACCAATGGTAAAGAATATCCAGTGTGCAATGAAAGAGAATTGAATTAAGAATAAAAAGTGATGCTTTTATGAATATGAATTGATATATGAAATTCACCTTGCCGAGTGACATTTTGTGTTTCCCATGTTTCGTGAGCGACAGGATTTCTGTCAGTTCTCCCGTAGTTCAGGCCTGTTATTCTAAGTACCTGTCCAGACATGCATCGAATAGTTTGTCTTCGATGCTCACAGATGTTCGTAATTCGCGATCCTTAAAATACAACATGGTTATTAGTAAAATATGTGCTTTAGAAAGATACATAAGAAGAAATGAAGATCTGTATGTACAATCTTCAGCAAGAATTTTTAGTGCCCTAGGGCAATCTTTTTGCTTTCATTGTTTGACAGGAGTCTTTCATTGTAAGTGACATCTATCTTAACAAAATGCATTTCATGAACGTAGGTCTGAGGCTTAATTACTTTATTTCTTTCGGTCAAGAGCAACTACAGGCACCTATTTCATAACTCATCGTAGTTCAAATCACAGTCTCTGTATGCGATAGTCTTGGAGCTCTCTTTTTCTCTTACCTAGAGTGTCATCCCGATATCTAAGGACCATCAAAACAGCAGAAAAATAGCTGATTAGCACATGATGATTTTTTCACCATATCCTTCACTTTTCTTTGTCTAACACTTGTATATAACGTGTTTATTATTTGTTTATTAAAATCAATACCGAATTTGTTGTCTTTTTTTTCGCGAAGAGATTCAATTTTCTAAAAACGATTCATTGCATAGTCTACTTTATTATAATAATATATATTATATTATTATAGTCTTGGATATAAGAATTTCCTAAAAGCTATTTAACTATTTAATTTTTGTCAGTCAAAATCGCGAGATGGAATTTGGCTTCTTTCAATTTCGTTAGAATATCCAAAGCAAATTATAGCAAATTTGCAAGCAAGAATTCGAACAGCTTCTTCAATTTCAAAATCGACGTTTGTATATTATAAGAAAAATAGCAAACCTCATACTTACTTGGTCGACAACTGTAAATAACTCTCAAGTACTTATATGTTCCGACACAAGGATCACCAAATACGCTGTTAACGGCGTGAAGGCGGCAAATTTGTTTACCCTGGCAGGCTTTTTGCACTTTCTTCAGCGAACTGAAACAGGAATGCTCAAATATATTTCTTAAATGCATCAATTAGTCACTCACACACAAGAAGACAATTTCTACTAGGGGAATTGCATTTTTGCTCAAGGACATAAAAGTTGTGACTAATCAACAAAAAAGCACCACAGACATCTAGCGTAACACTCGACGGAGAAGCGAAAAGTACACCAAATATCTTCAAAGTCTCCAAGGAATTAGGTCATCTTTTCACCCCCTTTAGCACGGTTAGGCCCCTATCTTGGCCCGTCCCATCTACCCTTTTATGCCTCGCTGTTCCTACACGGCGTTTCAAAGATTATGATCAAATGCAGTGGTACACTTACTTTTTTGCGTTGCATTTCGTCGTAAGCATTGCTGGGTGTCGACAAATTCTTCTACTGGTTCTTCCATAGTTAGCAGTTACAATATTTATCTCCCAACCAGTTCTGCATTCAAGAACTCTCCAACGGTTCTCACATATATTGGCCACGCACCCTATAATATTACAGAACAGAGGACATATATTTGTGTGCTTTCCCTAGATGCAAGGTCACCTCATTGGGTGGATCTAATTGAATTACTGGTGTTAATTGAAACAAAACTGCACATTTTTGGGGCAAGAGTAAGGGGAGGGAGGCGGAATGGAGCGAAAACAAAATAATGCTGCCAATACGAAACAATTGAGCAGAGTGATTAAGGCAGCAAATAAATAGAGAATGAGTTGAAAATAAGTTGAAGATGATAAAATAGCAAACGAGAAAAATAAACATAGACAATTGAATAAATTGAAAATTTTCAGCAAAAGAGCAATTACAAGATGGAAATCATACGGTCAACTGGGAGTCTCTAAGAAGACTTATATATTTCTCTGAAATGCAGAATTATACTGGCAACAAACGTTTCGGGACAATTAAAGAAGGATAAAAGAAGTGATCAAATCGACATTTTGAAAAATTCTATCTTCAAATATGGACAGACAGTGATGAGATTTTGCACCCATTTCCCAGGTTACAGATAAAAACGCTGCCATAAAGTTGCATCTGCACTTAACCTGGTAATCAGAGCCACAAAAAATTTCGAGAGCAGAAATAAAAAAGAGGGGCGGAGGCTCCTTTCTTTCTTCTTAGTGCTCGCGCCTTTGTTGGTATGGTACCCAGGGTAATATGAGCAAATTTTGAATGGCATTGGGCAGGGGTTTTTAATTGTTTTGAGTGCCAGGCCAGAAAAACATTTAGATTTTCTCCAGGGGCCACTGAGTTTTCGACTTTTACAAAGCTTGTGTCAAAGAGTTGCACAAAATGAAGTTCGTATATCATACTAACCAGGCTAATTTAAAGATAAGATTCTATTATTTCTTGCTAGATTCTATATTCATAAAATCTATGTAATGTGCATATTTTCATGAAACAAATTTTGGAATGGTGGATGAGAGAAGAGAAAAAGGGAGGACGATGATAATATTTAGGAGCATTCTGCTGTCTGATGTTAGAGATTGGCTCAATGTGCAATACCTGACGGATTAACATTCGGGGGGAGGGGGACTAAAATCTTCAAACTGTAACAAAGTATATAAAGCCAAAAAAATGATTCACACAAAATTTGCAGCATGCATTTCTTTTACCAGGTTGAATCAGAAGGCAGTTGTGCTATTTTTTAGGTTACGACGTTAATATTCGGATCCAAGGACGGCGAAACGTATTTGAAAGTGGGGCCAAAATTTAATGATCGCGCTTGTATTAAAAAGGCAATTAGAAGAAAATTTTTAGATTATAATAATCTAGGGATGGCCAGAAACTGCATCTAAAATAGAATCTGGCGGAAGAAACGCTTATGGTTCAATGGTTTTATCTATCTCAATGTTGACATGAAAAGAAAGGGTCTTGTAGAATTATCTTAGCATAACAGCGAATGATCAACTTTTTTTACAAATGAACGAAACCAAAATGAGATGGAGAGAAAAAATAAAGAAAACACAGTTTGGCAATAAAGCATTAGGCAGTGCCCTAGTCCACACACGCTGCCTCATACACATACGCTAATAAGCATGAACTCAATGAACTAAAGATCTCAGAAAGTGGAGGAAGGGGTGAGGTCATGGTGAGTTTATCGACATTTTGACGTTATTTGTTTTCCCAATCAGGAAAATCGCTAGTTTTATTTCAACAATTTTCATCCTATAGAATGTTCTATAGACTATGAAATATTGAATTCAATGAAAGCAGTAAAATATTTTGCTATAAAACATCTAAATGATTAAATAAAACATTATCTATTGTCGTACTCCCTTTTGGACAAATTACTGGTCAACGGGAAGCACATCATCATTTACTTCAGAGAAAAAGAAAATATCAGAGCAGTCAAAAAACAAAGCTAAATCGAATTCAAAATTTTAAAAGTGTAAGCCAAAAATATTTTTTGAGATAAAGCGCTCGGCGGGCCGGATAAAAACTTGCTGCGGGTCGAAGTTGGCCCGCGGGCCGGAGTTTAAGAATGGCTGACATAGGGTTTGTAGATGTTGGATTAACAGGCATGTTGCCCGTGTCTAAAATGTGAATTTTGAAGTAAGCAAAATGTGTTTTTCAGCAAGATAAGTTAATAAAATGAATACCTTCCGAAGGTGCCAGGGAGCCAATGCAGGCAAGCAGCATTGCAAGAAGCAGCATTTTGACGCAAAGAGACCTGAAAAGGAAAAGAGCTGAATGAGTGGAAGTCTGCCATAACAAACTTTGAAGAGAGCCAGAGGGGTAGCTCGTTATAATAATGATAATAATGATAATATAGGAGACAGGAGTTAAGTCTACTTTTTGAAGCAGTTACTCACGGCTCAGATTGAGTAACACAATGGTAATGGTAACGAAAATGCCAACTACCAAATGAACTAAAATCAGCTGACAATCTTAACAGCTTCAAACGTATAATAAAACGATGGGATGGTCCTAGCTGCAAATGCAATGTTTGTAAATATAATGATATCAATATCCTGTAATATTTGACCATTCATATCCAAGTTGCTTCAAATATTTAGCTTATGTATGTTCGTATTTATTTCCTTAGTTATATCCTCTTCTTTTGTTATGCAGTAGATTCGATTTAGATTAGTTGTATGTGTATATCCATATATATATGTAAAGCTAGAAAAATATCGAATTAAAATAAGGTTACAAATTGTAGGAACTCAGGGTTACTGATAAATGCTCAAGCTAGTTAACGCCCACAAGCTTTTGTTGATTAAAAAAGGTTTGGTTCTTCTTTATACATTTGGAAAAAAAATTTACATTCCCACAAATGTTCAAAATGTTAAATCTGGTTTTCTCGTCTCTTTTAGTTTACACCACCTGTAGTTATCGAATAACTTAGCAGCCCCGGGCAAACCAAAGGAAGAAAACAGTTTTCGAGTGAGGTTTTACAAGCTGCAACTGAACAATCTTTAAAGAAAAAAGGGGTTTGCAAAAACCATGATGTTTCCAATATTGATTGGTTTATAATAACTGCAGTTGTATCCATAATCGTGAAAACTGTTGACGGAATGTTCACATGAGTTCAGCTGTTCTGTGATTTGATTGGCTGAACCCAAGGTGCATGTACTATAATTGGTTTAGACAGGGCTAGGCTACACCCTTCTAAAAGAAAGCATATTGCTTGTTCGGTCACACGGTCGTTTCAGCCAGCCCAACCGAAATTTAGTGCAAGGTGACAATGCTTGCGCACTTAGTTTCAATACCAGGTGTTGAGCTTTTTTGTACTTATACAATACTTTTTCAGAGTTGAAGTTGCCCGCAGGGAATTCGAAGTGTTTTCAAGAAGGGTTTTAAACAATCAGCCAAACACCCTTTTCTTTGCATTTGCGCCACAAATCGCCCGACTAAAGCTTTTCAGTTAAGTAAACAAGTTTCAATGATACACTGACAAAATACAGGTTGTTTCAGTATTTCAGTACAATTTGGCTCTCATTTTTCTATGATCATCGGAATAAGTGTAGGAAAAGCGTAAATCCTCTAACAAGCTTCAACTTGTTGGTTATAGATAGCTGCCCGTTAGGCAGAGTTTTAAGACATATTACATCTTTATCTAAGCCTTCAATCTTTTCGCAAACAGTCAATACTCGCCTAAGCACCCCCATTTTTGTAATACTTATTACATTAATCACCCGTACCTGGAAATATTAGAGAGATGCATATGAAGAAGATAGTAAACTATTGAATTAAAGCCTACTGTATAGTCCAAAAGGCTTGCAAAAGTTCTTGAGGTCTAACTACTATTGCTTGCGATTTAGCGGTGTTGAAGCAAATTTAGAACAGGCAGTGCTTGGAAAAGACGGTACCGTACTACATATTATTGTACTTCATTAGAGTTCACAAAATACCTATTTTTACACGCTAGCTGGGAAGGTATAATTTATCCCTAGACTCATACGTAAAGGAATAATGCAACTTCGAAAGTTCGGATGCACAACTCTCATTTCAAATATTTATGCACAAACTCTTCTCGCTAATGTTAGAGTGACAAAAAGGATAAAGTAACTATGATTAAATACCTGAAAAAAATTAATATGACAATGTTCACTAAAATTGTATCACTAAAACAATATCAGATCTGAGACCATTACAGAGTTGTTCTTCCAAAGTAGCGTGCTTTGAGAATAATTGCCAATATAAAAACTATTTTTTCATTTGTCTTGAAGTCGAAAGGACTCTTGCTAACATAAGAGTCGAAAGGACTATTCCTAATATAAGTGTAATTAACACCAGAATAGTTTGAGAATTCCAAACTTTGCCTAGGTACATCGATATCTAATGCGTTTCTTAATATGTAACTGGGTTCTTGGAAATTTCCTTTCATGCTTTCTGAGCACAGATCATTCGTTATTTTGTAGAACTCCTTAGTGCCCTTTTACATGACTAGCAAAAGTTGATTTTTGGTCATAAATTCAGCTGTTTACACCCCTACTCCAAATCGTCAAGGTACGCCCCTGTGCAAACATATGGTTATATCAAAAACACACTTTGAAAGAAGGTAAAATATGAAATGAAAACCAACCAACCTTCCTGCCTCTCTGGCTGCTTAAGAAGTTTGAGACCCAATGTACGCGTGTGTGACACGTACCTAGGCAGAGTGAGAACCACTTCACGTTGAATGTTTAAATACACCCAGTTAACCCAAGAGAATAGTAAAGGCTGTGGATCAGATGCATTTTCAAAACCCTTGCGATACCAAACATGATGAATCAAGCCGCAAGAGACTATAAGCGAAGTAACAAATAACAACCCAAGCAGGGCCCGTGCTACAGGGGGGGGGGCGGGGTGGCCATTCCCCACTAATTTTTTGCGAAGAAAGTAGTTTTAGAGCTGCAGTAAAAGGGGTAAGAAGCCTTGGCCCCCTACTATTTCTGGCCTTGCCCCCATTCATGCACCCCAAATAAGAAATTATTGATTATTTTAAGCAGTTTGTAAGATTTGGATCACAAAAGAAAATAAGTTTTGAAATACGGAAGACGAAGTTAAAGAGAAAACAGCTAGTATTCTTAAAAGAATCTCAAAATGTGGATGAAATTATTGTTCTTTTTTAGCTTTGGAAGCCTTTATAAAACAGATATAGAAGCCGTTAAAGATGGAATCCAGGAGAAAATTTCTAAGGACCACGCTGTTTGAAACGTCAAAATCCATCCGTGTATATAATCTATACATACTATAAATCTTGCAACAAATGAAATTAAACCCCTTAAAGCTATCGTCATACATTGGGGATATTTAGACAACCAATTGTGTTCATGGATCGAACAAGACTTCTGTCGGAATTACGTTGCCAGTCAAAGTGGCTATGGTTCGTGCAGTTGCGAGCATCCTTGAGTTTTCGAGGTGATACTCAACTCCATTTATCAAAGGGTCTGGTCTCTAGGGCATTAAGGTCCTACCTGTGTGTAAATAAGAAGAACCAGGGCCGTCGCGAAACAAGCCTTTTGGGGGGGGGGGGTTGTGGACTACAAATTCACCTGATTAAAAACAATTACCTGAAATTCTTAAGATGCTGTCACAAACCTCTGCAATACATTTTGTCAATCTAACTGTGTGGCATATAATTCTCAACTTTTATTACAAAATGTTAATAACGGACTTTCCTAATAGTTTTGCCAAATCTGTATACCGGGACGGGCAAAGGATATAACTACCCTTCGGTTGCCGCCGAAGGAATAGAAACATTTCGAATTTTGGTGCTTCCAGTTCCCTGGAAAATTCACTCTTTCAAGTAAATTTTACTAAAGCAATCCCCCTAATCCTATAAAAAATTTTTTATTTTTGCAAACAAATTGAACATCAGATAAAAACAACTGGTACAATTTCGCCGTGGTCTTTAAAAGTTCCATGTTGTCAATTACTTCTAAAGCTAGGTAAAAAGCAGCACTGATTGCTGATTTAGCTCCCTCTTTCCAACTAAGCATGTCGTTTTAGGGGTAATGGACACAAGGCACAATTTTACCTAAAGAGAGCCTGGATTTTTAGATTTTGTGCCAACAAGAAATCTTCAAATCTTCAAATCATTAGTTTGTTTACTTTCATTCATATCAAGGAATATCAAATTTAGCCAAAGGAGCAACTACCTTTGCTTGATCCTTCATTGATTGTAAGACATGAAGGTCGCTGAAATACCTAAAGCATTTCTTCACTGCAGTGGCGGGGTGGCTATGTTTTCCCTGGGGTGGCCAAGTCGATTTTTGCGCCCTATCTATGATTATACCCAGAATACCAGCTTCAGAGTAAAATAACGTAGAGCAAATTTTTGCTTCGGGCTCCTTAGTTTCTAACCTTAGTCCATTACGCAAATGCTTATGGGCGATTTTATCAGCCTAGTGTCATCATAGTTATGATGTATGATGTGGCGGATTTAAGGTGGGGGGCAACTAGGGGCAGTTGCTCCTCCCTCAACGAGTTGAAGCAAGTCTGGCGCCCCTTTTTTTGGAAATTGTGTGCCCTTTTGAAGAGTGAGAATCAGATGAAAAAGGTTCTTGGACTGACAGGTTATTTTGCTTCAAATATTACCTCAAAGTTATTTTGTTTTTTCTGAAAAGGTATCTGAAATTGTTGTATACAGCGTACTCTCGTAACCAATTTTTGAAAACTTTTCAGCGCCCACACTACCAACTGCCCCTCCTTCAAATTTGCTCTGGATCCGCCCCTTTTATGATATACAAACATGGCTAAGTTTGTTATTCTTTAGTAATTATTAAATAGTATTTTTTTCAACAACTTGAAAGTTTCAAGCATTGAATCGCACCATTGAATCGGAGAGAGGCGGCGCCACGAAATTGAATCTGGGGAGGTCTAAGAATCAAGTTTAGTGACGAAGGAGTACCCACCATGGTTGGGTCCAACGCGAAAGAAAATTTTTGAAATAAAGCCTTCTAGAATGGCTAAAAATGCATCTTCCAGACCAAAATTTAACAAATTATTATACCGTTCAGAATAGACACTTCGACGATGCTCAGAAAAACATTTTTTTTAAAATTTGGGAGAGGAGGATTCATGCTTTGGGGAAAGAAAGAAAGGGTGACCTTTGGTTCAGAGTGCACATTGATATAAATAACAAGAAGCTGCTGTATTGATTGCCAGGGTGCATTCCATGCAATTAGGCCTGAAGATCTTCGGCATACACTCAGGTTTTTTTTGGCGTTCCGAGTGCAAACTTATAGAAAACATTTTTGGCATACGTAAATCTTCGTTAGCTGGCGTGCTAAACATGAAGCCATGTACATACATCGTTAACACGAAAACATCTGACACAAATGTTGATTGATTCATGGCAACGCAACGTGCTTCGATTGTAGAATCGCATGTTCTATTAGATTGATTTACCGTGTACGATCAGTTTTGATGTTCCTAGCCAAATTTTACAGGCAAACAATTTTAGCGCCCCCTTATCTCCATTTGCGCCCATATTCAGGGGACCATGGCCCCCTGGCCCCCCTGCCACCACGTCAATGTTCCATTGGGCGGATTTTTCCTGAAACTTCCTATCGAGATACTATTGGGGGACACCCCCACACCCCCGATCGTGACGCCACTGAGAATAACTGCTGGACAGTGCAAGTTCTTCAAACTTTCGAAATCCAACTTCCTTTGGTGATACTCTTATATGAGAGTTGTATGGTTATCGTGATTTGGATCAAGAATTCACTCCAGAAAATCTTTTACCAAATGAATTACATTGTGACATTCCTATAGCCCAAATTTGCGCGCCTCAGGGGTATCATTCAAAGATAGCGTTTTTCCATTATATATTAACTTCCTTGGAGTGCTGCTCCAATATTTGTGCGTGGTGCTCCTTAATCTTCCTTGCACTTCCTTGACAAAGTCCAATGCAATGTCATTTGCCACATCAATGACTGTAAGCTCACAAAGTCTCTTCAGTCTCTTTTTAACAGGCGCTGTGACGCTGATCTTGCTATTTTCTAAAGATGGGCGGACTGGCCGGTCGGGCTACCGGGCGATTGCCCGATGGGCCCTCCCAAAAATATTGCAATTTTTATTCATTTTACTATGAAATGGCAGCTTGTATCGTTTGGTAGGGGTCCTTTTCTCTTGCCTTTACACCTAGACTCTCTCGAAATAAGTGGATACAAAATAAATAAAAATATCACTCTAAGGTATCTAAGTACTGAAAAATTGTTTTCCAAAATTTTGGGCCCCATGCAAGAACGCAGTATTCTGGGCCCAGGGCTCACTGTCCCTAATGCAATAATACGATGCAAAAATGGAAGTTCCAGAATCGGAAAAAAATTTTTCTTCGGGCCCTCAGTTTCAATGTTTGCAAGGAAATAACAGATTTTTGACTCAATTTCTAGAAAGGTAGATTACTTTAATGCAAACCAGATAGATTTGAGAATATACATCACAACAGCGGTGGGTTCCTTGTTTGTGCTTCGATCAGACAAGAATCATGTCACGCTAGGAAAGCAGTGACAAAATTTTTGCTCCAGTACATGTCTGCCCTTGTAAACTGAACAAGAAAAGAAGACGAGATGCAATTGGAAGACTTGGATGCGTTACAAGCCCTATACTCGTTACAAGTTTGACATCGAAACAAAGAATGGAATGACTCACTATTTTTGAAGATTTCATACTGAGAAGATTTAGTAACTGTTTTCTACAGGGCTTTTCATTGTTGCATCTAGAAACTTGTTTGAAGATGTGTGTGTCGGAAATGTTGCACTTCTCGCTAAAAGTTGAGATTATGGTCTTTGTTTGTCGGTAGTTGTAAAAAAAATAATCATTAGGGACGTCACTTCATATAATTACTGGGAAAGTTTGAGAAGATTGGCTTTCCTCGAACAAAGAGAAAGCTAAAGCTGTAGCCTTTTCTACATGCTCATTCGAGAAGGAAATCGTTGCAGAGGATTTTTAAATCGTTGCTTTTTTTTGCTGTACTTCAAGCCTTTTTCGATTTCCTTCTAATTTTGCCCAGCTTTGTTTTGTTTCAGTCCAGTTTATCTTAGAATCGGCTGCTATGATTCTGATTCTCCACCTTCGCATCGCTTGCACCTTTTCCAACTCATTCCTCGTTGTTAAACGTTCTTCCCATTCTGACGCTTGAAAGTTTATCATAAAACCAACTCAAAATGTTTTCCTATTGTTATGTCAAAATCAAGCCACTTTGAACCATGGAAATTATTGTAAAAGGAAGCTAACAAGCATTGCCTAGGATCCTCCTTTGGTCAAACTTGATGTTGTAAATATTTTAGATGCATTTTCTGCCCATCTCTATAATGTCATATTTCCAAACTTTTTCTTGAATTCGGCCAACATTTCTAACCATGGTGGTGGCCTTTACTAAACCCTGGAGCAATCTAAACACTTTGCCCCCACCTACCACCTTCCAATGACGTTTCGCCAGCCCTCCCACAGAGAAAATCATGGGCCTATTGGAAAGTCTCAGTCATTCAAGTAAATCTTGATATACAATTTTCCAGTCAAAGCAAAATGCGAGTTTATATTTTTCCGATCACTGGTTGAGCATCCAGGTTAATTGATTGGTCGAGCAGCAGTCAATATGGAAACATCAATGGTTGGGGGTTTAGCCATCCACCAATCAAAAGTTTAGAGGTAGAAACACTACAGCGATGCCTAATGCAGCCAGATTTAACCCTAGATATTCATACACTATAGAGAAAATAAATTCTTCATCACAATCTGTCGTTAAATCTACTTTGCTACATTCTTTTCCCACTTAAAAGTCATTTAGCTAGAAAACGCCAATTTTTCCTAAATCTTGTCAACTATGGAATGCTCTGTTTTATTTAAAATTTCAGTAAGGATACAAGAGCTTTTGAAAACAGGTGTAGTGCTAGGGGGCTAGGGGGTACTTCATTGAGCCCCCGTTGCTCGTGCATTTCTACTTTTGCTATTGTTTTTGCCGCTAGAGCCTCCCTGGTTATTTTGATAGCACTACAAACACGCTTTTGGAGTTGGCTGGGAAGAACTTATGAGACTTGGAAAAAGAGATAATACGCTTTGTGCCAACTAGTCAATTACATTCTAAAAATGAATGCATATGTTATATAGATCATTTAGGCACCCCCCCCCCCTACGGTCAGGAAAATAATCCAATCGAATGGGGTCAAGAAAAGAAATGTAGTCTAGAAAAGTCTAGTGTAGTTACACAACATCTTGTGCATTCGACAAAATATCCAAGACGAGGCTGTTGTTGCTTTGGTTACCGATGAAGCCATTTGCAGATAACAACAATGAAGGCTGATCGTTACCACAAGGCGAAAACTGGACAACCGACACAGAAGCCAGTTTCAGCCACTTATGTTTTACAAGTTTTACAAAATTATGATTTCTCAATAAATTAATAGAACAAATTTAAAGGTATATGAGATAACGTGTAGACAGTTTGAATAATTACAAACACAATATGGAGCATTCATCTGCTCCGCCCAGCTCACGAGGATCATCAAGCTCAAGAAGCACCAGGACAGACAGTGGCAAAACAGGGGGCAGGAAAAGCACAAATACAGAGAGTGGCAAATCTGGGAGCAGGAAAACAACCGCCACAAAGACGATCCCGGTTGAATGTACCACAGAAACAGCGGTTGATCAATTCGAATTGGAAACACAAAGACAAGTAAAAAAGCGGGAACTGAAAACGAAACAGTATGATTATTATATAAAATCAGTCTATGGATCACCAGCTGAGAAAGAGGAAGTCAGGTAGGCTAGTCTATTGGATATGCTGTTTGGCATAAAATCAGTTAACATTATCCTGATAACTGCCGCTGCATAAAACGACTTTACGATGACGACGTGTTTTTCTTTGAAACCGCATAAGTTTGTTCAGTGAAAATGTAATCAATATTTTTGTTGGTTCCAATGTTGGTTGGTTTCTTCTTTTGATGCCACAAAAACAACTTTTAGAATATTCAACTTTTGACCGCATAACCTGAAGAGTTAGGTATCAATAACTAAGCCATAGTTCAAAGAGATAGGGTATCAATAACAAGTCTTATCATGACACAATGACCTGACGCTAATCTGTAATCCTGCTTTAGAGTATGAATATTTATGTGCTTCAACACAATATTATTAATTTATGAAAAGAATCCAGAGGAAAAGTCGATTAAAAACAGGCTGCTTCTGACTTTAATAGGCCTTAAAATCCAAGGTAAAACTCCAAAAATTAACCAAATAATACAACCTGAGAACAATAGCAATTGTCTAAATTTGAATTTGGTTGGTATGAAAAATTTATTGTATATCATACAAAACAATGGTCATTGGTAAAAATGAATTTAGTTCTTCCAATAACTCTCTGAAACTCTTCAAAAACCTATGAATGATCAGATACTTAAGCTAACAACCTCCAAGGGATGGCTCTAAAGTAGTGATGGTTGTGCCATTTAGTACATCACAATGTGAGACAGGTTGGATGCCCAGCAGACCAAGAGAATGAAAGTTATATCAAAATCTACATTAAACTTTTTATAAATCAAAACTTAGATACTTAATTTTTACAATAGATGGAAGGACACCTATATTTATTGAAAGAATTAGGCAAGCAAAAAATTCTTGATAGAAAAGAAAATTCACTCTGAATAAGTTTTTCAAATTAACTACTTTAGGAAAGAGCAAAGAGAAGGTCTTCTCACACAAATAAAAAATAAAGAAGAAAACCAGAAGACTGTTTTGAAGACAAAAGTTAAAGAGAGTGAAACAGCAGTGGCATATGACAAGCAATGCCTGGATTCAGACAAGCAAGATCAACAAAAGCGAAAACAATATCTAAAGCAGTTTCGGGATGGCAATAAGCAGGTAATACCAAGATCAGTTAGCATTGACTTATCCTGCATGAAGTTTTACAAAAAGTGGAAGTGAACACTACCCCATTGTGCTCATTTCTTATCATTGAAACATCACAATTGTTTCAAATAATTTTCTACCTGTTCCAGTCTTTAACTTTTGGCCCAACAGTTTCAACTTCCTGTACTTACATGTAATCATTCTTACACAAGCTGCCAAACAAGCACATATCCGCCGTGACACCACCATAAAGGGATTGCTATCTGATTTGATCTTTAAAATTTTGGAAAGACATCTCATTGGGAATAAAACACTTTTTGAGAGGACCAAAGTGAAACAAAATAATTCTAAAATTGAGAAAACAAGAAAATCAGTATCATTGTACAAACTTTGCCATTTCCCCTATTTGCAAAATCTTCATGTGGCTTATTATGTACATGTTTAATTATGTACAGCAGCTAATCATGTTCATCTCTAATAATGAACATTTGCTTATTATGTACAAGTACATTGAAAATTTTTAAGGTCTTGTCCTTTAGAAAACCAGAAAACACCCCTTTCAGAAAATACTTGGAAGAATTCATAAAAGAGTATGATTCATAGAAGAATTCAATTACGATAAAGACACAATACCAAGTTTGAGAATAAAGCTGATCATTAAACAACAAAAAACACCAAGGAACACAAATGGGTTCCCTGTCAAGAAGAACTGCTACCTTCTAAGGATCCTTTAGTGTAGACTTTCCAAAGTTGCATTAGAGTAAACCTATTATTGCAGAAGAGCCGAAGGCTATAGCCCCTGCTAGCCCAATGGTTGTGCAGTGCCTGCTTTGGAATCAACTAAATGCAAAGTATCCATTACTCATTTGAGCAATTGTACCCAATACATCTATGGTAATGAGTTGAGCAAATAGTTAAGGTAGATGGTTAAAAAATTTAAATAGATGAAAAGTTACCAAAAATCTAAAAATCAAATTAAAATAAAGATGTTAACCGTATGAAGGAAATCAAGAGACTGGTTTATCTTTATAAATTAAAATCTAGTAAATGAATTTCACAAACCTTTACTTCAGAATATATTTGCTCACATAAAATGCTAGTCTTAATTGCTACTCTTCATAATGTTTTATAGTTGATAGAGCAAAGAGCAGAAGAAAGAAGACGACAAAAGGAAGAAGAAAATAGGCAGGAGAGAGAACTCTTGAAACAAAATCCACTCAACTGGAGTAATACCCTAAGCTGAATATGATATCGTCACTCAAACAATAACTATTTGAAAACACAAGGTTTCTAGATGTGGAAATGTCAACATTATATGAGATAAGCATATAACATTGTGCTGTACAATTGAGATTTGCATATAGTAAGGTAAAATTCATTTTTTTGTACCAATAAGTGAGAAAAAATTATTTTTTTTACTAAAAATTACTGATATGGCTTTCCCTTCAAGGCATGCTGTTGAGATGTTTGGTCTTTCATAATTGTGTAGAAAAGCCATTTAAATTGCCAAGAATAAAATAAAAAAATGAAAGTCACATCACACTAATATACCAGAAACAATTATTATCATTTTATTTTATTTCCACAGTTTTGTACTATTTTGTTTTCATTTAAAACAGTTTAGGTGGAAGTGTCCAATAAGCGTTTTTATGTTATTCTTTTTGACAATGATTTCTGAAGAGCCCCCTTAACCAAGCACTAACTCAAAAGGACTTTTTACTCCATCCACTAGCAATTTGTAGTGTCTTTGTTTCTTAGCTACTTTTTGGTGGTTCTTAACTGAACAATAACCACAACATTTTGACCTTTTTTAGAAAACGATTGATTGATTCATTTTTCTGTTGTTTTCATGTCAACATCCTGTGGCTCTTCATGTTGATTCTCATTTGGTGCTTGATCTGAAAATAAACATGATGTTGAAAAACAATAAAAAAATCATGTACCAATTAAAGTAGCAGTTACAAGGCTTTTTTAAAAATGCAGATAGTAAAATTGCTAAAACATTCACACCATTTCGATTTAACAGGCAGCGTTTATTTAATTAAATTTCATCCTTTTTGATTAAATGATAAATAAAGGCATGATATGGGAGTGGTCACAAACGTTTGTTTGGAACAAATTTTTTCACGAAAATCTTAAATTTGATAAACTACAAAACAAATTTTTTGAAAAAATTATGTAGTATCATATTTATAAGACTTATCCTGTTCCTAGAAAAATAAAAAATCCATACATGCCTTATGATGTGAAAATAGAGAGGAAATATAGAGTCCTGTTGCCATGAGCTGGTGCACTATTAGCATATTCTGGTTATCTTGTTTGAACAAAAGTTTATAAAAAATCTACTTACTATTAAAAGACACCTTCATGTATCCTCTAAACGTTGTTTTAAATTATTCTTAAATTTACTCAATTTGCTTTCTGTACAATCAACATTAACATATAGAACATTGTGCAAAAGAAATGTAGGTTCGTCGCCATACTGGTGTATCCACCACAAACCCAAGTGCGTCAGCGCAGGGGCGGCGCCTGCCCCAAAATAGTGGGGTGGACAATGAAGGGGTGGAGCTGATAAAGGAGTCTGGGTGAGAAACTGGTGCAGCACTGTAAGAGAAATCATCCTCGTTATTGACAACCAAGTTAAACATATTTTTAAACCTTCAATAGAAGAGTTAAATTTCATAGGCAAAGATCTACACATATAAAAACTAATTTCAGAGTTGAATTTTTTAACTAGCACAATGGTTTTAAACTTATCAACAAGGCTTCTTTTGTCTATTTTATCTGCCATATCACGATCGATTCTAATTTGAACAAGGTTTTCCAACCTTTCGTCTGACATTGAGGCTAAAAGGTGATGCTGCTGTTATGGGGGGGCTGCAACTATACTATCAGTGGCGGCTCTTGCTAATGGGCATCTGGGGCAATGCCCCCTCAAAAAGATTCAAAGGAAATCTATGCTATTCATATTTAATTTTGAAGATAGTCTCACTGGGGTTAATTATATAAGTTTGTATCTCTTCTAAAAAAAGCTCCTTGCTATCCCGTCTCGTCCTTAGCCTCGCTTCTGGACCGCTAGTGTCTTGAGCGATGATGTCATTTTACGGGCATTTTTTGCCCCTAGCCGACATGCGCACAAGCTAATTTTCGACCTCGAGCATTGCGGAACGCGGCCTGTGATTGGCTTATTTGGAGGAATTCGGGGCAAGAAAAATTTTGCCCATAAAATGACATCATCGCTAAACACCAAACATCTATATATGCTTTTTCTTCTGCGCTCCTTTATAACAGGGTACTGAATGAGAAGGAATACAATGGGCAGCCCCCCCCCCCCGCCAATATGAATTTCGTTCCGACGGCACTGTTACAGCTTAAACAAGTTTGGGTACAAGTTCTAAAGTTAATTATTGCCAAAACATTTAACAAAGGAGAAAGGCAAATATCACACTCTAAGAACCAACTGTTTAGCATGATAAAGCTGTGTTTTATAGGTCATCTTCATTTTAGTTTCTCACTATTTACGAAAATGATGATCCAACACACTATACTATATGTCAGCTAAGATCTGAAAAGGACCGTAACTGACCATCAAAATGGAAAAGTTCCGATCCCAGAGAAGAAAACTCACATCCACTTATGTTTTAATCCAGTTTTGTAAAAATTAGAAAGTCTATCTTTAAAAAAAGCGGGGTGGACATGTCCACCCCAGTCCACCCCGTGGCGCCGCCCCTGCGTCAGCGCCGCTACAAAGACTATGGGTGTCAGAATTTGTTTATTTGTAACCATTTAAGTGACAGCATAGAACAGCTAACTATTTTGTAAAATGTTTACATATAATTCTATTCATCAAATACTGTACAAGGGAATCTTAAAAGTGGATACAAGCCATTGGGCTAGGGAGGGGGGCTGCAGACCCCCAACATTCGAAATCTTTTTTAAATCAACCTCAATCGGATAATAGTCTTCCCTAAGTCCAGCAAAACGTTTTCTAAACAATGGAACTTTTGTCGGACAGCCCCGTAGATTTGTTCTTCCCAATCGCTTATGCTCTCGCATGTGAAGACGTGTGTATTTTGGGAGGTGCACCACTATGGCAAGGTGTGGAAATTAAAAAGCGATCTGAAAAAAGTCCCAAGACTTGATATGTTCAACGCTTAAGGGAGATGCAGAAATATTGCAGTTATATTTATATCAAAAACAGAAGACAACAAATAAAACAATATTTTACCCTGCCTGGAAAATACAGTCTTAAAATGAATGGAACTCACTTTTCAAATTCTGCAACCAAACTTCAAAATACAGTTGAGAAATTATCACATGTAGATCAAACAACGCTTGGAAGTAAAAAATATTGAAACTGCGTCAGCAAATTGTTTTCACGCGTATTTTATGGCAAACCTCAACTTTTATCGCCTCTTCTTCAAACTTTAATACGAGAGGTTCAAAAATCAAGATTCGACTAGTGCACCAACCCATGGAGACAGGACTCTAGTAATCATTTGATTGTAGCCCAAGATATTCTTTGTTGTTCCTTCTCTCTAGACTCTAAGATCCTGTTATCTATAAAATCATAAATAGATGAAAGTACAAACCCTCTTTTGGCTGCAAACACGACCTTATTGCCTCTAGCTTTCTTGTTGTGTGACACTTGTATTTTAGCTTCATTTTCCCATCAATTTCTGCAAATTATGATTGATAAAGGTTTATATGAACAGTCATACACAGAAAGCTTTGAAACCCAAAAATAATCTAAATAGAAGGCTTTTTTAGAATAGTAGTCTCTTTGCAATCTTTTTGCATTACTCAGTTTTGAAGAAATTGTTTAGACAGCAAATGGTTTTTTCTTGACTTGGGCCTATCACAAAATGTTATGTAAAAATTTTGACAAATAGGGTTTTAAAATTGAATATAATGCACTGTGACTGTGACACGATAAATAACATTTTGAAAAGAGCTTTTAAAGGCCTGTTATAGTTCACAAAATAAGAACAAAACACCTAAAGACATAGAACTCAGCTGACGAAGAGTCTCAAAGAGTCTTTTCATAAGGTATGTTCGGAAGATTTCAATTGTCTACTTCATTTAATCCCTGCATCAAATTAGACCCCATCTGTTTAAATGAATTAACCTCCAAAAAGCTAAGTTGATTGTTAAACAGGGCCATTAGAATGGAATTTATATTGGGGGGGGGGGGCTGCCCATTGTTTTCCTTCCCATTCAGTACACTGGTATAAAGGAAACATACCACAATTTGACAATTACTGGGGGGCTACAGCCCCGGTTCCGAAAGCCCTGTTAACATACCAAACCAAAACATCTTTTCTTACAAAGAAACTCTGCTTGCCGAGTACTAAACTAGGCACCTTTTTTAACTTGGCAAGCTCAACTTTTTTTCAAAGAATGGAATTTCACCTCAATTCATCAACAGATTAGCATGCATAGAAAAATACCTTTTTCTTCAAAGAAAACAGCAGTTCCCACAGTATCTGGAAAAAAATTATCTTTGTGAGCAAAACAAAGAAAGTGGATTAAGCATGGGTCTAGCCATGTTGAAGCAAGATAGAGTAATGCAAAAGAAACTGAGAGCAACAAACATGATACAAAGCATTCATTTTCAAAACCTTTAATTCTATACACCAATTTAATTTAAAGCCATGTTGAAGCAAGAAAAAGTAAAATGCGAGACAAACTGAGAGCAGCAGACTTTGAATTGGTAATTTTTTGAAATGCTAAAATAGTTGATACTAAGCATTCATTTTCAAAACCTTCAATTGCTATCATCTGAGCAGCTGAAAAGTTCAAAAACTCACAAGAGAAAGAATTTTGACTGACAAAAATCATGACATTCACAAGAGAAAGAATGTTAATTTTAAACCACAATTTAAACCTTTCAAACTGAAATATTCGTCTGCAGAAATTTCCTGTAAACAATACTAAGTAATAGAAAGCAAGTTTTAGCATTAAAAAATCACTGGCATCTAGGTCAAGGTCAAATTTTCATATGTATTTTACAGAGCTAGAAATTCAATAAATATGCCAAGATATACAGTAATGGAAAATCACTCGATCGAGGAAATATCATGAAATGAAATACTTTAAAATTTCAGAAAGGTCTAGCAAAGGAATTGGAGAAAAAAGAGATTAGAATCAAAACTTCTGAGCTTTGAAAATGTGTAAGTCTTTAAAGTGTAAGTCTAAAGTATAAGTCTAAAGTTAGGTTTGCTAAGTATCAAACATTTAATTGTTAAGCATAATATAGAACCAAATAATCATTTCTATCTTATAATCAATCAATTGGGTGTACTAAATTATAGCTTACCATTATACTCTCCTGAAAAGACATAATGATTCAATTTTAGGACTGGACTTTCTGTGTCTGCACCCTACACATAAATGAAAAGATACACAAATGAGAAGAGAGTTTACATAAACAATACATTGTACAAGTTTGCAATAGTACAAATTGATACCATTAGAAGGGTCTTAAAACAGAGATAAATAAATATGTAGATAAACAGGCCACCTAAAAACAGTTTTGATAAGAGCCTCATAATTTTCAACTCTATCCGCTCAGTCTTCAAATAACCTGGCAAAGTTTCACAGTACAAATCAGTCAATGTTTTTAAGTGATAAAATGTGAGAGCTAAACAAATTTAAATTCCTTGTAACATATAAATATGCTATGACAATGATCATAATCACAATTTTCAAGTATCAAAAATTATAACTTTAACATCCTTACAATTGTATCAAGTATCAAAAGTTTCTAAGATTAATTGTTTTGCTCTATGGTTTCTAATGTTCCTAGTTACTATTTTTTCAACTCAAATGCTGCAGAGACCCCAGTTGAATGAGAAATATAAATTCATGGCATTAAATTTGTCCACCCCAAACCTCAATTTTCGTATTTATATGGACTGGTTTTAAAACTGACTTTGAACAAATTAAACTTGTTAAAGTAACAATAACTTACCCAGACAAATGAATTTTCTTTGGTGCAATTTTTCAGATGATCTGTCTCTATTAGACCTTGCAGTTCAACTAATACATATTGCTCCTAAAACGTATTTCAAAGAAATTATTTCACATTGACCTTAATCATACCTGAAAAAATAGCTCAAGCATGACATGCAGCTTTTACTTATCTAGGAGAGTTATTTAAGTTTTTAGAAACTAATGTCAAACCAGGGCCTAATCCAGGTAACTTATGCTAGAGATATCTGACACAAACTTTGTAATTTTATTGGCATATTGGCGTAAAGCCACAGAATAGTGATTGCAGAAAGAGCCACTTGGAAGTACATGAGCTAGATTTATTGAAGCCTGGATTTTTTATGCATGCTAGTTTACTTAAACTCTCTATTCCATGGTAAAACAAAGAAAACTTAATAGGTTGGCACTAAGGTGAATTACTTTGCTGCTTGTGTTTAGGCTAATGAACCCCAGTATGGATTTCATGGCAGCTGAACACCCGAGTGATGAACATGGCTTGGGTGTGGCTTTGGGTATGGATTAGATTTATAGGGTTTTTTAAAAATCGCAAAATGACTTTCTAAATTTGTTTACAAAAGAGCTTGAAAAAGTGAGTGATCCTCTTGAGATCAGGGCTGCCAGAAGCATCTGTGCCCTTGGGCAAAACTGAAAGATGTGGCCCTGCAAGCAAAAGGAAGCAGAAAATTCTTGCAACCACAGTCTTACATTTACCTTGTACTTTTCAAAATAATTCTTACAGTCATTGTCTAGCAATCCTTTAGAACGATTTACAACTTTAGGCCCTTTTTGATGCCGCCTTTCCCTTGCCTTAGCTTGAGATCATAAATCAGAATTATTTCATTTTTGGCCTTTTTTGAAAATTCTTGATAAAATTATTCCTTTTATTGCTAAAACTATAGGAATTTGAATAACAGTCACTGTTGGTAGTTTATTTTCAACTTTCAATCAATGAATTTCCCTGTAAGATAAAATTAATCTAAACTGTATAAAATGGAAAAATTCAATAATCACTGGGAAGTTAGATGCACACTCAAATCATCACACTTATCACAAGTGCACTCTTGCACTCCTGGGTGATAGCTTGTACATTCCCGAGATCTCGTCAAAAACTGCCATGAAATCTAGACTTGAGTGTATGAACTATAGTATAAACAGCTGTTGTTGGCTAAAAGATTCTATTATGTCACATCAAACATCCTTTAGGTTTTAGCATTTAGCTGTAAAACCTTTGAAAAAGCTTCATAATTTACTGGCCAACATTCTGATCAGGTTTGTATGGAATCCACTCTCTGTTTCAAAAGAAACAAATAATTATGGGTTTGCCTTTCAAATATTGGTATGCATAGAGTATGACAAGTTGGGCAGGCTTGAAAGTTCAGGGATTGAACTTTGAAAGGAAAGAATAAATTTGTTTGAAATAGCACATTATTATTTATCAGCACAATTTAATTTCTTGTATTTTCATTGTAGTAATTGCCGGGTCAAATTTCTGGTTTCAAACTAAGTTACACTGCCTTTGACTCATGTCAAATAAAACCAGCCTATTCTCAGTCGAAGTTCATTCCTGCTTTCTGCAGTATGTAGCTTCTTGACAATATAATCAAAAGAAATAGATGAAGCTTGGGCCTAAATGCATAATTCCTTGCCTGGTTTGGTACCCATATCTATTATTTGGTTTAATCTAACTTGGTCTTTAGCAGCTATAAATTAAAACCTTCCTTTGAGAAATAATGTTTTATCAAATACCTCTTCTTCCCATTCGTCAGATGAGCTGGCCATCTTATCGCTTTATCTCAAACATTCCCTACACTGTTAAAATTGAACGTCAACCACAACATCGGCCATCAGGATGTAAAATTTGCTGCCATCTTATGTAGGCCTCCATTTCAAAATTTGATGTACACATAGCAAGTTATGACACAGAAAAGTGGTAATTGTAAGTTGTATTTTAGCCTAAAATGCATAATCTTTACTTTAGAAAACATCGTGCTTCACTTATCATTATCAAAAATCCTTTTTACATGTTGATGACCCTTTTAAATAGCAGATACTTACTAAAATAAATTGCCTTCAAATAAAAAATTAACAACATTGATATTCTTCATGTAAAACGTACGGAAATTTTCTTGTTGTCGCAAACGAGACTAAATTTGAACAGGACTATTTTGCCACGTTCGCAGCTCCAAGATGGCCGTAAGTAGACTTCCTTCATTAATTATGCATGCTTCTATTGTTTTATACAAAAGATGATTCCTTGCGTTAACAAAATATTGAATTGTTTTGCTGGATATTGGTTGTAAGCAAAGAGCCTCATACAGGACCTTGGGCAAAGTGTTCAAGTGAACTTGGTTTTGGTGAATTGAATTTTTGAGACTGCCTTTTTGTAGACTTTAAATAAAAATATAAAATCCAATTCGTTATCTTCTATAATCCTTTTTTAAAATGAAGGTCTCTGTGATATCGACCGTGAACACGGACCACGAAGATATGATTGTGAGTACTTTTATTTCATTTTGATAGGCCTTCTTTTATATAACCCCTTCAACTTCCACACAAAGCACAAACTGGTTCAAAGTTACTTTTTAGACCAGGCTTGAAAATAACTTTATTGGTTATACATATATTAGATTATATATTCAGAATATTTCATCATTGTACCTCTTCTCCAGTTTAATTCTATGTGCCCAAGAGCTTGTTTTTAAAATGCATGTTCTTTGAAATACTCTAAACTCAACTATATTACTATATTTGGCCATTTGTAGTAAATTTATTTGTCTAAAATATATACTTGTGTTTTATTTTTATATACATGTTTACATATTTTTATTAAATATGTACATATACATATGTAATTAACCCTTATAATGAAAAAGTTGAGTTTGAGATTGATTAGATAGACTTGTGTACTAGGAAATGTTTGTGAATGCTAAAACTCAATTGAACTCAGTGCCAGATTGGAAAGTTTGCAAAGATAATTTTGATCCTTTGTTTATCTGGTCATGGTCCTTGTGAAAATTCCACTGTTTGAACTTCTGACTTCCAATTTTAAGAGAAGTCTTTGAAGCCTTTGCTACAAATTCTTTGCATGATTTTCCATGACACATTTGTTATCCGCCAATTTGAATATTATTATTCAGGCATTTCCCACACGGAGAAATTGCTTTATAGTCTGGACTTTGTATTCTGAAAGTATGCTTTATATTGTACTTTTCAGCCAGACTTTCTGGACCACCATACAACTTTACTGCTGGTACATAGCATTTAAATAAGATTTTGATATTATTCATTTTATCTTCACCTTAAATGCCATTTTTTTCAATGCCATTTTCAGTAAGTTTTATAAATATTGATGTCTTTTATGACAGCATGATGCCCAGATGGATTATTATGGGAAAAAGCTAGCAACATGTTCTTCAGACAGAAGCGTCAAAGTATATGAAGTCATAGGGAGCAATCAGAGACTAATGGCAAATCTGAAAGGGTATGATTTATCTGTTTAGTACCAGCTATACCATAAGTCAGATTCACAGTTTGCTGAGGAATGTAAAACAAGTCTTTTAACCCAACTATTTTATACTTTTTACTTTTTTGATTTTACCATTTAGGCTTGTTTCCTTTGGCCAATGTAAGGTTTACTCTTTGTCAGTCTCATGTGTGCCACCCTATGCTTTTTTGTATATGGATAATTGTGTATTTTAGCAAACTTACTCATCATCTTATCAAAGGTAAACTTAATTTAGATTTAATAGTATTAGAAATAGCAAATAATTTGATAATCCACAATTTTATGTTCTTATTTTTTAGCAAGTTATTTTGAAGTTCTCAAATAACTTTTTCATATTTTAGTCATGAAGGTCCAGTCTGGCAAGTTGCTTGGGCACATCCGATGTTTGGAAATTTATTAGCTTCGTGCTCATACGATAGAAAGGTGAAATGTTTGTACTCTCAAATTTGTGGATGCTAACAGAAAGTTCAAAATTGTCATTAGTGCATGTGGATGAGCTTCAAATGAATCTCAAGAGCAATAAAAAAGGAATAAGAACATTTAAACCTTGGTTTGTAACTTGGTGGTGCTGCTCAAATCCAATCTTGTTTTATAATCAAAGATACATTTTGTATCAACACAGATTCAGAATACTATGGAGTGCATTCTCAGACACAATTGTTATTATGATACTATGAAACCTTGCGTTTTCTTGTTTCTTGATCATTTAGAAATAAAATACTTTTCTAATATAGGTTATTATATGGAAGGAGCAAGGAAATGATTGGGTAAAACTATATGAATCAGTACACCATGACTCGTCAGGTAAATTTTCATATGCTGTGCTAAATGTTCTTTTGTATATATCTTAAAAATTCTGTTTTCCTGAATCTACCAAGCATGTAAGTTGCACTCTCTTGTTTTATCATTGATATTTGCTGATAACAGGGCTGTCCTTTCGGTTTCTGAAATATTAACTATCCGTTACATTTGTAATGCAACCTCTTTTTGCTTGTAGTAAATTCGATTAGCTGGGCTCCACATGAGTTTGGACTTATGCTTGCTTGTGGTGCTTCTGATGGTGCTGTATCTGTTCTTTCAACCACAGGTATGATCTTTACAGCACTTTATCAGTTGGTTATTCTTTAAACCAATCAACCTGTAGAGCTTTTAGTCTGGAAAATATGTGAAAGAATTCTCGTTATTAAAGCAAGGTTTCAAAATATATTTTATGATTTTTTTTAAAAGGTTTGGAATTAGTATGTTGCAGATAATGTTAGGAAACAATGCAGTTATACAGTCATGTTCCTAGTTGCTTGGCCTGATGTTGATAACACAACTAAAAGAAAAATTATAAACTGGTTTTAAACAGAATAAATTGCAAAGAAAGACTGCTAACATAAAAAAACAGCAGAAAGATGGGATTTGTTGGGTACATTTTAAGGAAATAGGATCTTGAAAAATAGTTACTGAGCTGACTGGAAATGTTTATAGTAAATGAGGCCAGGAAAGGCAAAAAACACATTTTGTCAACAACACCAGAAAAATATCTTGGTGGAAAATTTTTTCTTGAAATTTGTCAGATGGGGCAGGATCATGACATACAGTCCACAGAGGTTCACAGTGAACCTTTGTGGTCCATATTTCATGATGATGTCACTGCGAGCTACAAAGTTTCACAGTGAACCTTTTGTTTCTTGGTGGTGGTGATTCTAATGATGTGGAAAGCAAATTTTGATTAGTACTTTATTTTTGTGTGTAAATATGCCAGAACCTAATTGTTTTTCACTTTAGTTTGTCATTTTAATTTTCATTGGGAACTTTAATGTCTTAGAGGCTCATAAAAAGGTAATGTTGTGGAATGTGCTGTTGCGGGCGCATCACCCTGGGCCACAGCTTTGTGTGGAAGGGTGGCCAGTTCCTTTCCATACCCCTTTTTACCTCCCTAATATGTTTCAACTAGGTACTCATTTTCAGCTGAATGAGCCCCAAGCTATGGCACAGCAGTCTAGCGCTTTAACCACTCAGCTACTATGGCACCTAGAAATTCATAAAAATTCATAAAAGGATTTCTTTTTTTTTGGTTTTTTTTCAAGTCACACCTTTTTGTTTTAGGTGATGGAAACTGGTCAACTCAGAAAATTCCAAATGCTCATTCAGTAAGTACCCAGCCTGTTACCTTATATCATTAGATACCAAAACCTTATTTATGATAGTTCTTTATTTATATATACTCAAATGGTGTACTTTGCTAATTAACAATTAATTGATAACAAGACAACAAATTGCTGTAAGCAAATCTCTGATGTTAGGTGATTAGCTTGTTTTGGATTGTTTGCATTGATGTCAACAAGTGACATGTTTAAGCTAAACTCATTATAAGCTACCAAATGATATGGTTTAGCTTAGTCAGACCATCAGTTAGGCTGCTTAGTGGAAATGCTAATTAATATTTAAGTTGTATTAGCTTTAACCAGCTATTATCTTCTGAAAAGGAGCTTAAAACTAAATTTTGAAAATTAATAAAAATTTTAAAAGCTTGATCTTTTCAGTAGTACTTCAAGTAGTTTTCTTATTTGATATAAACTATTAGTAATTGCTTTTTATTTATATATTAGCAAATGATTATTTCCATTTTAATGTTTGCCATCTTTATCTGCATGCCTTAGATGCTATTTTCTGGTACTAAAGAAAGAGTTTTTATCTTTTCATAGATTGGCTGTAATGCAGTAAGCTGGGCACCAGGAATTTCACCAGTAAATGCATATGTGGTGAGTTTTTTATAGTGAGGGGAAGCAATACAGTATGTAAATTTTCATTTTCATCAAATTGTTACAGGCAGTTTTTCTCTTTGCTTATAAGAGTTAACTTCACAAGTTTCAAACACAAATTTGTTCTTTTGTGTTTCAAAGAATGCAATGTTTAATAAACAGAATTTTAAAGAAAAGGACTTATGTTTTATATATTGTTCTCATGTTTTGTTGGTTTCTTGCAATTATGTGCTATTTTGTTTTTGAGTAAGGTTATTTTTTCCAAGGGCTCAACATCTTCACGAGATTCTTCAGTAGTTAAAAGATTTGTATCTGGGGGCTGCGACAATCTGGTTAAAATATGGGCATACAAGTAAGTTGCTTTATGTTTGTTTGGTGATGTATTTTGTTTTTAAAAGTGTTTCATTTGGGATGATCTAAATACAATATTCTGCCTTTAGCCAGTATCTTTGAATTCCTTTGCTATTTGCTCTTGAAGAAAAGTTAACAATCAATTTATAATGTAAACTGCCAGCCAAGTTATATTTTTATTAAAACTTAGCTGTCTGTTTACATTAACCACCTCGAAAGAATTTTTGATAAACATACTTTTCATAAATTTCCAACAAAGAGATGTTGATTCAGACATTGAAAAGTGCTTGAAGCCTCGAAGCATCAAAGCAGCTCTACAGGAGCTTGCTTGTCCAGGAGAGGGGAGAAAGAGATAAAAGTGGAAAAGAGAGAGAGAGAGAGCGAGAGAGAGAGAGAGAGAGAGAGAGAGAGAGAGAGAGAGAGAGAGAGAGAGAGAGAGAGAGAGAGAGAAGAGAGAGAGAGAGAGAGAGAGAGAGAGAGAGAGAGAGAGAGAGAGAGAGAGAGAGAGAAAGAGAGAGAGAGAGAGAGAGAGAGAGAGAGGAAAAGAATAAAGATAAATGGAGGAAAGAAAGAAAAAGAAGAGTAATTTGAAGGACTAGAAGGGGAGGAAATGGAATGAAATGAGTAAGAAAGAGACAAAACTTTTGAAAATTAATCTTCATTGCAATGACAATTCTTCAAAAGCTAGGGAAATAATTTCATCCACAAAAATTAATTCTGCAAAATTTGGGAAATGGTTTTCCTTCGCAGCAATCTCGTCCTCAAAGCATAACATTTTTGAGGCATTGAATGACAAAACTTTTCCACAAAAAGGTTTCCCGCAGATAATTTCTTTCTTTAAGGAAAGTAGGAAGAATTTTTGGAAAGTGAAGAAGCCTATATGAAATAAGAATTCAAGAAAGGAGTGGCTAAAGGAGGTGGGAAACGGGTGTGAAAAGGAAGAAAAAGCAATATTTAAGATCAGTCTCCTTATATTGTTTATCACTCAAGATGCAAATATGCTGTATGCATCGTAAAGTTCTAAAACCATTTCGACTTCTATTCGTGGACCAGCTTGGTTACGTAAATTTTTGATTAGAAACAAATTTTTGCAGGAGCAAATGAAAATTGAAATGTAGGAGAAAATTCTGATATAACCTGTAGATTAACTCGGGAACAGAGAAGCGCTTTGGTCAGAAACTAATGCTCAAAGAACCCTGCAAACGTTTTGGCTTTCTGAAAGTCTTCTGAACAGCCGAATAGTAAAGCCTCGAAAAGCTGTAAAAATCTTTAATAAACTGGCAATAGTAGGTTGAAGTGGCTTACCAGCTCGTTGGAAACAACTTGCTATAAAAACTGCCAAATCAATAAAAGGAAGAGTTTGTTTTTCAAAGAAAGATATACAGGAACAAAGCAATACGACGACGAGAATCCAATGTCACGAGATACAATATGCAAAATAAATTAAATTTAAGGAATATATTAATATTTCGTCCGCTTTGTTCCTGTAGTTCTTTCGTAACAACACTCATTGCAAGATTCACAGAATCCGGCGGACAGCCTATCCTGCGGTTCTTCCTTCTTACACTTTGTATTTTAAGTCGCTTCGCAGAAAGTTTCAACTTTTGTCCACCAGTGTGTTGATTTCAAGTAGTGTAATTAGTCATTCTTCATTTCCAAAGTGAACAAGATGCAAGATGGGTAGAGGAAGAGACCCTTGATGCACATAGCGACTGGGTACGCGATGTGGCCTGGGCACCAAACATTGGTATACCTGTTAGCACAATAGCGAGCTGTTCACTGGTGAGTGTTTCCCATGTGGCCGACTTGATCTTCTTGTACAGGGGCAACTATTCTTGGCCTAAGATTTTTACCTTGATGTTACTTTTTAATGTAACTGTCTTTCCAGTCTGTTTCAACCTTTTGGTTAAACAATTCCTTGATGAATTTGGTGTAAGTTTTTTCTCGATTTTGGCATCGATACAGTATACTTAGATTAAGGGAGAAAGCATAAAAAAGCCAAGTCTATTTCAAAACGCTATTTTTGTCCTTCTCATAATAATAACTTCAGCATCATGCTACTAAACAATATTTGACAAAAACTTCTACTTTCAAATAACTCTACACTATCAACATGATATAATAGCTCGAAAACCATAAACAAGATATATATTTATATCCATCCACAATATATGCAAAAAGCAGGTTCATCAATACTATTCACAATCTAATGAACACGAACAACATAAATCTAACAAAATCTAACTATACAAAATATGGTGAGTATTAATGTATTTTTATGTCAACTTTCTAGGACTGCAAAGTAATTATATGGCGAAAAAATGAAGAGGAGGGTGGAAAATGGATACCACATATTTTACAAAAGTTTAATGATGTAATATGGCATGTCAGTTGGTCAATAACGGGTAACATTTTGGCAGTATCTGGAGCAGACAATAAAGTAAGTGCAGTTACGGGATGCTATTAAGGGACGTGTTCAGATAGCTACTACTTACAAGTATCAAGGGGGGGGGGGAGTGGCGCCAAATAAAGTGGCACAAGTCATTTAAGGGATACTATATAACATTAAGTAGACTCTCCCAGAGTCAATTTTTGTTAAATCCGTAAGGCATTTGTACTACTGCGAGGGCATATCTAAACTTCTAAGGAGACGTCTAAGGCGCTGTACATATATATTTTTGCATGTTCTTATCAATCAAAATCAATATATTATAATATATGTTATTAACACTTTCATATAGATTTCACTTTCACGCTCGTAAATAGGTAATCATCTTCAACGATTTCATTATTCATATAAAATGTATAATTCAAGGTTCTTTCACAATAGTTTTTAATGTCATTTTGAATTTTTTTAAAGGCTGTTGCGCACCCGGCATGAATTGCGGTAGCTGTTCACTTACGCGAGGAGAAATTGACTGCATTTAGTATTTTCATGCAGTACAATATTAGGCCGTCTTTGAAAATATATATTCCCCAATCATGCCGGTTGCACAAAGGCTTTTAATGAGGGCTAACCTATTATCATTTTTCAAAGGACTGTATCAATCAGATTTGATTTCGTCGAATTTCTTTTCATCAATTTTTTCCTATCACACATACAAAGAAATATGTATATAACTCTGTTTTTCTGTTTCAGGTTAGTTTATGGAAGGAGGTTGATGTTGACAAGTGGGTGATGGTCAGCGAGGTTGATCGAGGCCACGGGAAGGAGATCCAGCAATAATGCAACTATTCGACCTAGCGAACATGAACTAAATTGTCTTAGGCCATCTTAATCCCTGCTCGAGAACTCTATAATTTTAGCTGAGATTAAAGCACCTCCAGCCTACCTTTTAAACCATGTTATTGAAATTATTTTGGTTATGTTATGTACAGAAACTAAAGTTGCATGAATAAGTACTAAATTCGTAATTGAACTTTCGTTGGGCTACACCCTTGCCTGAGTACTTTTAAAATCAAATGAAAAATGCTTTCCTAATTAAAAAGAAGAAATCTGTATTTGTTCTTAATTACGAGCTCAAGAAGGACAGCATCATTTAATTTTACAGTTATAATTCATGTATTCGTCTGTTTAGTATTGCGAGCCATGGTTCCGATTGGTGTCGATGTATTCCAAAGCTTCTTTAATAAAGCAGTCTTGGATAAAAACGATTAGTATAACATCGAGTCTCGTATAAGTAGAGATATTGGCTTAGCTTAGCATGATTCCTCGCCATCAATGCAATAAAATTTTCAGCAGGCTCGTTTGAAGTAATGAACATCTTTCACAACTACACGATGTTTCTATGTTAGCCCTCTATCCAAACAGAACAAATGATCAGAGTCATGCATGGTATCTTTATATTCAAAGTAAACTTAGGGAGAAAAAGGGGAGAAGGAGGGGGAGAGGGAGGGGGAGAGGGAGGGGGAGGGAGAAGGAGGGAAAAGGAGGGAGAGGGAATGGTGCTCGGGAAACAGAGTTCTCCACACTGTTTTTGAAATAGTTACTTTATTTGGACTTAATTCTGCTCGATTTCGGGCATTAAATGATTTGGCTGGAAATTGGAACAGAATTTTCCCTACTTCGTACACCTCGTTACTATTCATTAATCTCTTGTTCCTTCTCCTACATTGCAACGGACGTGTTATACACCTATAATTTACGCAATCCAACAATTTCTACCAATCAGAATTCAGTATAATAGAATACAATTTTTACGTCAGCATATTATGTGAGCTACATTAAAATGCATACCTGAATTAGCAAACATGCTTTAAAAGCGATAAATTGCTTAGAAGTCTGCTTATAACTATTAAGAATATCATAAACAACTTTAAAGTAAGAAGCTCTATATGAATTAGCAAGAAGAAAAATCGTTTATCGTAAAAACAGTCGTCGTGAAAATGCATTGTAGCCGCGTTTCGTATGAATGGAACGCCCATGGTTTATATTGGAGAACACAATAGGAACATGCATTTACACTTTAGGAAAATACAAACAAATTTAATCAATTTGACGAACAGTGTTTCTATACTGCAAAACTTTATCAAAAGGCATGAAAAAAACATAAAAAATCTCCTTTACGTATCAGAATACTAACTTAGTCCATACAAAACATCTGAAATCTCTATTAGAAAACATTCTATTTTCTCAAGTTTGAGACTGATTTGACGCATTTGCTAGAAAAAATGTTGCTAGAAAAAATCTTATGGTAAATATGCTACCAATTGGCATTTGTTTCTATATACAATCTTGGACCAGGCACCGCGGATCGTTGAGAAAAGTTAGAGGTCTAAAAAAAGGGGGGGGGGCTAAAACCGTATAAAAAGAGGCTTTTCTGGTAGTTTGATACTTAATATTTGGCATTTTCTGCAATTTTGGGCCAAAGCCCCCCCCAGCCCCCCTGCTCCGCGGTGCCAGTGGACACCTGGTAACTCGTGTGCCTCAACAGTCTCGAGTGAAAGTTTGGAAGGGGGTGGCTCAACCTTAACTTAGGGGGCTCAGCCTTAACAAGTGGGTCCATACTTGGTTGGACAAATTATGTGTTGGCAACACTTTATATATCATCAACTCCTTAAAATGGGCAATTTCTTATCAGTCTTTTTGTGTCATCGAAAAGTTTGAACGATTTCTACACACAAAGGCCTCTTGAATTTGCCTTTAAGCATAACCCCTTTCCTGACTTTTAGGACAGCACCCTTGCTATTTGCGAAACAAAAAGAAAATTATATTTTTCTGGACGCTCAGAAGGTGGAATCGAACCACTCCGACGCTAATCGGCCACAGGTTTGAAGCCTGTACCCCGTACCAACGAGGATCATCCGAGCATATAACAATACTTCACCCTGACAATAAATAATGGGAAAAAATTCACCTGACAGCCAATATGGGATACAAAAGTGACGCATGCGCAATAATATACAGTACAGCACAGGAAACTTTTTAAAAACGATTCCAAAAGATAGGATTTTACCTTTTTATGGATATCTTATGACTTTGGAGTCCATTCGATGCCCCCAGGGTCGAGGATATCTAGGTTAGGCCCTTATAGAGTACCAACATGTGACGTCATCAAAAATCTATTTTTAGAATTTCTTAATTTTGACCATATGAGATAATTTGAAATAACAACTAAAATACCTCCATACTTGCAAAATCAGCTAAATGTGCTTCAAAATGGGCGAGATTAGGCCAATAAAAGATTTCAAATTTGCTAACAGAATAATGTTATTCTGGCCTGGTGTGTAAAGTTATGAACCAAGACCAAATTATAGTGGTTTTGCAAGGCAGCTAAATTAGTGCCAACCTAAGCACTGGTGTATTTAATAAATACGCCTCACTTTATTCGGCATACAAAGCTATTTCTTCTATGCAACGAATCTTAAGAAATCCCCTTTGCTTCGAATGCTCGGTGTTCATGACACAGCACCTCGCAGCCATCCGCTTTTTTGTTGTAGGATAACCCCTCGTTAGGATTGCATCATGCTGTGTAATTTTTAGTTTATTTTAGGTGATGTTTTATGTTAAATAATGTTTTTCAGTAATTTTTGTTGCCCTTGTACATATAAAGATACGTAGTTAGATTTATGGCACATTTAGGCCCAGGCAGTACTTGAGAAAGACTTGCACCTCGTAATATATATTTCCATAGGAATGTATTTGGTAAGAGAGTTGCCAAGAACCATCAATGTATACGTTAGCTACTTATATGAAGGTAGAAATTGAAAGATAAGCCCAGCCGCTCGCAGAAATCGCTATTCTCTAAAATTTTAACTCTTTGAGGCCGCTTTCAGACTGGTCTCCTCCATTTCACGGTTTGACGGGGAAAAAGCTTGTTGGCATATTTCATTCAATTTGAAACACAGTCAACTGATTTTGCATATTTAGAGGTTTTTAATCATGCTTTATCTAGGTCAAAAATGAAAAATTCTAAAACTAGATTTTTGTGACGTAAGTTTAGGCCTCAGATTTTAACCAGTTCCAAACGTGATCAAAACTGCTGTCAAATTGGTCTCCCTTCCCTCCGGCAACCAGCCAATAACGAAATTCAGAATACCATAATTTGAGGAAGGACAACGTTGTCAAATTGTTGAAACTGTGTGTTTGTGTTCCAGTACATTATCAAGGATTGAGGTTTTAAAACGTGTCTTTCTATCTTGATGGTGACATCAAGATATTCTTATTGATGGTAACTGCGAATTCGAAGTGTGCCAATCACAAGCCATCGCTGCTCGTATCGTCAAACAACAATGCACTAGAATTGTAGCTACCGTCAGGCGTTTGCTGTTCTTCTTTATTCTTTAAATCAAAACCTGATGCATTATTGGTGCTGTCATCAACTTGTCTTTTCACGAAAAACGATTGAATATTACGACATTTGATCCTCGGCATATCTTTGCTCTTTCCTTTTTTCGATGAGGTCAATTTTCTTTGGCTTGATTTTAAACTTGAACCAGCTGTGGGCTTTAAATCAGAAGACTTGTTTTTTAACTTGGGACGATCTGCGTTGGATGTTTCACTTGTGATCTTTTGATTTGCAGAGGTCAAGTGACTTGTGTTTTTGGTTCTTACAAATGGGCTAACTGTCAGCTCTGAATCGCTCCAATCTGAGTCACTACCAGAGTCGTGTATCACCAGCGGATTTTCATAAGACGCATCAGGTCTACTGGCTTTCAAAGGTGTGCTTGCATTCTCCGGCAACATACGAACACGTTTATTGGGTGAAAAGAAGCTACAAGAAGCTTCAACGGGGTTTTCAGCAGCAACTGTAGAGACTTTTTTATTCTCTTCCTTGTCGGCATTTTCCACAGCTCCTAGATTACGCGAGACAACATCAGTTTCTTGGCATTCATCATCTATACCCTTCTCCTGTGAACTTTCTCCTAATGCCAATTTTCTCCTGGCAGAGCTACTATTACCTACATGCGCTATATTACAACTTCGACTCTCAGTTGCATTATGGGGAGCCAAGGCACGTGCAGGCTTGCTTGACGGTCTATCAGAAGTCATGTCGCGATTAGGAGTTTTGAGAATATCGTCTTTAACAAAAGCTAATGCCTCCTTCACTGCTCGATGCAGCATTTTAATGCCAGACTGCTTATCAATGTTCTTTTCTGAATCCTTCTCATCCTCGGTATTTATCAGACTTCTGTCTGTTTTTCTGTTTCCTTCCCCTTGTGATGTTTCTGGCATTTTCCCTGCCCCACTGAAAGTAAATTGTTCTACAGGATTTAATGGTGACTCTACAGTCGGTTGATTATGGATTCCAGTTTCTATAAAACCCTGTTTTTTCGTTACATTTGCTTCGTCTTCTGATGTTTCTTGTATTCCTCCGCTTCCGTCCGGAGCCGTGATTTGTTTCAAAGTGGCAATCGACGAAGACTGTGACGAAATGGCATCCTTCTCAATGGCCTTGTTATGGGATTTTCCTCTGAGGGTCCTGCTCGCAACTTCCCTTATCAGCTGTTTAAATTGGTTGTCGTGCTTTATCACTAGAAAGCAAAGCATCGGATATGGAAAAATTTGAGAAACAGCCTGGAATAATACAGCCAAACAAGTATAGGTCGGGTCTCTTTGGACCAGACAAAACAGTCCGACATTTCCGAAGTCCGAATTTTCTCAAGTCTGACTAACACGACTGAAAAACCTAAACGGAGCAGCAGAGAATTGTGACTGAAATTTAACATTGAAAACCGTATAAAACAGAGTGAAAACTGAGTAAATGATACTATCAGGCATACTCAACAAAGAGTATAGGGCAAAGGTCTAAACCACAATAACTGTACAGTTCTTTGAATAAATCTCAAATTCGATTCTCAGAACTAAAATTCGTTACATTTTACTGGCTTTGCTGTCAAGTCTGACTTATGTGGTGCTTTTTTAAGACACTTCAAAAATCTCTGGCTCACATCTATGTCCGACTTATGAAATTCGATTGATACGATGAAAGTTGGTAACACAAATACAAAATTTACTGGAACCAGATGTTTTTGTCTGAACCTATGAAACTCCAACTAATGCGAGTCCAACTTATGCTAATCCGTCTAATGCGAGTTTGATCACATATTTGAAGGTACTAGCTTTGAAAAAGCTCTATGAGGCATACAAATACTCTCTTCAATTGCTTGTATCGATCCATACTTTATACTGACTGAATTGTTACCAAATCGTTCCACTTAAACAACACCACTACAATTTAAGCGCGGTATAGAAGTGGTTATAGGAAAAGACTTTTGCGGCAACCAAAACCGAGGTCTAAAATCCAATATTAACTTGATGTTTGAAGACAGAAAAGTGACTTTTGATGCTAAGAAAGAGCCTTGAACGTGGCTTCCAGTGACCTAATATATTTTGAAAAGACATCTTCTAGAAACCAACAACAAATCAAAATTAAAATGGCGTGTGCTCACTTACAGTAATTTTTGTTAAAATCCTCTTTTTCTTGGGCTGTCTTTGAGCAATCAAATGTTTTTACCTGGGATAAAACGAAACACGTAACAAATATTCGAGTTACTAGAAGCCTGGATTGGAAAAGAAAGAAGGATGCCTGTACTGTGGTGTGAGAATGTGAAGGAATGAATGAGAAGGAAAGTGTATAATTTCTGCCAAAAGTCTTGGAACAATGAAATCAATTTTCAAGGTCAAATCCACCCATTTCTCTCTCGCCCGGAGAACAATTTGGTCATCTACAGAGAGGCGTCTTAAGACAATATAAGGAGGCATTTTCTTTCGCATTACTTGTATGATATTTGTCAAAACTATCAACATTTTTCTTGGGGATTGGGTGGAAGAGGTGAATCTTTTCGGAGAAGAAATGAGAGATAATGAAACAACGCAAATTATTGGTTATTCCAAAAGCGTTTGGCAAGCATTGTAAGTATAAGGACCAAGTAGAGCCATTACAATGATAGTCATAAGTTACATGGTATACTATTTATGATATAAACACAAAGCCGTACAAACTTCACATCGTACAACATATGTAGAATCTTTAGGGAAAGATAACGCGACTTAATTAATCAAAATTACCAGAACAGCTCCTTGATCCAGCTTCTTTTGGTTTGCTTCTTGAGTCTCGATATTCTTGATGATCTGTTTAACTAAAACCAAAGTTTATGCATCTTAATAAAAATAATTTACTTACGACAAAGAAATGCTTTAAAGAAGGATATAAATAAAGGCCAGCGATATGATTTTTAGCAAGCACTCACGCCACGGAGCCCGGATTCAGCAATACCCTTTCTTCAACAAAGGCTTGTCCATTTCTAGTTTTTATAAACTTTTTGCTTTTATTTTCTCGATGAAGCTTCAAAATACACTAATAATGAACGGATTCTTAGAATGCCCGTCGTATGCTACAAAAAGATTTTCTTGCCACCATTTTTATAAAAAACCCTGCAGTGTCAAACAGGTTATAGAAGTGTTAGATGAAATTTGCTGCTAATTACAAACTGGGAGCGTTTACATTTATGCATACAGAGGGCATGCAATGGCAGACAAGGCATCAAATAATGTGATTCTCCATCAAGTTTCTCTTTAAAAAATTGTCCGTTCGTTGTACGTTTATGCCCTTCAACTAGGGGAGGGGGAGGGGGAGTGGTAATGCGTTAGTTAACTCAAAATGTCTTCGCTCAATCTTTATGTCACATTCAACAGTCCATTCCACTGGGCCTCAAATATGAATATGAAATGGTCTATCAAACAAAATGCAATCTGCTGCAAACATCAATTTTTGATGTTGAAGTTGGACGGCCTAGAATGTAAATGTAACGCCAGCAGTAGTTTGAATTTACTAAATAATAAACTTTCGTATAAATTCTAATTTCATTCGATTTAGAGTAGTTAACTTTATATACATTGAATATACTGTTAGCTATGTAAATATCAAATCAAAACAAATTAAAGGAGAAGAAGAAGAAGAAGAAAAAGAAGAAGAAGAAGAAAAAGAAGAAGAAGAAGAAGAAGAAGAAGAAGAAGAAGAAGAAGAAGAAGAAGAAGAAGAAGAAGAAGAAGGAGAAGAAGAAGAAGAAGGAGAAGAAGAAGAAGAAGAAGAAGAAGAAGAAGAAAAAGAAGAAGAAGAAGAAGAAGGAGAAGAAGAAGAAGAAGGAGAAGAAGAAGAAGAAGAAGAAGAAGAAGAAGAAGAACAACAACAACAACAACAATCCATTTAAACTGATTTGCATCCAATACTCACCTGGCATAGGGTCAATGGCATCGCACTCGGAGTTGTGTAAAAGGAAGTATTTTTTCAGCCTGGTTTCCAGGGTCTGAAGAAATAGAAAATCATGAAGATAATCAACATTGAAAGAAGCGAAATTGAAAAATGCCAGCATGGGCAGAATTCAGTGACACAAAAAAGCAACACAGTGAGGGTAGTTGTTTGCTGGCTAATTTCGATTCTAAACCACGCACACACTACAATAGCTTTTTAAGTTACAGTTCAACCCTACGGACGTGAAACATTTCCAACACTGTTGTCAGCCATGACTTCCAGGTTATAAATATCATAATGTATACTAAAAACTTGTATTTCTCAACATTGTTATACTTATCTAAATAAATCAAATGATCTCACATTTATTCTCCAACAGTAAACCCTTTAATTTATTTTACAATACTTAAGCCGTCACAAGAGCCCAGTTTTCTAAGTAGTAGAAAGTGCATATACATCTTTAGACTATTGCGAAGAGACTATATTTGATTTCCTGTAAATCAGAGCCACTAGTGTTTCTGTGGCTGTAAATCCAAAATTGCCGATGACATGCAACAGTGATTTCCTACCTTTTTATTCCCTTTGAAGGACAGCCCGTACCCCCTGAGCTTCTTTCTGAGCTGCGCTTCAGTCATCCCGTTGAAAACCAAAGGCGGCAGTTTCTTGCGGCGTTCAGCAGGGATCTCTGGTCTAGAAAAAGATACCTGATCAAAGGACATTCTTTGTACATCTGTACCAAAGAATAAGCATTGTTCTTACCCTGTCGGTACTGAGCTCACTAAGAAGCAACAGAAAGAAGCAATATGTTGTTCAGAGAAGGGATAATAAAAATGATTTCATGATTCAACTTACAAGAGCTCATTTGAAGCCTGCAATTTGAATGGAGCAGTTGACCGATCGGACTCGGCGGCTTGCTTTTGATGATCAGATGTGCCATCGTCTTCAGCGACAGTTCTAAATAAATTAACATATTCGAAAATTGAACAAGGGAATTAAGTAGATTTTTCAACAATCGAAGAGCATAACAGACCAGTGCAACATCACCAAGTCACCAGGTTTTAGAATATCATACATCACTCACTCACTTTTGTTAAGGTGTAGCCCTTATTGTTAAGGTGTAGCCCTTATTGTTAAGGTGTGACCCTTATTGTTAAGGTATAGTCCTTATTGATAAGGTGTAGCCTTCATTAAAAGGCGATCTGTGTTTATCTGCTGCTCAACATTACTCTTTACTCAAGATATTCTAATACAAAAGCTATGTACAAAGAATATTTGAAGGATGAAGAGCAGGAACTTGAAGAGGCATTAAGGCTTATGTAAATGCTGAATTTTGCTTAGCATCTAAAAGATCATGGAAGGCTCACTGGTGACCTAAAAGCGACAAAAATTAGAATAACCAATGCGTTACAAAATTCATGACATCTAGACTCACAATTATGGGTTTACTGTCAAAAACCAAATACTTACGAAGCTTGGCATGCAGAAGGCAAAACCTCTTCGGGCGCAGTGACTGCATGCGAATTGTTTGTTAGCAGGGATTCGCTCATTTCGTAGGCATCAATGGCAGCGCTGGCAAGCAAAGATAAATAATAAACAGATTTGCTCACAATTGAATGGAATAGAATACATAGGATGAAGACACGCCCAAAATCATAACAAAGTTGTGATTTTTTTAACATAGAAAACCTTAAAGAAAGCCTTATTGTGACAGGAAAACATCAAAACCTCTTAAATTGCTTGCTTCAGAAAAAATCTTTGTACTTTTTCCTGGAGTCTTTTTAGTCGAGAAAATTGTTCCCTTTCTTCCTTTTGTTTCAGTATTGGGCAACCTTTTGATTCTTCAAGAGTTCCTCTTTTCCAAAAAAACCTCTTTCGTTCGTGCTTTACATTTTTTCCTCAATGACCCGAAAATCACAGGGTACCTTGAAAATCAGTGTTTGGGGAGGTTCAGGTCCGAGGAATTCTTTTACAAGTAGAATTTTTGGAGAAAAATATTTGGCTCAAACTTTCCTAAAAGTTCTCAAAATATAGAATATTGTCGAACAGAGCATAAAAGTAACTATTGCGTTTCCATTTAAAAATTCGAGAAAAATAAAGGTTTTGAGATTTGATATAAGCGCTGCTTAAGATAAGAAAGGCTACTATGGTCCGACGTGAGAATTCAGAATGACAGAAAGTGTTCAAGATAATAACAAAGCGATAAAGATGAAAGGGAGAGATAAGGGAGATGTGATAGTTGAAAAATTGAATGTATGAAAGAAAAAATGAATGGAGTGTTACAGCATAAACTCACAAAATATTTGAGGGTGGGCAGCCATTATCACTATCAATTTTGGCATCAGAAAGATCTGTGTCAGATGCTTCTGCAACTTTGCACCGCTTAGTTGCGTGCTGCAGCATCGAGCAGCTCTTTGATTTGGGCCTTTGGAACAAAAAACATGGCTACATAAAGGAAAAAGGGGGAACATGACACAGAATACGAGGCTATAATAAACGAAACTCGTGCAGAAAATCTAGGTTACAGTCTGAAAGTTGCAAAATACTTATTATAATTAATTTCAACAATAAAATTGGAAATTCAAGGGTAGGGAGCCTCTGCTATTAGAAAGAAAATGGAGAAACACAACAATACTTTTAGCTGTACCATCGCGATGGAAGTTACCCAGTGGCAAGCTGCAATTAGAGCTTTAGGCAGGATAGTATTGTAAAAACTATACAATTTTGGATTGAAAAATAATACATGGGATTTAAATGCCAAAATTGAGGTCTTCCTTTCAAGAATCGTTGAAACAAAGATGTTTCTTAAAGCTGTATTTATGAAGAAAGAAAGATCCAAGATATTTCGTAGGCTAGCTGTCAGGATCCCCTGAAATGGAAAAAACTTCTACCTGTTGATATTGTCACAAAAATGAACGTGCAGTTTAACCCCATTAAGTCGGGCCTTTAAGAGGGATAAATAAATGATTTGACGTAGTGAAGGTCTGAATAACCCTGAGTACAATTTTTGACTTAATAAGGTAGAAAAAACCCACGAGAAATCAACATTGACTTGTCTAAGTTATCCACAGAACAACTTAATGGAATTCAACTGAATTGATAACCTGGAACTAAACAACAAACTATCTGAGTCAAAATCAAAACTTCATGTTTAAAAACTCCACCAACGTACCTCAAACTTTCACGAGTTTTACCAGATGCTTTAACAAGACAACGATCCAAATGCGAATTAATTTTCTTTTTGTCCACTGATTCGTTACAAACAGGGCAAGATGCTAGAAGAAATTATCGTTAAAAGCTGGTCAATGCTTTTATACAAGATGCTTTTATAACTACACACATAAACATTATTGCTTTGACAGGCTGGCAAAGGACTTTCACCCTGAGGGGAACAACTGTCGTTTGGAAGGAGGGACAAGCTTGTAATAGAAGTGAAGGGTCTGCAATTTACAATTGAAAACTCTTTTATGATACCATGCAAAGCTGGCGAGAAATAATTTGGGGTTTGAGGAGCACCGAGTAATGGGTATCTGGGGTGGCCGAAAACCCCAGGCCCGAAATGGAAGTCTGTCAATTTTCTTTCCTTACAGGACAATTCGTAAATAGCAGCTATTCCAAGTCTTAAGCCTGGGTTCGAGCAGACTCTTGATAGCTCTGGAAGGTTGAGCCTCCATATTCCGCAAGCGCTTTTTACAGTAATACAAAACTTTCTTCGCATTAAACTCACCAAATCTGACGTCATCCGGATCATGGTCACTCCTTGCTTCTGACCCTGATTCTGTCAAAGTCAAAGTCCTACTCCCAGCAAAGCTTCCTTGCCTTTTCCGTTTTCTGAATGAGCTAGGCTCAAAATCACTGTCAGATGTCTCTCTTAAACTGAAAACTGTCTCACTGTCAGATGTTTCATTGGAATAGACAACTTTCTTTGTTGACCTCTGAAAAAATAAAGGTTAAATAAGAGTGAAGCAAATGAATCCTAAGAAACGTGGCATACAGTCTGTTAGAGTCACTGATTTTGGATCTGAGATTTTTTCCTGACTACTTAAACATGCTTAATCAGGTTAAAACAGGCAGTTGTTAACACATACAGATTACCTGAACAGTTACATCAGCATTTTTTTGTTCTCCTCTGAATAAAACAAATGTAGCCTTCCGTTTCTATATATGCAAAAGCAGGTTCGTGTCGAATTGGGGATGTAGGGAATGACACCCCTCACTTTCTGAAGAACCCGTTCCCGTCGGAAATTTCGGGTTTGTCAGTAAAAGCTGAACCAGCATTTAGATTGGTCGCTAATTATGAGCTAATCACTTCCCGGAAGATCACTTAGTGAATTTATTAGAAGGATGCAAACTCAAACTCAAACTCAAAATATTTTTTCAACATAAAATTGATTAATTACAATATACCGGTTAACATCTTTATACTAAATATACAATATCCAAGTTAATATGGCTAAATAACAATGAATGGTCAACCGCAATATTTTATAGAACAGCAATGAGAATTAAACAATTTTAGGCTGATGGACACATGGAAAGAAGATGCCAGGAGTTTTTCCCTAGTGAAACGGCTCTATATGTTGCACAACAAAACAATCTCATCTGTAGCTTTTGCAAACAGTCAGAAGAAGCACGTTTCAGACAGAATCTTTGCGGCATCTCATACAGAGGTTTTTGTTGCTGCTTAGTCTCTTATTCTTCCTTTACTACTTTTACCCAGATTTGATTCAGGATTTTTCTGGATCAACTATTGCCATCATGTCTCTTTTTCTTTTCTTATCAATTGAATCTCTAGCCACAAAAAAGTATCAAAAACCAAAAACAGAAAATATCCTTTTGCTTACCTTTTTTCGCGGAGAAAGGAATTTTTTTCTTGGAGAGTCCTCTTTCCTCTTATTTTGTGGCGATTTACTTAGACCTCTTTTTAAAAAGGGGCTCTTTGATGCTTCTCTTTCTTTTATTGCTTTGTATTCCTTCAAAATTTTCAACAGTTTTGGCCTGTGAAAGAATATATTTAAAGACAGGGTATTCAGAACAGCATTCTAAAATGACTCATGAATTAATTTCATAAATATTATCTTCAAATACAAAATCAACTTTTATCATTTTGCAAATATAAGAAAGAATTTTCTAGGACAAAAAGAGGCATTTCCTGAAAAAGGTGTAATAAAAATTAATCCATAACCACTTTATGGTGGCTAGCACTGCCACTGAGGTCAATTCAAATCTGCAATTAAGGGTTACAGTAGAATCAGGTTATAACGTACTCTGTTATTACGTACTTTCGGACATGGTGTGCTTGGTCCCGGCAAAAGGTGTTCTTGGTTTTGGTCAACTTTTACTTACCCTCGTTATAATGTACTTCGGATATAACATACTTAATACGCTGGTCCCTTAAAGTATGTTATAACCGGATTATACTGTAACAGAAAGTATTTACCTTAGAGTCACAAATACTTTGACAATTTCATCCAGAACTCTGTTGCACTTCAAATGGCTCTGCAGCATTTCCTTGAATGAAATATGTACTACAGCTTGCGAATATGGCAACATTTGTGTTATTTTACAAAATTACTATTTGGCAAAAAAATGTGTATCTGAACTAACAACAGGTAAATCAAAGAACTGTGATACCAAGACTAAAAATTGAGTTTTTTTCATAACATAACATAAGATCTGTCCAAGGTCTTGATGGTCAACAAGCAATTTCGAATCATATTAAAAATGTAAAAGATGCAAACAAGTAAATAAGTGAAAAGGTTTATCGTATATTGAATTTTTATGTTGTTCTACAGTCTTGTACAATCATATGAGTCCACTTCTCAAATATAGCATTCAAATTCCTGGATGGTCAAACAGTCAGGAGTTTAAAAAGGCCAGCTAGATAAGAGGGATTAAATAGAGGAGACATTAGAGCAAAGATTCCGCAGGAGGATTCACTTAACTGGATGGTTTATTCACTTAACTTATATGTATATTATGTTAGTGTGCCAGAGGCTTGTTTTTTACAATAAGCCTTAAACATGGAGTCGCAACATAGAACCGTCCTGTTCTATACACAAAAAGGGTTTAAGCTCTGCCTTTATGGTATCAAGCACTTTTCAACTACTGAAAATGTACTTAATTTATGTTAAACAACTTTTGTATTTCTGGAAACAACTGACAACAGACAATGCTATCATGGTTTCCTAACAGTAATAAATCTACAACAACTTATCATAAGCAGATGATAAAAAATCATTCCACTCACTGCTGGACAGGATGGGCACTGTGCTTTGTAGGAGATATGCTTGTGTGCGCATAATGAACAATCTGAAGAGGAGATTAGTTTTCTTTTATTCTTTGATAAATGCTCTAACAGTCTTGTGAAAATTGTTGTGACAAGTATTGTGGGGGTTCAGCCCTCTCATTGCCTCTTTGATAGAAAGATTATTGTCAGTAAGTGAAATTAGAATATGCACATAAGTTGATACAACAAGAAAGGGAACCAGTCAATTCAAATTTTCGAAAATACAAGTAAGGTCACAAATGACAAACATTTAGAATCAGGGCATGACCCCTCTGTGAAGGAATGATGACTGCTCTTGTCTTCAAAAGAAAAGCTTTATTCAGTTTTTTTGTTAATTCTGCTATTTTGCTGCCTTGGAAATTTAACAGGGCTTCTGACTTAGATGAATGCATATATTTGCAAAAAAATAAAAAATACTAACAGTTGTGGCAGCACCCTGTTGCAAAAACAGCAATATTGAAGTATTCATAGCAAATCGAGCATCTGAGAAGGTTGTCCAGATTCTAAAAAAAAAGGATGATGCATAAAGCGTTAATATTCATCATGCAAAGATGAAATTATGTAATGACCCAAGACATTAACCCTTAAAGAACATAAAGTTATGTTTCTAACTACAAAACAATGCACTTGCCTGAGAAAATCACTTTTCTTGCTGTTTTTTGCTCATTTTCAAGGAAGGTTAGTATCAAGTATCATTGGACAACAGATACTTATTATGGCAGATTTGGACAGTTATTCTGTTGTTTACATCATAAAATCCTTGAATGAGCAGCACAGCCCCCTAAAAGACCTCTTTAAAAAGCCTCTGTCATCCCTTTGAATGGGTGCCCTGTAAATATTACAGCACCAGGCCTTGCCAAAGTCCTCACCAAATAATTGGCACCAGCTATTGGCTTAACTGGCAAAAATATGTCTTGCCTGCAAGAGACTGGAAAGACATTTATGGAAAATAGTTCCTATTGCAATATATTCCAGAATAACTACAATTATAACTATTACTGTGCTAAAGGCTGAGAGTCTGTCACAGATCTTTTGAGTGACTTCACCCTGGACAGACCATTGTACTGACAGACCACTCATGTCAAGCCAAACTCTAAATAGTAACAAGCCTAACACCCAACTGTTACATTAGATAATGGATGTCAGAAAAATACTCTGTCCTTGGAAAAGCCACTCCATACTCATCATATTTTCTCAAAAAGAAAATGTTGTTGTCTTAATCTACACTATTGAAAAAATGTCTTCTTTACAAACAGAGTACTTCGTCGATAGATTAGATTAGATAGATTAGATTAGAGTTGATACCCTAATACCATTCTCAGACCTTGGACTACTTCTCCTTAAATTATTGTATAACAATTATAACACATATTCATGTGGGTGGTTCCTCACATCTATGTGATACAAAATGGCCTGTATCAGCACACACTGAAATTAGATATCTATTAGGACCCCTACCCTCAACTGCAAATCCTTTCTTTGTTTATTATGAAAGGGATAGCTTGAAGAATTGTCAACATCATGATATATTAACTTACGTTCATATTGACTGTAGTAATCAGAACAAAAAATACATCTTGATGAATATAAGATCAAAACTTGCTAACAAAAAACTTATTTTCTTTGGTGCATGCAAGCTGAAACAATTGTTAAAAACTAGTCAACAACCGCCTTTGAATGTGTACTGCTTGATTGGCGACCCAAAACAGTAAAGAATTAAAGGATTAATTGTATTGGATGACCCCATAACGATCTTCAATTTGTTAATCAATAGTGAACCAGTAGGTCTTAACCTAGCTATGTCAAAGGCAGCAAACATCAGAACCAAATCAGTCTATAACGGAATGTTAAGCAAGCAAACATACGCGCAGTTCTTGAAAGTCTCTAGGCCAATCATTTGGATCATCAAATACGTTTAGCTCTCCATCCATTTTCCATCTCTTCTTATTTTCAACTTCACGAAACAAAGTAGTACCTCGGAAGCATAGGATGCTACGATTCAGTTTTGAAAACTCAACTGTCCACAACTTCAACCACATTGCAACCTGAAGCGGCGGGAATGACGTCATGAAATTCAGACAATAGCCTTCGAAATTCCAAGAACTCAAACTCAAACTCGAAAAAATTTTTCCCAGCAGATTAGTTAATTACAGGTTACGTCTTACTATATAAAGTTGTTGATAGTCGCTAACTGCAATAATTGCTAACTACAAAATAGCTAAGGTAAAATAACATAAATAAAGTTAAATCAGCCGATGGACACATGAAAAAAACTCAAGAATAAATCTGGAACCAATGAATAATATATTGTTCTGTATAATGAATAACATTTCTGATAAATATAGTTCAGTGAATCCTCGAATAAACACCCCCCCCCCTCTTATAATAAGAGCCCCATTTGAATAACCGCCAACCATATTGGGAATAATATAAATTAAGCGCCCCTCCAACAAGCACCCACCACCTCCACCTTGACAAACGGGTTTCTGAGAGGTACGTTTTAATCTTACAGAAACGGTGAAGGCAGTTAGCCAAAAAGAGTAGATATAAACATTAAAGTTTGTTCTAGTTTTTTATTCTTGTTATACTTTGTTTTCCTTCTTTCATAGAAAAAAAAGGCTCAAAAATTATTGCCCGTGTGCTTTTTCCAGGATTTCCGGTATAATAAATAATATTAATGTTTCTGTTTGAGAAATATGTAGCCGGAGCCAATCCTATGTAGCCTGAGAACTGTGGGTCCTTTTTCAATTCTATCTAGCCCGAGTAAGATCATAGAGGGGATTCATATTTACGCATTCCTAGTCAAGGAAGGATTCCTTCACAAGCTACAATGAGGGTTCAGAAAACTCCACTCAGCTACGCCTGCCCTCTTACACATGATAGATACAATTAACACTGACATGGATAATAATGGTCTATTAATTGGTGCTCTTTTTGGGGGGTCTTTGGGGTTGACGGTATTGCGGTATTTGCCCTTTTCTCTGTCGGTAATTCGGTAATCTTCCTCAAATTAGACGATATTTCGGAAATTATAAAATCTTCGGTGAGCGATATTCAGTGAATTCAATGCTCAGTGTACGGTATTGTCCAATCCTGAATTAAACAATGTAGTAGTTTAATTAGAAATGTGGGAGAAATGCTAGCGGTGGTTTCTTGTTTCATCCATGTTGTAACCTTCGTGATTTTTCCCCGATAAACCTTAAATTTCTTTATTCTCTCAACTTTAAATGGCGTTAACACTGGTTGAAAACTCCTGAAGTTGCAACTTCAAATGTGCATGATTTAGTTTCGGATTATTCATAATTACTTTTTCCCTTCGTTCTCCTCACAATCTAAAATACAGATTTGCTGGAGACAGTGAACCATTTATCGTTTCGCCCATATGTCATGTACATCATATCATTTGTGAAAAGTAAACTCAACTTCAAGTGTGGACAAGTAAGAGGGGTCCCCTATTTTGGTCGATGGCAAATTTTTTTGAAATACCTACTGTGTAAGAATAGGTCACACTTTTTAATTTTTGCTATTTAAAACAGTACAATATTATTAAAATGCATCCGTGTGGGGCTTTCTTAATACAGAAAAGTGTAGTGTCTTTCTTAGAACTTAGAACTTAGTTCTATAGGACTGCTTGGAACTGAGCCCTAACCCCTTTTTACTTCACGCTGGTGCTGCTGCTAACTGCTTCTGTTTTATATAAAGCCATCAGCATAGCAGAGCAGCATTTTTTTATTTTCAACTATTGGGCGTTAAAGGTGATCTAACTGCATAAAGAGGGAACTAAAAAGTATATTCTAGTTTAAAAATTGAAATAAATTTGGGTCATTTCAGTTCCTACTTTAGTCCCTGAAGTCGAAAGTTTGCTTCGAAAAATGGTGTTACGTCACAAATGAAAAAAATACATTTTGGTGGACCACAGGGATCGTTTCTTAGACCTCTCCTTCTCCTATTATCAAACGAGTTCTCGTTTGGTCTAAAAAGCTGCCAGGTAAACAGAATCTCTTTTTCTAAGTAGAGTATTAATAACTTGAACAGGATGCTAAGAAAGCCCTTTTTTCATTGAGAATATCTTCAAACTTTCTTCTGTCAATTCTTAACAAAATTCATCTGATTATGTTTGGGCATTTCTCTGTGGTCCTTTCCTATAGCTAGATGACATTGGCTCTATTAACTTTATCTTCTACTGAGCTTTGCAGCACAGTAGAAGATAAGAGTATCTTCACAATTACTTTGGATTCGATTTAGTATTTTCAAAATTCTAGACCAATATCACGTAACTGCTTGAATATTCTATATGCTTTAATTTAAGAATGAAATTTGGGTACCACTTTCAGAAACATATTTCAATTTCCCCTTTATTTGTTTTTAAAACTTATATTCACCCAAAAATTTATTTATCAGTAATACTAAACTTCGCTAAACATTTTCGCCGCTTACGCAACAAATGTTGTTGAAATTTTAACTGAAGGAATTTATAAAAAATAGATCAGATGGGTGGTCTCGGGTTAAATATTATACTTGAATAGGGGGAGGGGCACAGTCAAAAATTAACTTTCTTGTACAGCGTCCTTTAAGTTTCTGTGCAAAGAAAAGTTTTAGCTGTATCTACTATCCATCAAGAAGACTCTGAAAATGTATAATGTCAGAAGGGAAAGTCAGCTTAATATGATGAAATCTTCAGAGAATTTATGTTAGAAAGATTGACGAAAAAGGGAGCTGCACAAGCTTCATATCTCGTGGGCGGATGAGTCTTTGGATCTTTTGTAAACTTTCCGCTGATAAATGGGCATATATCACATGCTTGAATCTTCAAGATTTCCCCAGAAATTACTCGGAACATGAATGAAGTTGATCAAAATTCAAACTGCAATGTGATTATATTGAAAACTCAGTATTACGGTAAAATCGATAAATTCTTGCGGAATTACGGTTATAGAGACATTTTCTTACGGAATCAGGGTATTTGATACTCCTCCCCCCCTCCCAAGACCCATCTTTGTCTGGACTTAAGAAAGGCTTTTGATACCGTGAACCATCAAATCCTGTTATCCAAATTCAAATCCTTAAATCTGGACGTTAACTCGGTACACTGGCTGTCCTCATATTACAGTATAGAACGCAGTTAGTTGATTTCAATGGAAATCGTTCTGGAAAAACTTTCACTGGTGTTCCTCAGTGCTCCATCCTCGGACCACTTCTGTTATATGTGAATGATCTACCAAGCCTTATTGATTGCCAAACAGTGATGTTTGCTGATGATACAACTATCCTGTCACATGGGCCCTCTCACAGTAGTCTTACTCCCATCATTCAAAAGGACTTGGACAGTGTTAGTCTATACTCTTCCATAAACCATCTTGTCCCTCATCCTACCAAGACAAAAGTAATTATCTACAGTAAGCCATCACAAGCAACAATGCTTAAAAAACGTGCCGTCCTATCCCTCAACAATGCATAAATTGAAATGTCAACTCTTACAAGTGTCTTGGCTTACAATTCGACAACTCTTTACATGTCAAGGAAACCTGGTACTAGTTCCGTACCCAGGGTACTAGATCCGAAGCCACTACATTGTCTATAAGGGCAACTCTTTTGTGGATTACAATAAAGGCACGAAACTTGGTACAAAAAAAACAGATCGATACGCTGAAAAAGATAGAATGAAGACCCCTTCGAAAAAAATACTTAATTGCTATTTTCAGGGGGGGAGGGCTGCTAGAACCCAACCCCATACAATGCTATTAAAACAACAATACTGTGGATTGCAAAAAAGGCATGAAACTTAGTAAAAATTCATGGTTAGCAGAACTATGATACACAATTTTATGAAAATATGACGCATGAAAATACACAATTCTTTACACCAAAACCCCATACTACTCTTATTAGACTGGGGTACTACAATTATGGTTATAAGTTGTTGGACTGACAGACTAAATTGTGATATTTTTTAATATTTTAATTTCTATCCTTTTCGACTGCTTGAACACACGTATTGTCAAAACAAGCTACACTGCTTCAGGGGGGGGGGGGGGGGGTTTCGATATCATCATTAGGTATTGAGTGCCCTGTTGTAATATAAAAGATTTTGTCTAGTCAAAAATGGCTGTTTGGCCATGCTTCTAGGGTCCATATCTCTAAATTGGATATCATTAGCATTGTGGTTCAAACAAGAAAGTTTGTAAAAGTAGATACGGAGAGAAAGGTAGGCGTAGGATGCAAACTTCTTGGAACGGACCCCAATATTTAAGAAAATATTTATCGATAAAAACTTTTCATCTGGGCACAAACCCTTGATAGCCTACATTTTGAGGAGGGAATCAGCACCTCTCTCTACAAAAACATAACAGACATATGAAAATCTCCTATAAAAGACTATTTTTTTCAGACTAGATCAGTGGAAATCTCAAATCCCTTCAATCGTGATTCCTTCCATCCACGTAGTCATGCACAGCAAAGTTTAACCTTATAGAAGAGTTATCGTCGATGATGAAGAGCTTTAGTAACAGTTACAAGATTGAAAAACCTCATTATAAGAGCTGTCTTTTCCATGTGCGACATAACTTTATAAATGCATATTTCTATATGAATAAAACCTCATAAGGAAGCATCAGTAAGCAACGATAAAGATTATAAAATTAAAAAATTATTGGCCTTACCGAAGGTACATTCAAATTACGATATGCTAACCACATATATAAAACCACAACAAAGATTTTAAACATTTTAAACACGACAAATATAGAAAGAATATTGAACTTTCAAAATACGTTTGGAAATTGAAGGGACAAGGAAAGATACCAACTATTAAATGGAGACTTGTCAAGAAAATAAAGAGCAAAGCTAAAAATAACTTTTGTAAATTATGCCTGGCAGATAAAGTTTATATCATTCAATCTGTAGGGGATAATAAAATACTAAAACTTCCTATGAAATGAAATTTCACACTTATTTTTTTGGGGAGAAATTTAAGTTTCTACATGTTGCTGCAGTATAAAACGAAAAATAACTCGAAAATTTACACTGGAAAGTTTGTTTTGGGGTCTTTAAAAACAATGAGTGTGAATGACAATGAGAAAGAATCAGTGACGTCACAAGGTTTGCAGTTGGTTCCGTCTTCACATAAACACACCATACCACTTAATCAGGGCTGTTAGTCAAACAATTGTGAAAAATGTGATACCAGCATGAAATTTTGCCAAAAGGGGTAGTTTGATACACTGAAAAAGATAGGAAATAGACCCCGACTGAAATTTGCTCCCTTGGGCTATTTTTCAGACTAGCGTACTTTACGGCATGACTCCACTAACGACGTTATTTTGATATCTCTGCTGAAAGTAAGTACAATGGCAGGAAACTTTGCAATAGGTGGCAAATGATAGGATATAGACCCCATCTGAAAATTGTCCCCTTGTTCTATTTTAGATTGGGGTACACTGCCCCAGGCCTTAATAGACGGTATCTTCGTATTTCAGTCGTACTTCAGTACAACCGTATGAAACTTTGCAAAAAAGGTAAGGAAAGGAAAGTTTGATGCGGTAAAAAAGATTGGATATGGACCTTGCCTTAAAATTGCCCCCTTCGGCTATTCTAGCTGTAGTTCCAATAGAGATCTCCATTTTGCTTAGTGTACTGAACGCCAACTGCCTCCGTGTTTGCAAACTTCGTGACGTCGCGGATAACGCACGGTTTGTCACAGTCGAAAACGTGAAATGGGATATTCAACCTGAAATTTAAGACGGTTCCGCAAGAAAAAAATAAATTCAACATATATCATTAAAATCAGCAAAGTTTGCTTATAAAAAGTGTGCCTTTATCTAAACTTGTCAAATTTAATTTCATAGGCACTTTAACAATAGAACAGAATTTATCAGCCAATGTACACTAGAACAAACTTTTGATTAGCAATTTTCAATCTGTTTGATTGCGTTCGATTATTCGTTTTTACCGTTATATCTTTCTTGCCGTTATGATTGTTTACACATGAAACTCAGAGTTATGTTACAATAGCTTATATATTTTTGTCTATCTACATACATACTTCTATGAGATACATTTTACCATTCTACAGGGCCCGCGCCACGAATTTGAAAGTGGGGGGGGGGGGGCAAGGCTGAAAAGGTTGGGGTCAAGGCTTCTTACCTCTTTTACTGCAGCTTTTAAACTAGTTGCTTTGCAAAAAAAGTGGAGGGGCCATGGCCACCCCGCCCCCTGCTTCGCGGGCCCTGACCTAGAATGCTTAGTTTCAAAAAATTTCTTCCGTGTCGCACCCAACCATGGTAGGTCCTCATATGTCACTGAACTTGATGTTTATCCCCCCCTCTCCAGCTTAAATTTTGTGACGCCTTTTCTGATAAAGAAATTGGGAAATGAATTTCATGTAGTGGGAGAGGAAGGCATAAAAGCATAAATGTAATTCACGTCACTGATCTAAAAAAAACTGGATCGCGCATCCTATTGTTCTCAAACCTTAGAAAGTGCGGCCGGCGAATTTCAATCGGCGCCATGCGCTTGTGACCACTTCAGCGGGAAAATGAATGGCTAGGACGCTGGAGAATAGGGTATTCGCTGCATTTATTTTGGCTGTAAGAAATGCGAAATAGGGAACTGACGATGAAAAGGGAATAAATGACAACAAGGACCATGAGAATCAAGGATTGCAAATAAAAAGGAAGCTACGCTCCACTTTTTCACCGTGAGTACACTACTATTTTTATTTTAGTAGGCCAAGATCGTTGTATTTCTCAGGTACAGTTATGCCCCCTTTAAACTGGGTTTTCACGAGTCTGGACCATTTCAAATCCTTTGCTAAAAGGATCAAAAGTGATACGGTTAGCCGTATCAGTTTTGCTACGGATAGCTTGGAGTGGTTTAAGCGGGAGGCCAATCCGTATCACTTTTAATACGGATCAATAAGTCATCTGTGGCAGTGTAAACGGGGCCTTAGTTTCCCAAATAGATTGCTACAGTTAGTTACTTTGAAGTAGGTAGCTATTTGGAAAGTCTTGCCTGGTTTTAGATACCCAAATAGATTTAAAACTTTATCGCTATAGGTTATTGTGTTAGTTCGAAATTCTAGTTTAGTGCTAAAAAGCTCACAAATTAAATCATTTTATGAAATATTTACTTAAACTTTGACACAATTTTTGTAGCAACAATTTGCTTGTAAAATATGTTTGAGAACCGTACCTGCAACGACATCTAAATTATGTTCTCCACTCCAAATTGTTTTATAATATTGCATTTGTTTCTTAGTAGATTAGTGCTAGCCAACAACTATCCTTTGCTTATTACATTATTAATATCATTGTTGTTCCTTTCCAAAATTGAAATGAAAAACTTTTATAGGTTTTCTATAACAGATTATATTTCATTTTACTAAATATCAACGTGGTTGTGAGCACATTGACTTTTTAGTGAATTCCACCAGGTACAATTCATGCAATATAGTTGCTTCCTAGAAAGTAAAAATTAGTAAAGAGTATTTTTCGGTTCTTTCCTAACTTTTGCCTGGCGCCTTATATAATCTGTACTACATTCTTCTATGAGGAGTCCACTTTCAATTTTTCCTGGAAACAAGATTAGCCTAGTCATGTAAAAATTATCTCATTCATAAACAATTCCAACTATAGCAAT